GTGAGTTAGTAGTTGGGTGGGTGACCACCAGCGAGTCCTGACTGTTCTGTATTTTTGATTTTTATTTGAGCCCATTGAAGATAGCCTTAGGATTGTTATTGTGGAAGCAGATATGTGCTGCACATCAGGTTTCGGTACCGCCGGAAGCTACATACCTACCTAGGTACATATGTACAGGTAGGTAACAGGTCTCGGGCATACCTGGACTTCCGCATCAGCCCAGAAAGCCCAAGCCAACCCGGTAATGAGCTGGCTTTGGGGCCGGTTCTCGAGCCCAGCAATGGGCTTCTGGGCCCAGAGCCTAGGGCCCAATCCAGCCCGTTGCGGAAGTCTACTACATTAGGTAGGTACCCTGCACGAAGTCCGTGATACGTAGTTCTTTCAAAATTCCAAACTTGGCATATCATCCTATTATTTGACAGGCAACCTTGAAGGCATGACAATACGGGTCTAGGTATTTTCGCGTCTGTTTATATCTATCCCATGACCCCATCTGTGAAGAAACCAAACATGGTGTTATCGACAAGAGACAGATCTTCAGCCCCGAGATCGAGTACACTGCCACATAAGACCTCCATACCGCTTTCCCCAAATGCTTCAATGTCTGAAATGGGGCCATCTCCGATATTTATACCTGTGCCAGTATGAGTGAGGTCCTAGAAATGACGCATTGTAACCCACCATCAAAATTGTGTCGAGAATTTGCCCCAGAATTACTGGCATCCATGCAAGATGCAAGCTTCTCAACGCGGAGCATGAGGCTCTTGAGTAACAGCAATGGTTTCTTTAATCCATGACCGCATCCTCTTTGATATTCCAACAACGCAGACCAAAAGAATTGGCAGGCCTCAACATATTCCTCACAATATTGACTACCGTGTTGCAGCAAAACAAGAACGGCGCTATACATGGCGTATGAAATACCAAATTGAGCACGTCGAAGCGTGAATGCCTTTTTGTACGCACCAATAAGTGCCCTTATATTAAATGCGGCTTCCAGGCATTTCTTCTTTGCTTCTTCTTGGAGGCTATCGTGCAACCCTCGATCAACACAAACATCACTGCGCATGAGAAATGGTTGCTCAGCCAAAATGACCAGTGTCCAGTACGTAGTGCTAAGAGCGAAGTAAGTAAGACAACCTAGGCAATGAAAACTAGAGAACATACAACAGGGTGATTTGGTGCGGCGGAGAGGTACACTCTGCGTTCGGGTCAAACAAGAGATGCGACGGGAGGCTCGATCTCCATCGATCTAGTTGTGCTTGTATCTGTTCTCTCGTTCTAAGCAGGGTATGGAAATTTTCATTCGCACTTTTTGTGGAGTAAAAGGCGCTTATGATCGTTTCTGTGATGATAGAGAGCTGTAGCAAAGATTCGAACGTGCTAATGGCGTAAGATGGTCGACCTGGGTAGGCGGGAATAGCGGTACTTTGGAGTTGAGCACAAGGATCAATGTATGGCTTCCACTCTTCCAGCTCCTCGAATGAATCATTGAACTCACGCGGTACATTGCCTTCACGCAGATATAACGCTGGACACTGGCCTAAATAAAGAGATTGGGACTTGTCAGTGGCATAGGCTCCCCAATAAACTCTCCTTCTAATTTCCTTCTCTAAAGCGGAGATATTCGATTCTTCCCCACGATGAGGAGTCGTGTCGCTCTCAATATGGTAGCCAAGGTCCAAAATCATACGGTAAGCCATACCGCAAAACATCCAGCCGGCACTTTGTTTCCCATACTGTACCAAGCAAGCGCCACACGTCAGAAGCGCAACCACGGTAGGCAAACTAGGTTTGTCGATGTAATGGACCAGTAATGATTTGAATCTCTCGTAAAATGCCATCCCTGTACTTTGCGGCTCTTCGGGGTTTGAGCGTAATGACTTTCGGTCGCTATAAAGACTGCTCTGTAGATAGATAGCGTTCATGAGTAGCTTATTCACGTAGGGCCCGTTATTCATGAGACTGTCCATGAACGCCGGGCGGTAGGTCAAAAGATACATCAAATGGAGTCGATTCCAGTGCAAGTCCATTAGATGCATTGCCATATCCATGGAGACGCCGTCGAAATCGATATGTGCTGCAATGCTAGGCGTAGAGTAAAGCATGCTCTCTTTCTGTTTCGTGATTGCTGCGAAAGAGATCAGTTGGTCTCGACTATACGCTCGCGGCATGTAGCCTTCTCCATCCCCTCTTGACTGAGTTCTTTGTAGCCAGGAATCCTCACAGCCACGACGTAAACTCATAGCACCATAAGCTTGAATCTCACAGCCATTCAGACATTCCAGAGACTCAAATGGTGTAGAACTGTCATTCTGTTCCAGGACTTGATTTGAAAAGCTTTGATCATTTTCTGATTCATTCGGCAAGACAAGGTTCATTTGCTCTTCTTGCTGCAATGTAGTGGAGTCATGATCGGAAGGTACCATACTGAGCTCAGAATGGCGGCCAAGTCTTGGCGTGGAGATTCGAGGGTCCTGAGGACATGAGATGGGATGATCCGCATCCGGAACATTTTTCGTGCTACTGCTCCTGCCAGTCTGCTCCTTGAGCTCCTTGATTTGCTTTTGAAGGTGATGAATATCGTGCTTCTTGGCCCTGACTGCCGTTTTCCTCCCATCTTGGGGATATTCACACCGTTGATTCTTCAAGCAACATGTATCGCATTCTGGCAGTTGGCCGCCGCATTTCACCTGTCATTGCGATGTAAGTCAACACAATCCTCCTCCTGCAAACTGGTGCCTGACCTTTTTCTGACGGCAACGCTTACAAGTGGAGCAAGTACCTCGTTTGGCTTGGGGCATACCGACGTGGCTTTTCGGTCTCATAAGCCAGGACTTTTGAGGTGAGTCTGACTGAAGATTTCTGCCACACTAAAATCTTTTTGGAGGCACGCGCGGCTTCAGCAAGGGGGCTCAGACCTCGGATCGTAGCCTTTGGAATCCCGAGCTCATATCGGAAAAAAATGAAATCGACGAAAGGAGGCTTCAAGTGCTGGAGGCGAGAGGCTGAGTAATCACGTCCAGGCCCCGGGGCCCCGGGGCTCCCAGCAATTAACCTTGGAAGGTCCACGGCCCGGGGGTGCCCAGAGACTTGTGTCACGTGCCTTCGATACTTGACTACGTATTTCGGTCACACCATTGTGTTGTGTTTATATCGAAAGCGTTGCCAGACTCTGAAGTTTGTTAGCTTTCATTTGAATCGTTGGTTTATGCGCAGTGTGTTGAATTGAGGCAGAGAACTGCCCTGGAGCCCTGCCCGTGAAGACCGCGGTACTTCTAAGGTTGCCCAGGTGGTATTTAATACATCCCGCTATCCTTACGTCACTCGGACATTGGGAGTGCCGGTCAGTCTCCACTTTTCGGACCTTCAGAGTGCCGAGATAGTTCGGACATCCAAATACAGGCCCTATTAAAGGAAAATGTACATTGTAGCATTTCACCGAAGGGGATCTTTTCTTCTGTCTCTCAATTCGAACTTGAGCCGCCTTTCTCTGAATCATGCAACTTATTCGATCCCTTTTTGTACATTCACGTCCCCACCTTCAATATGAAGCCAGATTATCTCGGCTAGCACGTCTCAGGCTGCCGGGGAATATCCCAAATGGCCTGCATCGCATTCGAGCTGCGAACTTCTGTTCAAAACGAGACAACATTTCCCATCAAAGTGTTACGAATTCGATCGCCCAGAAATTCCAGCGCCCTCTTGTACCATTGCTCGATTGGTATTCACGCTCTCAGAACCGACGACCATATCTCACCCAACTTTGTCTGACGCCGCTGATATATTGCCTTGGCGATTTCTCGGCACAGATGATAGGAGACGATGAATACGATTATCAACGCTCGCTACGGAGTATCATTGTTGGTCTCGTCATAGCTATTCCTAGCCGCGAGTGGTTCCTGTTCTTGGGGCGGCGGTTCAACTATGGCTCGCCAACTCTATCTCTCGGAGCTAAAGTAGCCGCCAATCAAATGTTCTACACCCCGATGTTCAATGTGTATTTCTTTGCCTTTCATGGTCTTCTCGCCGGGGAGGGTATTGTGGGTGCCGTCGAAAGAGTGAAAAATACGGTGCCGACCAGCATTCCAAGGAGTTTCCTTTACTGGCCTCTGGTCACGGCATTCAATTTTTCATATGTGAAACCAAATTCTCGCTCAATCGCTACATCGATCTTCGCTGTTTTTTGGCAATCATATTTGAGTTGGTTGAATAGTTCGGCTGGGGAAGGAGATAGAAATCGCATCTGTCATCCTCAGCCAAGCAATGTGAAAGAGGTGGAAGATATTGATCATCGGCTCCTCATGTTCGACGACAATTAGAAAGCCATCATGCCAGGGCGATCTTCACTGAATCTGCATTTTCTATCATCCTACCAGCCCCGCCGTCATCGCTTATACACCACTGTATCAGCTTGATCAATACACATAGAGCGAACTCTTTGGTTTTGGCATGGCTGCATTTGCGCAAATAATACAAGATGTAAATAAATTGTCGCTTCCCTGTACTTACCCCCTCTTTTTTACTTATGTTCTACGTATGAAATGATTATCCGGACGAACTGTGAACGAACTGTTAGATTGGTTTTTCGTTCAACTAAGTCCAGCACATACTCCTTAGGCAGAATCTTTGCTAGAAAAGAGCCCAGGCACATGTACAGATATCATTATAATTCAAGATCTGGAAAAAAAAGTAAGGAGTGAATTGAATGTACTAATACACAAGTTGAAGGAATGTTGACGCAATGCGTGCGCCCTTCAATTACAACATCAACCAGATATGGTGATGTTTTCAACCCACATCTGGTGATCAGCCTTGGAAAGAATCATCGCCCTATGGACGCCTGTAACAAAAGGTAACATCAAATGATTTGACAAAAATGATTAGAAGAAAAAAGATAGGTCGCAACATAAGGCATCAATGGGTTAAAGGCATATCGAGGGTCAAGTGTATCTCGTGTCGCTCAAGGTGACAGAACATCGTCTGTCATACGTGCTAGCTTAGCAGGTGGTGATGAACAGGCCGAGACTAGGGGTGAGGTTAGCTAGGAGTCGAGAAGCAAGCATTGGTTGGAAGACGTACGGAGAGGGGTTCCAGTCCTGGAAGAAGTTAAGATCAGTGCTGCCAGAGCCCTTCATTTCGAAAGCGACGGTCTCGCCAGCGGGACAAGCGAACGTGGATACAACGTAAGAGTTGCCGGGGGAAACAGTCATATCGCCGAAATCCTTGGAAACGGAAGGCAGGCTGCTGAAAGAGGTAGACTCGTCGACAGGAGCAGAGAGCTGGGCAAAGTCGATCTGGCCATTGCCACTGAAGCTGAAAGACGAGGTCTCCAGCTCATCGCGCTTAGGGAATAGGAACACGAGGCTGCAAGTCTTGCCCGAGTCTGAGGAGGGGATATCGAAGTTGAAAGCACTCGAGACGGTCGAGCTCACGGTGCCATTGAAGGAGGTACCGGGAGCAGAGTCAGGCGAGGAGGAGTCAACGGGAATGATCAAATGAGGAGTCTCGTAGCTGCCGGTGGTGAGGGTGGTAGGGCAGGAATTCTCGGTTGATGAAGGAGTGGAAGATGCGGAGCTGCCGGGGACAGATGCGCCACCAGAGCCGCTGGGCTGAGAGCCACCACCGCCACCGGGGGAAGAGGGAACTGTACCCGATCCAGAGGGCTGAGATCCGGAGGGAACGGAGGCAGAGCCGCCGCCACCAGCAGATCCGGATGGCGCGATACCACCACCACCGGATGGGGCAGGCATGCTAGCGGAGGGAGCGGGCTGCTCGCCGGAGCCTCCACTGCCACCAGCGGAGGTAGCAGAGCAGCTGCAATCAGTGACGGTAATAGTGTTCACGACTGTGACGGGAGAGCCGGGGAGAGGAGACTCCGAGGGTGAAGAGCCAGAACCGGAGCCGGAGCCGGATCCAGGGCTGGAAGGCGAGCTACCACCACCTCCACCAGAAGAAGCGGGGACGGAAGAGCCAGAGCCAGAGCCAGAGCCAGGGCTAGAGGGGGAGCTACCGCCGCCGCCTCCAGCGGAGGGAGCAGGAGTGGAAGATCCAGATCCTTCACCAGGACCACCAGAGCCAGAACCACCAGTGGCTCCGGGAGTTGAAGCAGAGCCAGCGGGAGTAGACTGAGCAGGAGATGGGCCAGCACTGGCGGATGACGAGCCGCCGGAACCAGAGCCCGAGCCGTTGTTAGAGCAGGAATCGGCACTCAGCTCGACGCTCACGCAGCCGGTCACATCAGACTTGTTGGGGTTGGTGTAGACGTTCAGACCACCATTCTGTCCAGTAGCACAGGCAACAAAGTCGGTGCTGCCTTGGAACTCGAGCTGACCCTGAGAGTTGATAGAGAAGCCGGAGGTGGGCGAGGCACCCTCGTCACACTGCAACTGGGTAGTGGGGGCTGTTATACAGTCAGAGTGGCTCGTGGTGTGCAACATTAGAACGTCTTGATATACTTACGAGTGAGAATGCAACCACGGCCATTGGCATCGGTGATGGCACCCTTGGAGTCGATGCAGTATTGGGCGGGCGACAGGCTGTTATCGCCGATGCGGTTCTGACCGTCGCTCAGTTGACCAAGCTCACCGGAAGCACCCCCGGAAGAGGTGAGGTGGAAGCAACAGCTGTCACTGCGACCAACAAGAGCGTTGGTACCAGCCGCGAAGGCCGCAAGCGTGATGAAATTCTTCATCATGATCAGCGAATGTGAAAGTGGTCAGATAGCGAGTGAACACAGTGCCCAGAGGGAGAATGCTTTCGTTTCAGAAGACCTTGAGAAGTTCAATTCGAATAGATGAGTAGAGGGATAGAGAGGAAAGAGATCTTTATAAAGGCAGGTGGGGGGTTTCATCTCGCATTACGAATCGGGAAAGTTATATACACGGCAGGTGCAGAGCACCGGCGAAACTGCCCGAGCCAAGATCCAATTACCGAGACAATAAATAGAACCTGTCATACCGCAAGAGCCAATGCCCTGATCTCGGAGAGTTGAGCAATGCAGGTCCGAACCAGTTGGAGCAAAGGTGCGCAATGCAAAGAGCGTAGTCGACGTCATGGAAATGTGGAGTAGAGAGACATTGGGGCTGCTCCACCAAATCGATCTGAGTTACAATCCTCACTGGCTGAGAGGCAAGCTGAGAACAGGCTGAGGATCCTGGTTCAAGGCCCCCCTGTGGCCCCTTGGGCCTGTTGATACCCACGTAGACAATCCGATTTAGAGTGGCAACACCTGTTTCCATGGACCACTGCTTGCTTGTCTACTCCGAGAGGCTCAGGGCGTTTGCTTGTCCGGATGAAACGGATGCACCAGTGCTTTGTCCATGGACAGCCCCGGCACCTTGCAACTGTGATTGAATGCTGTATACGAGGCCAATTGCTAACTATAGTTATGAAGCACCAACGCTAACTTGGGAAACCGCTACCAACAAACACTCTTTGCTGGCAAAGGGCTCCGGCATCAATTTGGTGCAAAGGACATCTACGTGTCATACGTGTCCAATGCTACTGCACTATACTGTTAGTCCTCTGTATGCGTAGTAGACGCCTCCAATTGTACCAGTACATATGTAGTTGGGGATTTTATGTGTTCAGGAAAGGGCTAGACCACAAGATCAGCATTTCGGATCGAGAAATCACCGATAGCCAAGGTTGAACTTAGTTACCTGGTACGACTGTGTGACACAGCAACGGTAGAACCAAGCCTTGTGAGGTCAATGGCATATGTTTACACCTCAGCTCCAGGGTAACAGGACTCCAACTGTAGTAATAGAGCAGATTGGTCGTTGTGGGGTTCTCTTGTTCCACGGTACGATTTCCACAACTTGAGCCCTTTGGATCTCAAACAAAGCTGCACTAGTACTGGCAGCACATTCAGGGTCCTTTTTCTATTCAAGTCTGGAAAGCTTTGGCCTATGTGTGTTGCACAGTGTGATTGAGCTACTTGTACAACGAACAATGGTAGTATGCACGCATTTTGCGTAACCATCAACGCCCCACGACGCGTGTCCACATTATGTAAACCCATTTCTTGGATGATCAGCACTGGGCCAATACATTTTCACGAGTTTCTTTTTTAAGCAAAGATTCCAGGGTTGACAGCGTACTAAATGGCTTTTTGTGTTGAGGTTTTTGAATTTTACCTAAAAAAATGACGATAGGAGACTGTGGAAGTTGCGAAGTAAGACCATCGCAGGTACAAGCACCATGTGTTCAGGAACCAGGCAACATGATCGTAAACGTGTGGTAAGAGCAAAATGTATGACATCAACCGGAGGCCTCGGAACTAGTGTCTCTTGTGGAGTATTGATCAAGCCACTGCTCTCATACACTTCCCCACGGGACCCGCTTAGGCCCTTGTGATTGTATCTACAAGTAAAGTGTAGTCATTAGAATAGAGTGGACGTCAGTGCCTTACTGTACAGTGGAAGTGGACATGGCCGATCGCACTATGGACATGACCGGTTAGAGCCCTAGAAGTGGGACCCAATTGCAATGCTTTGGGTATGGCAACTCTAACATACTACATACACATATCCTCACTTGAGACGATTTCACAGATGCGTCATACTAGCACAACTCATACACTTACAGTAGATGTCGGGTCGGGGATTCCAAGGCAAGCTGGATACGAGTACCATTAAAATTAGCACACGGAGAGAAAGGGAGAGTCTAATTCAGCAAAGAAGCTGGTCCAATCCACAGCGAGCGAGTCCACACTCTCATCGAAAACCTGCCACAGGTCGTCCAGTGCAGGCAGAGTCGGATCCATCAAGGAAGTATCATCATGTTCGCTTGAATGTGGAGCGCTAGATGCTGTAGAGGTGCAAATGCGATCGGCTGTCGTCGAAATACGGCTGACCTGGTCGGGGTGCGTCAATTGATCCCCTGCAGCAGGTACTGCTGACGCACTATGTCGGTGAAGAACCGTTTTGAACGATTCCAGTAGCCGACCAGCAAAGGGCGACTGTTCCTTGGCTTCTTCCAAAATCTTGAATGCCTCGAATATCTCCGCTCGGCTCCCTTCCTTCTCTTGTTGGTGGTTGTTGCGGCCACAAAAGTCTATGAGCAGGACAATGATGGCGACACATACACAATGGAGCATACCGGAAAACTTTAAGCGCGCGCTGACAAACGGTATCATTTCCTGGGAGAGTTGCTGCTCTGTTCGGATAACCATTCGAGCCGCCTCCAAACATGCTTTTTGGGAATATGCATACGCAGGATCTTTGGATGCCTGCGACAGGTAGGGTAAATGAAGTCGGCATCTCTGGGTATGTAGCAGGAAATTGAGGATATATCGCTGCGTGATAATTCCCGTGGATTTCCAATCATCCACCTTTAGTTGTTCCGACCGGCAAGACAACGAGAAGAACGGGGGCAGACTGTCTGCGAATTCGCAGATCTTGCCATCAATGTGCTTTGTGACTGCGTAGTCTGGAGTTCCAGGGTCGGACATTCCAAATGGGGCATTGTCCGTGATTTCGCGGCAGAACTCGCCCAGTCTAATTCGCTGAAGGCAATAGGACATGGAGGTTGGACGGTCCATTGGCTCGCCATGAGCAACCATTCCATCCACAACATCCTCGTCATTCCTGTTAAAAGGCTTGTTGGTCATCATGTGAGATGGCATGATGGAGTATGTCCCTCTTTGGGGTCCAGACAATTGGGATAATTGCCTGTTGCTGGATAAGCGAATATAATGACCACAAAGATGAAATGGACTCACCAATCAGTTGCCACTAGATACCACCAAACCCGTCTATAGATCTCCGCCCGTGCAGAGGATGGTGGTGGCACATCAAAGCCCGTATTATTTGGATGATCGACTCGATGCATCGATAGTTCTTTTGCCACGGATATGGCCGAAGAAACAATGTGTCGAGCCTGGGAAGCAATCCCCACTAGGTTAGTCGTTACAAATATCAAGATCACCATTGCCTGAACATCCTCTAAAGACTCGAGGTGCTTGTATCGTGAGTACTCTAGCACCTCTGTAGCAAGTTTCATCCACTGAGTAGACTGCGAGTTTGCTTCTTGCACTGAACAGAATATTCCATGGTGCATATCGCGCTCAGTCCAAAACGTGGTGGTTGTAGCGAGGACTGCCATGAGCAACGAAGCTTGTCCAATCTTTATGGGTTTACTTTCTTTCAACCCGTGATAGAGATCGTCAATCATAGCCCGCAGTGAGGGAACATGAACCACGTGGTGTAAATGAGTGAGCTCCGATATGTACTTCTCTGTAATTATCTTGGCCTCGTTGTGGCGCGGAAGCCATATGCATTTCCTTCGAGGAAAGTCCGGATGAGGGACTTGTGAGGACCTCAAAGCCACTCTAGCATCACAAACTCTGAATTCAAGCTCGAACTTCAAAAGTGAACTCTGTATTTTGGTCAGTGCCACATCTCCAGCTGGGGCCTCGTCATGATAAGCCTACCGTGGATCCTGGAGAAGTGATCTCGCCTTCCAACCAGTTGACAGCTGCTGCAGATGATTGTCCTTGGTGCATCATATAAGGGTGTTCGAACTGACGCGTAGGAGGAGATGGCACCGACGGTGCCTGGGTTGTAGCTTGATCCAAGGGTTCAGATGCTTTGCCATTGCCAATGACGATTTCTTCCAACCGGCGCAAGCGGGCCAAAACATCTGCATTTGATCCTTGGCTCACGTGTAGCTCTTCTTGTTCATTTTGAATGCCTGGAGATGTTGCTGTGGGGTATAGCTGACAGGCAGTGCCCCGGCTGATACAGTTCGAGCATGGGAATTGCCGACTACATTTCAGCTTCCTTGACCGGCACGAATGACATGACACCGGCCTTGACCTTGATGATCTGACAGAAGGTTTCACGATGCGATTCATCTCCACGCTGGAATTTTTCGAATTGGTTTGAGTCGAAGAGACGAAACCTCACATGTTGTTCGGATTGAATTGGGGGCCGCAGCGCAGTGGCCAATCAGATGCTGGCAAATCCGCGGAACTTCCGCGGCCTCCGTGGACTGTACTTTGTATGGGAAAAGGTATATAAGTTGCCTTTTCTTTCGATTAGAACTCATCATAAGTATCATACCGACTCAGAAAGTCCATTCTTCCCTTTTCCTGACCGTTTTTCTTTTTCCAAGATTGTTTCAAAATGGATCCCATTGTCGCTCAAATTCACGCATTGGCAAAAGTCGCCGACGAGGAGAGTCGACTCAATATTATCAAGGAGCTACGTCAAGTTCAAGTTGAGCTTCAAAGTCCCAAAGATAGTCTCATGGAAATTGTAGGCTCTGTGAGTACCAGCATACCTCTGTCTCTCGGCCGTGCTGACAATTCCAGGGTTTGGTCAATGCAATGCTTCGCGTTGGAGCGGACCTGGGGCTTTTTACCTTGCTTGCGAAGAACAAAGGTCCATTGAAAGTCGAAGAGATTGCAAGTTCGACCAATGCCTCTCCTCAGCTCTTGGGTAAGATATCAATAGTAGCTGTGGCTGCACCAACGGCTAACCAAATGTTGGGCTTCAGAGAGAATTCTTCGCTACCTGGGTGCAACAAGCGTTATCAAAGAATCAGCTGCCAATGAGTATACGGCAACCATGCTCACCCAGGTACTGGCTGATCCTCAAGGTGAAGCCATGATATACCATGGGTAAGTGCCATATCCTAATCCTTCAAATTCAATCCAGCATGCTAACCTTCGATGTCTGTTCAAAGATTCGATACCCACGGCCCTGTAGTCCAAGCAATGCCGGATTTCTTCGCAGAAAACGGTTACCAGGATATCACAGACAATACGCACACGCCCTTCCAGAAGGCTCACAACACAAAGCTCACTTCGTTCGATTGGCTTGTCCAGCAACCCAAGCACTTTGAGAATCTGCAAAAGGTCATGACATCTCTTCAAGGATCAGAATGGACCAACGAGTTTGCGCTTCTGGATGATGAGGTTCAAAAAATTCCATTCAGTGCCCCGCAAGCATTTGAGAGCCCGTTCTTCGTCGACGTTGGCGGTGGTCACGGTCACCAGTGCCGTGAGCTTGGAAAGAAGTATCCAAGCCTTCTTGGACGCATGGTCCTCCAAGATCTCCCCGAGGCAGTCGGGAAGCTGTCTCCAATAGAGGGAGTCGAAATCAAAGCTTATGATTTCTTCCAACCTCAACCTGTTACAGGTTCGTATCCCCTCAAAACAATCACTAAGATGAATCAACCAATTGACTTGCCAAATTCAGGTGCGAAGCTCTACTACCTTCGCAGGATTATGCACGACTGGCCTGATAAAGAGGCTGCTGCCATTCTTCGAAACACTGCCGCCGCAATGAATTCTGACTCTCGGATCTTGATTGACGACACCGTGATCCCGGATACCGGTGCGAACTGGCAATCGACCTTGGCGGACCTTGCAATGATGGCCTTTGGAGGTAAGGAGCGGACTGAGGCCCAGTGGCATTCTCTTGCAAAGAGTGCTGGCCTCCATGTTGAACAGATTCATACTTACGTTGCTTCAACCTATACCGCGATAGTGGTTTTGGCGCTTGAGTGAGCCTTCCAAGGTTATCTGGAAAGGTCGATTCAAGTATTTCGGTGTTCAAGGTTGAATGTGGACACCCTTCGGGGATGACCCTGTACTGTTCGACGACCGTTGATGTTCCACTGTTGAGAAAATTGTTATATGCGAAATTGAATTGTCACCATTTGCTACCTACATATGTCCCAATATAGGTAGTTTAAATCGAGCACAACGATATAGAATGTGGATAATCCACCAAAACACAAAACGCCTTGCTAGCCGAGCGAAAGGTGAAGGGAGAAGAAAGGACAGAAGTGACGCTGGGAAAGGAGAAAGCCAAAGCTAAAGGACAGACAGAGGCCACAGTCTGATGATGCTAATACAAGTCGTAAATCGTGCTCGATGCTCGGATAGAACGGTCAAATGCAAAAAGATATAAACAAATTCCAAGTTCACGCTGTTGGTAGGCGAGTTGGAAAGGATTAAGTAGTGTTGGGAGTAATGGTGGCTGTCGAGCCCCCTGAGGCGACCCGGGTTCCTCCGGGGGTTGGTTGACCCTCATCGATGCTGGGGAATTGATTCTGTGTCGGCGTGATAGGAGAGACAGGCAGAGGACTTGGCAAGTTCACGTGAATAGAAGGCAAGCGGTTGATAGCCGGCAGCTGCTGACCGAATCGCTCTGCGGTTGGGCTTTGGTATGCAGGAGCATCGCCCCAATCCAAGTGGTCGTATTCCGGAGGGGGTGGGATATTCAGAGCGCCCAGGTCCCCTTCGTCATTCTGCGAGACGGGCCGGCTGGAACCACGCGTCGAAGTCGGCGCTAGTGGATCCAGCTCTGTGACGGTCGATTCGCTCATAATGGACGAAGCCACAGACTGGATCCTAGAGTTGAAGCTTGAAGGATCAAATGATGGCGCAGATGAGCTGCTGTCATTCATCAGGAGAGGGCGGCTATCAGAGTCCTGATTCTCCGAGTTATGCGAGTCTGCACGCAGTCGCGAACCATCATGGCGGACACGCCCGAGTTCAGCGTAGCTTACGCTTGAGATTCGACGGTCTCGCTCACGTGCTTGATGCTCCGTCAAGGCTGTCGTTAGATCTGCTGCGCCGTTTGTCCCAGCGCGGCGACGTTGTGCCCGCTCCCGAGTTTCAGCATTCAACTGCTCGAGGCGAGTGTAGTCGCCGCGGTCTCGGGCTTCTCGTCGTTCTCGGCGGCGGGCCTCGCGGTCGGCCAGCTCTTGTCGGCGCTGCAGGCGAAGCTGGTATAACGATTCCATGTGATCTTCTCGTCTGGTTTCTTGCTCTTCCGCAGTCTCTGGGTATTCCACGACCATGTCCATGCCACCTCGTTCACCCTCCCGGGCGATAATTTGTTCGGTCGGCTTCGGGCTGGACGAGTAGGGCGGCAAAGTCATGATCGAGCGAATGGAGGTTTCCCGACGAGGACCCTCACTCGTTTGCATCTCGGGCGTTTCTCCTGCGCCGCGATAAGAGGTATCGGGATTCCCATTCCTAGTTTGACTGACCTGCCCGTAGGCAGCAGTCCCCGGACGCCATTTCTTCCATTTTTCCTTGAGGAATTTGCCCGGCAGATATTTCGGCTCGAAGTAGTGTTGCCGAAGGTAACGGGCGAGGAAATAACTGCCTACGACGATCGTGACAGCGAAGATGATGGACACGGCACACTAGATCCACGTCAGCCTGGATTCGCCCCGATCGCGGGTTGGACCTACAATGATAAATATGTTGTTCTTTCGTTCCGTATTAGCACGTTTCCGAGGAATGTACATGATGGGCGTGATCATCGGAATGGAAAAGAAAAGAAAGAAGAGAGAAAGGGTTCCAGCCACATGAAATCCGAGACAGGCCCAGAATAGATGGCGCGGTCGGTGGAGGCTGTGAGCGTCACTCTTCCTCTCCTTCAATCAAATGGGTTTTGGTGCGCCTCGTGCCGATCTTGACTGTGATTAGTCCTTTGATATTCTGTCGACCTGGCACTTCCTTTCGTACCGTTTCCCCAGGGATCGTGGCCTCTGCACGGGAGATCCGCACGGTGGATACGTTGTTTTCCCGCTCATTTACCTTCATTTACATGAGTCCTCGAGCCGGCACGAGTCCCCTGCGCAGGGGATGTTACGGTGACACGAAAATAGCTTGCCCTCAGTCCTCGGCTGTGGGAAAGCTCTCTGGCTATTTGACTGCGTCAATTGCTTGTAAATCATGGATTTGATAGATCATGTTTGCGGCTCAGCCTGGGCCTGTACGCAGTCCGTAGGGAGTCGACTCCAGGGCTGAATTAATGCTTATCGGAATTATCCCTTTTGGGCGGACTAACGAATATGCAACAAGCATCCCTGACTCCGGGACATGAGTTTCATAATGATCGTCTCCACCAGGTCCGTCAAAACAGCCCTGGAGAGGAAATTGGATTTTCAAATAATACGTCCAGGCCCTTGGAAGAAAATGCCTGTAGTCATGCCCATATATATTGTGCCAATTTGTACGAGTAAATCACAAACCTAGAATTCGAACTCCTTGCGGAAAATGTTCACGTCCATACCGGCAACCACCTGGTCCGCCAAGTCCCGCCGACCCATCTGACTGAAGACGCGACGCAGCGTATCATACAGGTTAGTACTCTGGTTTTGGCTGATGTGCAGCATGCGCTCGAGACGTTCGTCATCCAGGCCATCCGGGTGGACACCGTCGTTGATAATCTCACGGGCTCGCTCGCGACCCTCTTGCTCCACAACCCGATGCATCGACAGGGCGCCAAGGAGGTGTTGTGCGGCTTCGGGATAGCAGCCGATGTTAATGCATGAGACACCAAGGTTGTAGCGTGCGCGCACGAAGTTAGGGTTGATGTTGAGGGCCTGCTCATAGGCTTCAATTGCCTCTTCTGAGCGGCCGGAGTTGGCCAATGTGGCGCCGAGACGGTTCCAAAGAAGATGGAGTTGCTCTTGCTGGTTTGTACTACCGGATTCAGTGGAGGCGAGGGCCGCGGAGAAACAGTCGACGGCCTTTTCGTATTCCTCCGCACAGTAAAACAAGACACCTAGACCAACCTGTACATCAGGATCCATCTGTGCGCCAGAGGGGGAGAGCTGGGCAGCTTGAATGAAGAGCTCGGTCACGCGGTCATGGAGGAGCTGTCTGTCTGTGAAACCGAGGTCCGCGTCGCCGGAGACTTCTTTGGGGTCGATGATTGTGGGGTATTTGTTTGAGAGCCAGCGTTCCAGTGTGCGGTAGGCAGTAGAATCGTAGCCCTCATTGGTGTATGAGACGGCGAGACCCATCAGAGCATCGAGATTCCCGGGGTCGACCTTTAGAGCCTGTTCCAGTGCACGGATAGCCGGCAGCTCCTTTTCGTTCTGCGCCTGCGCAGAACCCAGCATTGTCCAAGCTTGCACATGCTGAGGTTCTTTTTGCACAGCAGCTTCGAAGGCCAACGCAGCAAGGGACAAATTACCACCCTCGCGCATAATCTTCATTCCCTCCTCAAAAGGATTTCCCACGGCTGAGTAGACGTTGTCCTCCTCGAACATGTAGTCGCCAAGTTGGGGATCGCGGAACCGTGAGTTCAGGCTGTCAAAGCCCTCCCAGTCGCCCAAATCCCCGACATGCACGCTATCAGTGACCTCGAAGTTATCCTCCTCGGCGATTTTCCTGCTCGCGGTCTCAGCCTGGACCCGTTGCCAAACAGACTCAAAGGCATCGGTGGGCACTGACCTGTCCAAATCATTCAATTCCGCCTCCATAGCCGCATTGGCCGCATCATCCGTCTGAGCCTCGTCCACGTGTGCGCTGTCCATCTGTGCGAATTGCGCCTCCCAGTTCTCGTCGTCGAGTTCAACCATTCGCTCCTTGCCTTTGTCCTGTGTCTGTCCTCCCATCGGCTGCTGCATCCCCATCTGTCCACCCATCATGGGTCTCATCATTCCCATGCCGCCCATTCCACCCATATACCCGCCACCCATGGCCATGGGTCGCTGGTAGTTTGACATCATCGGCGAAGCCGCTGTCTGGGGACTAGATGTTTGTGGCATGCCCATACGATTCTGTTGCTGGAACCGGGCAAATTCAGCGGGGTTGAACCCGGAGCTGTTGTTCATTTGGCCGGGAAAAGCTGCTTCCATGCGGGCCTGCTCGCCCGAGTCGAACTCCGCCGCCCACCCAGGTGATCCCGTGCGGGCAGGTGCCGTCTGAAAGTTATCCAGCTCACGGCGCATGTGCTCCATGGCGAACGGTTGCGGGGGAGGTCCGTTCAATTGCTGGCCGGGTTGTTGCATGAAATCGTCCATCATCTAGTTTCCCGTCAGAGGCGGTCATGCCATTTTCGGGCTCCCTGGCTCACCTGGTCTTGTCCGGGCATCATATTTCTGGACCGCATGCCTTCTTGCATTCCCGGCCCATGGCCAACAAGCCGATCGCGCTGTAGTGACTTGTCATCTTGGACGTGCTTCGTGAATTGAGTGAGGGGATTCCCCGCTGTGGAACATTCCGCACCACCAAGGAACGACATAATGCGAATGTGTAGGTTGACTTGATAAGGAAATTGAACGGGTTTCGCAGAGGAGAAAGAAGGTTCTATTTCCCCGGGGTATCTCTGACGTGGGGTTAGATTGCATTGACCTTTCCGCCAGCCGAGGTTGAGGTTCCCCGGAGGTCACGTGATAGATTATAAATACAGGTTCGATTCCAACCTTGGAACCTTGGAAGGTTCGATGCTATTGTACACGGAGTCATATCCAGAGAGTATTACATCTTCAGTCCCTGTTCTCGGGCTCACGAACCTCACTGGCCGTGGGCGATTGACCTTCTCCAGCGGTTTGACGTTCCACCTCGCTGTCTCTTTTCTCCATTTTCTTGTCCTTGTAGCGAGAGTAGTCTTCTGGGGTCATGATCTTTCGCTTGGCATAGTTGACGAAGAGCTTCCGGCCGTAAGGCGCCTTGCGACTTAGCATCTCTTTTGCGGCAGTCGCGCTCTCCAGGTCAGCGAAATCTACGTGACCGAAGCCACGGGGGAGGCCGGTGCGACGGTCAACAGGAATGCGAACATCTGTGATGCCTTTGAGGTCCTCGAAAATCTCCTGAAGATCCACGTCCGTCAACTCGTAGGGAATGTTTCCAATGTAAAGAGTCCTGGTGGGATTCGTCTCGTTGCGAGTGGCATTGTAAGTAGTGTTGGCGTAGTTCACAACAACCTCGCGGCCTTCGTAAATACCACCATTCTGCTGAGTGATAGCGTGGGTGGCTTCTTCGGTGGTGCTGTAGGTGATGTAGCCGAACCTGGTATGTGTTAGGGGATAATCCGGCGTATATCTTTCGGAGGTTGGTAGGAGCTCACCCTTTACTTAATCCTCGGGTGTCATGCACGATCATAGCACTCTCCACAACACCGAATTGTTCAAACTGCTTGCGCAGATCCTCAGCCGTGACATCGAAGAACAGATTTCCAATATACAAGGTGGCCTTCGGGACCGGTCCGTCACGGACGAAGTCGCGACTTTGGTAGCGCCCGCGCCGCTTGGGCTCTTGACCCTCAGGCCTGACAGACTCAACAAACTTGATACTAGGACCGTCTTTGGCATCATTTTGAGGACCATCGGTTGAGTTCCATCGTGCTTGAATGGCTGATGGGTAGGCAAAACGGGGAGCGGCGACGACCGAAATGGAAGGAGCGCTGCCCTTTGAGCGTGAAATAAGAGTAGAGATACTGGTTGGCGAAGAAATGTTTGACGACTGAAGCCGAGAAGCGGCGCGGCGGAAACAATGCCTGCGGAGAAATAGGGATCAGTGGTTGCCCATGTTCGGTGTACACCCAGAGCGTTTAGAAAGGAGGGCCTTGGTCAAGGGGATTCCAAATAGCACGATAACTCACATTTCGATGGAAAACAGAACAAATTCCCAGGCTCGCGCTTTCGAAGAAAAGTTGATTTGACTAGAAATAATCCAAACCAATCATCTTTTTTCCGCGCCGATGCATACGATATCCTATGCCAAGCCTTGAGGAGTCAGCATCATCTTGGAGCCTGAGAAGTCAGGCCACTAATCAACGTTCTTCACATGCGAGCGGCGCACCCGCGGGCTCCAAAACACAGTAAATACGATTTATGCCACACTTCCAAGGTTCTATTCCAACAACTTCTTCTCTTTCTGATATGGCCCGTTGTTGATAGTCATGTCATTGACAATGGCTAGCTGTACCTAGGTAGTGTACTTTAATTTTAAGAAAATTCGAAGGGTGCAATATCGTGCTGCAACCTTGAGGCTCCAAATGTATATATCGCAACTGTCAAGCTAACAATACTTTCCAAACTCCATGTCCCTCTACAGTGAGAGAGACTACCTACTAGGTAGTAGATCTATGGATGGTTCATAAAAAGCACCTGGACATGATCTTGTAAAGTAAACTCCATATAAATAGTTGTTGCTGCACATGTGAAGTATCATGATGCGATATATCTTATTTACTGTCAACTGTTTTCCAAGGTTCAAGGTTGGGGTGGCCAGCTTGCATCCACCTGGGCATGGATGTAAAATACGTTGGGTAATTACTCCCTTTCCTCCGTACTAGGTACTAGGTATAGAGTTAAAATCTAGGAACCTTCCTGGAGGATGTTCGGGTTGGGACCTCGGGAGAGCGTTGAATATTTCTATGGATCCTTTGAAACAATCTACCTAGGTAGCTTATTGTTCAATTCAAGAATGCTCACATAATTTTCTGCAGCCCTGAGACCCGGAGTGTCTTTTCATATGTTGACTACCTGGCTAAAATCATCTTTCAAGGTTCGACCTCAACGACTCCCACAGTAGCTCAAATCCCTAGGTATAGCTTCATGACCACTCCCAACAGCAAATCCAACAACGATTAGCGACAACCCTGGAAATGCCTCATGAAGGCAGCAAGGCCTTGTCCCAATCAGCCTCCAAAAAGTCAGATTACCACTGAGCAGGATCGGCATCGGCAAAAGTAGATCCAGCTGCAATCTGGTCATACCAAACTGAGCGTGTCCCTTGGGTTCCCATCATGGTCCCATCGTCGTGCCAGCTATTGGCATAAAGACCGACGCGGAACTGGAATGCTCGATCATCTTCAATAGTCGTGTTGATGTTGTATTCCTCGAGCACCTTAGTTCCGTCAAACCACATCTTATAATATCCAGTTCCGTCTGTTTTCCAGCTAGCCTGGATCACGATACGGTGCCATACTCCTGCAGAGACGGTGGCCAGGTTCGGGAAGGTTTGGATCCTCTGGGCGCAAATGTTTCCTTGCTTCACGCGCGAGTACAGCTGGTTTCCCTGGAGCCACACCATGCTGGAAGGCATCCAGTCATCACACCCTGTGTCCCCGAAGTCGGCGATGAATTGCGCGATATTGTAGCCTTGGGCTGGTGAGAACTGCCAGTTTTCCTGGAGGCGGAAGGCAAAGCCATAGAAACCGGTGTCGCCACGCTTGTAGACAGAGTTCTTGACAACTTCGGAGTGATATCGGCCGGTGTAGCTGGGGTCGTAGACCTGGGTCATTTTCAACGCAGTTGTACCTTTGTACACGACATTGGTAACTTGCTGGACGGTGCCAGAATGCTCAGCGTTGGTAGCGTCCCAGCCAGAGGTTGTTCCAGTATTGCTGAAGATTTGAGTTGCTTGGGAAGAGATGCCGAGTGCCAACAAGAGGGCAATTGAAGAGATTTTGTGGAGCATCTTGACTTGAGTAACAATCAACTCACTGAGATCTGAGCAGGAAGAAATGATTTGTGTCCAAGTATTTTGAAGGCTGGAGATCCACGCTTTTATAAGACCACTCGATGAATTCGCCTAGCAATGCAAATGCTAGCAAGACGCCCATGTCCTGTAGAGTCATGTCAATGTGTGATGAGCTATCCCTCTTTCTGTCTGATTTCGAGCTCAACTGAGCGAGGGGCTTGAAGCGACTCGTAAAACACAGCCGAAGACACGAGTGACTATGTTACCATAGGCATCGTACTATGACCATATTGCCGGTTTGGACATAGCTGAATGCCCCAATTATCCCAGCGACGGGTGCTATTGGGCTGGTAGCGGTAGTAGTATGATTGTCGCTTAGCGTTCCCCGCAGTTGTGCAGTCTTCATGCAGGCGTAGTCAGATCGTAAGCTGAAAGATCTAGCTAGTTCCCCCAATGTGACATATCCAGGTGACAAAAAGCTTACAAGCATACATTGGCAACCTTGGCTGCAGGAAATCTGGCTGTAAAAGGAAAATGGATCGCCGAAATTTTTGAAGATGCCGCCTAGCGTTGAAAGTTGCCCCAAGGTACTACCCCGTACTTGTAGCCGGGTCTATACTTTGCGCCAATCATCGAATGGTCCTACATCGAGATGGGCTAAGTAATCTGTTAGTATGAGCGAAGAGGAAATCATACGTGGGTAAAATCAAGGGAGAGGGACGTTAAACGGTACTCGCTAGTCAAGACCCGGCAAGTCCGTCCCTAATAATAGTCTGACCGTGATGTAGATCAGGGTGCATGATGTTCAATCTCCACTGATTTTTGAAACCAAGCTAAAAGCGAGACTGTGGGAAACCTTGGAAGGTACCTAGGTACGGAGTAGTCCGATGCCGGACTCTCTAATGCAGTCCTCTTCTTAGCAATCCTTGGTGTTTGTTTCACCAGTGTTACTCATTACTTCTTTGCTTCTATTGCCTACCTCTGTGTCGGGTAGCCCATATATTCTCCTACACAACGTGTGATGTATTTTAGAACTAGCGAAGCAGAAAGGTAGAGGAATTGATATCGCCATACCTAGGTAGATGGTGGCCAGGTTGAATCTTAGAATTCAGCTGGTAGTTTTGAGGCACTTTTTTGGTGCGGCACGGACCGGGGGCCTTGCAGCCATCTGGGCACCTATCAGCTTCAAGGTTGCCGCATCAGGGGCCTACCCGCCCGGGCGGGGTCTTCAGCCCCTGGACCAAGCCGAGGTTACATCGCAAGAAATGGACATCTGAAAGTTTGCACATCACTTGGGTCGGAACCTTGGAAATCATTTCGTGATATCGACCTCTACGATTGAGGATATTTCTCCAGGTGATTAATTACAAAGAGCTACTCCTACTCCGTACTAGGTACTGGTCAACAAAATGGATGGGCTCCCGAGCCGGGAGGAGATGGATGGAATTGATCCGAGGTCTAATTAGGTAGCATCCGGGCATTATTGATCGGAATCTTCCAGCGTTGGAAGCTTGCAGGCTTGCCAAGGTGGAAACTATGCGAGCTGTCGTCCATGATGAATGCTTGTGGTTGACGGTAATCTTTTGAACGTTGCACAGAAAGATATATATGACATGAGAAAGCCGAAGCCAATCAATACTTATGCAAAGTACTGAACCACGACTTGAACAAAGAGACCTTCCGGCTAGATGCCGCAGGAATCTGACCCCATCCGTCTCCAACATGTTGAACGAGCGCGGATGAGTTGGCAGCAGACCAAGCAGTCAAGCCGTGACCGTTGGGGTTTCCGGTTTTGATGAAATTGGACCAGTAGCCATTCATCTTATTGGCAATAACATAGTCTTCCGCAGCCCAAGGCATGTCAGTGGCATAGAGATTGTTCAGGACATAGTTGATTTCAGACTCGTGGTAAGCACCCTGATCTTGACCGGGAGGAGCATGGTCCCAAATGTAGTTATAGACAGGGCTGCTGTAAGCCTTGTTCCATAGCTGAGACCAGAACCATGTTCCGACCTTGGAGCGGTCGGTGAACTGAGAGTTGTAAGCACCTGAAGCAGTGGTGTTATCATGCGCCGGGTATTGGTCAAGGAAGCGCTGAGGCCAGACTCCACTGTATGTCTCGTTGAGGTCTGTGAGATATTCTGACACGGTAATATCCAGACCATATGAGGCACCACTTTCGTCCTTCGTGTTTCCGGTAATCACGGGCACATCCTGGGCCAATTTATTAACCAATGTGTTGTAGTAGGTGTCTGGGATGGCATATTAATCAAGCGTAGCCTGGAAGTTGAAGTTTGAAGAGAGGAAGTTCGTGACGAGACTTTCCATGGGCAGTTCGCGGGCTTCGGCAATGGTGGAAACATTCAAGCTCTTCAAGTAGGAGGTGCCCGTAGAGTAGGAAGAATCAATGGTCGTGTAAGCCTCCGCAAGGCTAGTACACAAGGGATCTTGAGGATCCCTAACACCACTCTCAATGATCGCGCCGACGATCAAGCCCTTGGTGAGAGGACTATTCAGTATATGCTGAGTTGCAGCTGACCCGGCAGACTGTCCCATGACAGTGATGTGATCAGGGTCACCACCGAACTCGGCAATGTTGGCTTTGATCCACTTGAGGGCAGCGAACTGGTCAAGCATACCCCAGTTCCCAGAGGTGTTATGTCCATTGTCAAATTCCTCTGTCAGCTCTGGGGTGGCGAGCCAACCAAATGACCCGGTCCGGTAATTGTAGTTGACGAAGACAATGCCCTGGTCTGCCATACCACCGCCATCAAAGAGAGCATCTGCCGCAGTCGAGAGAGCCGGGTAGCTCCACATTACGACTGGAGGCTTAGCATCGGTGGAATTCGCAGGACTCCAGATGTTGAGATTCAAACAATCCTCGTCGATGGTGTAATCATTGTTGCCATCTGTTGCTGAAGGGCAGACACTTCCAAAATTCTTGGCGTCCAATGTTCCATTCCACGCGCTGACAGGCTGAGGGGCTTTCCAGCGATTCTGGCCTCCAGTTGTTGCCGCAAATGGAATGCCTTTCCATACAGTGATATCCTTCCAATGGGTCAAATTGCCAGTGTTGGAGCTATTGAAGGCAGGGTAACCCAGGACATCTCCATTCTTTGTTTCGATGGGAGTGTTGTGGAGTGCGCCTGAGACGATAGGCGCCAGCCCACAAGTCGCCACGGCAATGTATTTATACATGGGCGCTGGTGTAAAGACGCAATTAAGAGTCAGAAATGAAGCAAAGAAGAAGAAGAAGAGGAAGAGGAAGAGGATGAAGTGAAAAAATGGGCTCAAAAATTTTCAAGTGCCACCGTTGGTCTTATAGCGTTTGAGACGTATTCCAAGACTCCAGCTCCAGGGGATATTGTTCCGGAATAGACGGCTGGTTTCATTTTCAGTTACCACGTAGTGAGTACAGAGTACTCGTATGCCAGTTTAGCGTACGTGTTGCAACCTGATCCACTGTGATCCACTTTGATCAACATCCTCAGCAGGAAGTGAGGCCACATTGGGAGTAGCCTTCAATGAAGGCTACTTGGATCACTGGGAAGAAGTTTGAAGAGAGAAAGAGGAAACTTATCCACACCAGAGAGAGAGAAAAGAGCACACAGTTCAAAACAAGACATGTAACTCTCGTCCCTATCGACTATCTAACCTTGGAATGGATGTTCTATCGCAGTATATTAGACTATGTTATAGGTTTAGATGGGGAAAAGATGTACGAAGCTCTCTGAGGAACCAGAAGCAACTGAAAGGCCTCTCATTGTCACCGAAAGGAGATTCAAATAGAGTTTCATCTTTATTCTACTGTAGACAGGAGCAAAACATTTGAAGTTGAAACTAGAGCCCATAAATCGATGAACCTTGGGGGATATGAGTTACTTCAGGGAGGCTAACGGTTTTTACGTACATAGGTAGGTAGCCCTGGAGGCAATGAATGGCACTCCAGGGCTGATGGATGCTCGGGCGATTGGTGCTATCGCCGAGTAACACGGATCTAATCTCCGAACAAAGTAACTCTGACCGAAACACTCGGAGTTCCTGTCTCGCCTTCACATCCTTTTACTCTTCTAGGGTATCAGCCCCTGGACCTACAGCAGAGATGAACGAATTGTCGTAAATTAAGACCTTCAGCATCAGATAATTTAACGTATTGTAGGGCACTCTACCGCGTAGGGCTATCCTCGTTTCGAGCCTGTGGGTTTAAACTCTTTCCCGAGGTCTTGCATGGCGAGTGGTAGATGTATTTCACAATCAGGAGCTTGGGAGGTAATCTCAAATGCGAGAGTAGAGTAACTTGACGCTGTAGTAAGTCATATAGGCTCTGTGAGTTCTCGAAGCCCGAGGTCTTCTATCTAAATATGTCTTTAGGCTTTTCCTCTTCCAACCACCAGTTGACATCAACTTGGTGGCTGGTACGGCCTACGGACGGAAGCCTACAAAGGAGGCGGGAAAACGGACCTCGGGAGGAAAGAGAACCTCGGAATCTGTCTCCCTAGGTATCGAACGGCCCTAGGTAGGTAGGGGCCCCGGGAGCCGAGCTGTCGCGTGACAGTGGCTAGCTAATTACCTACTTGCAGGTGGCTGCGAGTAAGCCTGCCCGCTGCGGGTACAGCTCTCGTGTCGAGCTTCCTCAACAACATCTCGAACTCCCTCGACGACTACCCGAACATCGTCTATCAAGTTGACCACACTAGCGGCCCTTGCAGTGGCCGTTACATCGGCCGCTCCTTCTTCCGCACCTGTAACTCCCACATTCCTGGTTGTCATCCGTGACTGCCACCAATCCCAGATTTGACAGGCTGCCCATATTGCTGATGGACAGGCCATAATGAGCGCGATCACGGCACATATTATTGTTCCGTGACTGGAACTTGCAGGAGCTTTTACAGCAAAGACTGTTAATAACTTTTGAAACTATATTATCAAATTGGCATGGTTCTCTCGGGTTTTGCATACCTTGAAAAGCCCGACAAACCTCGGCCAGCTCGTCTACATCCAGGAGCCATTTACCTTCCGCATTGGGACGGGCAAGAGGTGTGGTTGGCGAAGCCTATAGTCATTAATCATCAGCCGTGATATTCTTCCAAGGCTGTCATGAGACTTGATCCATCCATGGGTGAATGTGTCCGTCTATACACGGACACAATGACGGTTTATATGCGCAAGAACCTTGGCAAGATTTATTCATATACAATAGTTGAAATTTACCCGTGGACACGGTGTAGCTTGTTCAAGGTTGACCCGGAAATAATGTTGCAGGGAGCCTTGGAAGATCCATGGATATGGTACGCAATCTCTACCTAGGTAGCGATCCGTCGCTTCCCTGGGTTCAATAACAAGATTGCTTGCTGGATAAATGCGCATGATTATCAGCCTGTTGAAGATGTGGAGATATGGATGAGATATCATCCTGGAGTTGAATTATTTCGAGTTTTCATTGGTATCTGCCTGGAAATGATGCACTTCTTGGAATCGCACTTGGCCGACTTGAGCATGTGGAATCGCCCTGGAGCTGAGTCCTTTTCACTATGCGGTCACTGTCCTGGATATGGCAGGCGCCCGATTGATGGAAGAGAGGAAGGAAACAATCTCACGGTCTGCACCACGATGCGGTTTGGAGCCTTGGAAGCACTGCACATATGGAGCCAGGGAGCCCTAGGCCCTGGGGTAGGGTTTGGCTGAGTGATCCGGGATATCCACCTGGGCACCCGTGGACATGTTTTGATTTACCCAAAGGTGCGTTGTTTACCAAGGAGAGATCGAACACAAGAAAGACCAGGCAGATACTCGCCATGTCGGTGAAATTTTGATGTGACGTGAGGTTTTGGGTAAAATTTGATTTGTTTGAGCTATCTCCAATCTGGAGGTGTTCCCACCTGTGGCCAACCTCGCTCCTGCCTATCTGGTCAAAAGGCCACAACCCTCGGCGGGCCAAGAAGCGCCTTCCTAATCTGAAAGTCAATGAGAGTTGGACTACCTACCTATCTAACATCCGCCCCGATGTCCACGAGTCCCCATACTTCCAAGGTTACCAGGTAGCACTTGAGGTAACAAGCTAGCCTGAGCCCTTTGCCCCGTAGTAAACGGCTGAGTTGATGTTATCCCGGTCAATCTGAAACAATGCCCAAAAAGGCTTGCAAGGATCGCCCGAAATTAACGATTCTGTTAGTGGAAGGCTCTCTGAATGGACTGTACCATGCCTTCCGGTTCCGCACATAGCGCATGACTCTCGTGTATTCCTTGTCCTTGAGATAGGACATATTGCGAACGCGTAGTTCCTCGAATGATTGGGATACTGCCTCCTCGAAGTGCCGTCTAGCACATTGTTCAGAAACAGAGTAATTTGGATCAAATCCGCAATGTGGATCGACTGGGTGGAGTATCAAACTGTGAGTCTTCCATAGCAGGTCTTCTTCATCTTGGCCAGGACCCAAGTTGAACCATTTTGTCAAAATGATAGCACCCTTTGAGTGAATCTCGCATAGCTCAATGTGACAAACCGTGTTACAGATACGGCATCTCACGTCGAGATGTGTTGAGCTCTCTGGGTTTTCTCTGGCCTTATGTCGCCTCCATGAATAGCTCAGCTCTCGAAGATAGCCCACATCATGCATACATAGTGCCACAAAATCTCGTTTATGCCCATATCCTGGACCAACTACATCAGACCACTCTGAAAATAGTAGTATCTCCTGTATCCTGACATAAAGGCCGAGGGGCTCGGTGCATATCTGTGCCTGCCGAGAGAATAGCCAAGTGACTTTGCTTCTGTTGTGCCACAGACTCTCTTCGATGACTTGGGTGTGTGATAAGGAATCCGTACTGATCCCACACTCGGGGCCGAAGTGAAATCTCCTCATAGCGAGCTTTAAATGAAGGTAGGTCATATGCTGCATAGAGCTGTTGACCCGTAGATGAGTGAAAAGTCTTCCCTTCGGCGAAAACCAACCGCTATATTCTCCGTTCCAAGCGACGCATGGAAGTCGACCCCTTTCCGGGAAGATTCCACATATCCCAAAGCCCAGGGATTCATCGTAACGATGCAATACGTTGCAAAACTTGCACGCGAAATACGTCGGAACATCTCGTTCCAGCCGTGTGATGAAACAGAACTTCGCATCGGATTTGAGGGGTCGCCACAGTTTAACTATGTCAAAAGAGAGGACATAGAGTCGATGGCAGCAGATCACAAAGGAAAAGCAATCAACAGGGGAAAGAAGCTCTGTTATCATGAGTAACAACTCCGGAGTCAGTCTGTCTATTGTCGTCATATTGAAAAGCTTCATGCACAGGGATGTTTGCTTCATATGGGTGCTGAGGGTGAAATATGATGCGAGCGTTGAGAAGACGAGGGAACTCAAGAGAGTGCGAAATGGCAGAAATTCTCAAGGCTTCGTCATAATTCGCTCTACACTTTAGTATAGGCCTTCGGGGCCAGCACCCCGAAGTCAGTCCCTATGTAGGTATACTTCCCGAGGTCTATATATCCATGGATGTAATTTGGGAAGATTCCAAGGTTGGTACTTTGAATGTTCATCATCTTGTAGAGTGGAGTTTCGTCGTTGAAAAACTGTGCCAATAACAAACTCGAGAACACCCACCAATCCAACATAATACTATAGAAGCATGTGACACTTCATCGGCACTCGAGACAAATATGTTCAACTTTCTGAAAAGCAGGAATTACACCACCGTTTGGTCAACACGACTAATCAGATCAATAACTCAGGTATCAAACAAGAAGGCAAATAAAAGGACCCAAGGATGGAAAATAGCTTAGCTTGCGGAAATATTTTGACAGGAAACGCAATATGACAGCAGACCATTATTTGCTGGGCGCATTGAGGTCCCGCCAAAGCCTTTCTGTCCCTGGCACTACGCCCTCGGGGCTCATTGATGAAGGCGGGAACATCATGGGAAGTCGAGAGGGAGCAGTGCCAGCAGCGTTTGGTATTGAGGGCACATGAGATGTGGCAAGAGGAGTAGACATTGAGGACTGCGATACCCCCATGGGCTGCGGTGTCGGTGGCCAGAATTGATTAGATGTGTCGAGTGTGGGATTTTGAATGTAAGTGTCCCAGGCATCCTGCAAGATGTTAGCATATCCTAACTCAGTAGAAGGGCAGAGATGGAAGTCTCACCCAGTCAAGGTTGACCTGCGTATCTGGCATCTGGCCAAACATGCTGCTAAACGGCGAAAGCGTACCCGGCATTTCAGATGCAGCAGGACCCGCTCCCATGGGTGAATCGCTCATTTTGAACATTGGATCCGCGAATGGGGTCTGGGCTGGGTTCATCGGGCTCATGCCACTACTTAATAAGCCAAGGGTCATGGCAGCGTTCTGCTTCTCGTCTGCGGGTTCGAAAGCCGCTCCAGTGTTCTCAATACCCTGTGTCGGCATGAGAAGTTTGCTCAGCATGACACCAAGCACGCTGGATGCTTTCCAAGCGTCCATACTGACATCTCGGGTCTCATCCCAGATCTCTTTGGTCAGTTGGATGGCGGCCATCATCTCCTCGCGCCGCTCTCTGCCCCAAGTGTAAACATCTCCAGATGGACGACCGGAATTTTGCATTTGGAGACTGTGAGATAGATCGAGGCAGACTACTGTGGCTGCGAGAAGGTAATCGGTGGAGCTAAGGGCTGTTACTTTGCTTTTGAGGGTGCGAAGACGGCCACTCCGCGTTTCCGCGTGTAGGAGTGCTTGAACTCGGAGGAGTTCCATTGCGGAATCAATGCATGTCCTTCGAGAGAAAGTAAAGCGGGGGTTTTCGCGAGCGCGGACTAGATATGGGCGATGGAGGACACATTGCGCTTTTTCGTATACAGCCATGACCTGCAACTATCAGTATATTAGAAGGTAAAATATTCTTCGGGATACTTACGGAGAATCGTGACATAATGAGGCTTGTGGTGTCCACCTGACACTCGTCCATGGGTCTGATTTTAAGATGGTCGGGGATCATATCTCGGGCCTGACGCAATTCTGCGTCGATCTCCATCACTTTTTCATATGGAGCAGTCGAGACAGCAGAGCTTTGCTCAACCACACGGCCGAAAGCGTATGTCAATCGTGCCTTAGTGATCAAGTATGCGATGGGGGTAGGCTCGGACAGCTGACGAGACGGCGGGAGCTCCTTGCAGTCTTCGTCAAAGTCATCATCGTACAGGTTGCGCGGTAGCTCAGTGTCACTATCAGAGCAGCGGATCATGCTCGGCAGTCCGACTTGGAATGAAAACAACAGATCAGCATGTCGAACCAAAGTCCATACCCGACGTCGCATCTCTCCTTGGAATGGTGTAATGTTCGGGAACATTTTGGAGTCACGGTGGTATCCTGATCGCATGGCCAGACGAACAATAACGCCAGTCATAACCCAGACGGAGACGTCTGCGTCTCGATTCTGAGAAAGATCACCATGTAGATGGAACACTAGAGCTTCGATCAAGAAAGGATGTGGTTTTGTGTAGTCGGCCAAGGTTAAGCACTCCGCTACCGAATTTCGAAATGCCCCAGCCATATCCAAGGACTTGCCACGGAACTCGGGCGGCTCGTCGCCTTCTTGGTGGTAGGATAGCATCGCTAGCCTCATCAGTCCGAAAAGCATGGCGATCCAAACGAGTTCTGTTTGGGCAGGATCTTCCCAGTGTTTATTATACTAGAATGGTCAGATTGCCATGCTTCAATTTCTTGGATTGCAGCTTACCTGTGCTTGGAATGTTGGCCCGTGGAGGATATCTGATAAGAGATCAGAACAATGGCCGCATTTAGGTAGGAATAGGCCGGAGTACTCACGAGTAACAGGGTCGTATGAATTGAAATAGCGAGCCACAAGAAGATCAGTTGTATATTTGTTTGGAAGACCAGTCATGATTTCAGCACGGCTCATCGGCTTCATGACACCAAATAACAAAGTAGACCCCGAAGTATCAGTAGCGGGCTGGGCCGCTTTAACTTTTTCCATCTGTTCATCAAGTTGCTTCTTGTGAGTCGAGAAGAAGTTCTTGACTTCAGAAATCTACTCAAGTTAACGGGAGACCTAGATTAAACGGGGCATTGAACTCACATCATGCAGAACCGAAGCCCAGTGGGCATCGCTAATGTAATAAGACTTATTATTGTCTACCTTCATGATGCCAAATGATTTGGTCACCTGGTCGGTATCACTCTCCTCCGCGCCCTCCATCTCATCCTCGTCAATGTCAAGTTCGTGCGAGAGGCGCGTTGAACCAGCGCTGCTCTCTCCGGAGAGAGCAGCCATAGCAGCTGCTGGGCCCGCAGACTGGGATCCATTCGTCATCAACGAAAGCACCAATCCTTCCAACCGATCGATGCGGTTCTGCATGTCATCCGGTGAATTTGACGCAGATTGCTGGGGTGGATTCTTTTTGCGTGAGCTCGCCTGTGCATAGTTACACGATGCAGCGTCGCCTCGTTTGACGCAATTTTCACATGGATTAGATCGATTACATTTCAGCCTAGAGCGCATTAGGCATGGTTGTTTCAATCCTGTTTTTGGGTACTCACTTTCTGTGTCTGCATGGCCCGCAAGACAGAGGAACGCGGTTGCGTTTCCGCACAACCCTGTAATCGGGAGAATGGCCAGCACTCGACGAGTTTGTGGAAGGAGGTGTCGGGGTCGGTTTGGTGGGGAATGGCATGATCGCGGGGGATGGATAGTTTGCTCTGATATTCGAGGATGGATGGTTTCTGTGAGAGCGAGAGGGCTCAGCCGCACAAATGTGTCGGCTGTTTAATCAAACAGGAGGGGTTGTGAGATAAGTGGCAGCAGACCGCGCTACGCTTCCGTCGAGGCTGAGGCGCACTGACTTGTGCCGCGCCTGTGCCTCCAAGTTTCCGGCTTTGATATCGTTCGCGGTGGTCCAAATATCTGCGCCAGCTTCGAATCAAATCTGAGTTTTCGCGGGTCCAAGCACGGTGTGTAGGTGAAATTCTGTGCAACCTGGAGATTGATCGTGGCGTCAGGCACCGGTGCAAGATCCCGATCTCGGCTTGACCAAAGCAAGTTGCGAAGATCAAAGTGTTCAAATCCGATTGCACGAGAATGTCCAAATGTATCCTGAGCCAATGCGACACGGGCCGTTGAAGCTTGTGCGGGTTAAGGAGGGGTCCGAGATAAGCGGAATGAATTATGACTGGGGGGGCCGAAACTGAACCGTCGCGATTCAAGGTCGTTTGATGCGTCCGAGGTCTTGCGATGACTCCCACGCTCCACAGAAGTGATGCTCAGGAGGAGAAAGAACCTCTGAAGTCGAAAGCGATGATTAATCCGCTTATCTCCGCTTATCGCCATATGATCTCACCTGAACCGGGGACACATGAACGCACACCAGTTGACAGTCTGTACTCCTTATGTCCTGCATATACAATGTAGCACTGTGCGCATCTCACCTACCGCTTTACACGAGCATCTTATTACTTAATTTGTCAATTGGTGGCATCATAATCGCCGCGTCGAACCTGATGATAATCGTTCGACGGCATTCCAAGGTTCAACGGCCCAATTACGACAGCCCGGTGAACAAATGACTTTCTAAAGAGCAGATCCAAAATTTCGTCGCCATCAGGTGGACTGAGTATAATTTTCGAGCCATAGCTGATTGTTTAGTCAACAGTCCTGAGAAGAGTTGCTTCTCTCTGTCTTCTACTCGCCAATCGAAACTGTACTTACACTGGGCCCATTCATGCCCACATATCGTGTTTGAGGAATTCATAGATGGGCAGCGCAATCCTGCGTACGGAGAACACACCCCTGCAACTACTATATCCCTTGCATTCGATCTACCATAGAAATCTTGACTTCGACCCCGAGAGGACTACCAAGGCTTCGAGCGACAATGTATAGACGCAATGCCATCAGTATATATACCAACATTCGAAACAGGAATATCTAGGATGTGATTTTGTTCTTACAACTCCCAAATTCCAAGTTGGATCACTTCCAAGTTGCCATGTGTCCAGGTCCGGCGCAGTTGACCTAGGTAGTCAGGACGTGATGCCCTTCCAACTTGGAAGGCTTTAATGTGTTCCTAGTTGAGCGGCAGCTGCGTTTGTCTAGTGTGCCTCACTTGCCGTGGGGGCCAAAATGATTTCCCATTGAGGCTGAACAGCCATCGTGGTATCTGTACTCCGTACTCCGTCCGGAATGCAATCTCTGTCTAGCCCTGAGCCTGCAGCCTCAATGTTTTCCGGCGATCCTCCTGGCCTTCACTATGTGGAGCACAACCGAGGCCACCCCACTATCATACTCATCCACGGTGCCTTTGTTTTCGGTGGTTATTGGGATCTAGTCATCCCATATCTCAGCTCATATCACCTAATAGTCCCGGATCTTCCAGGGCATGGCAAGTCCCAAGAGATCACACCGTTTTCCGTTGAACTTTCGGCCGATCTCATCGCCGATCTCATCCGTACCCACGCCAACGGACCAGCCCATATTATCGGACACAGTCTAGGGTCACATGTTGCGATCCGTCTAGCCTCTAAAGAACCCGAGCTGGTCAAGTCCATCTTTATCTCTGGATTTGAGATTTTCCCCAAGACTGCCCTCACGCCCTATATACCATATGCCGCGTGGGTCGTGCCTCGAGTGGAAAACTGTCTCCCGCGTCCGCTGATGCGCTGGGCTATGGACGGCGCAGATTTGCCGCGCACAGATACCAGCACCTGCACACTGGATCTATGTCGACAGATCGTCTCGTCAGGAGCTCCAAATGAGTGGCCATCGCCATGGCCAGCGCGAACTCTCATCGTTGCAGCTGGCAAAGGAGGACTCATACCTACCAGCGACCACCCTCATGATGCCGTGAAGCTGATGAATATCGGGAGGGAATTGAATTTGGAGACTACTGCATACACACATAAGAGTATGCGGCATCCATGGAATCGTCAAGCTCCTCAGGTTTTTGCGGAAACTGCCCAGGCATGGTTTGAGCACAAGGAGTTGCCCGAGGGCTTTATAAAGCTTTGAAGGGTCTGGTTTGATAGTCCAATACAAAACCCGATAAGAAATTGTTTTGCTTCTTCCCATATTACTGGGTACTAGACCACATAATATTCCAACCTGGGAAGGTTAGCATAAGAGCACGAAGATATACAAGGTTGGGAGCGGGAAGTTCCGTCAACTGGTGAAAAAGTCCTGCTGACTCATGATCCCGCATAGACACACCGCCTAGTGTGTTCTGCCGCTTCCGCGGAATTTTTTTTATCTTTTTTCTTGAGGAACCAGACCGCAATCTGCAACTGAGCACGATTCGGTTTTGCCTAAACAAATATGGCGCCAATCAAGCGCAAGGGCAACGCCCCCGAAGAAACCAATGGAAAACGTGCCAAGGTCGGCGCGGAGGAGGGCAAGAAAGACCACAAGAAGTCGAACGATGCCCCATCCACCGCTGCGAAAGCCTCAGAGCTTTCAGTGCTGCGTGACGACGAACCTTCATTCCCCCGTGGTGGAGCCAGCATATTGACGCCTTTGGAACGCAAACAAATTCAGATCCAGGCCAACCGAGATGTTCTGTTCGAGCAGAAGGGAACTCAAAAGCCCGCTCAGAAGAAGACTTCTGATGAGTTCGGCGAGGATAGCGACAACGATGTTGAGATGGAGGACGAGCCGACTGCTGCGCCTTCTAAGAAGTCACGGAAGAAGAAGACCAAGGGCAAGAAGTCGGCAGACAAGGGATCAGATGACAAGCAAGATGTTCGCATCGAAGGTCTTAGCTTCAAGGTACGTGCTCGTGGACTTTACATGATGCGCCTTTCTCTAACAATCGCAGCGCATTGTCCCCGGTGCCATGATTCTTGGTCAAGTCTCCAGCATTAACGCACACGATATCGCCCTCTCGCTGCCTAACAACCTTGTCGGATATGTTCCCCTCACCTCCGTCTCGAAGGGACTCGAAGACAAGCTCGAAAAAATGTTGAATGACGATGCTGAGGATGATGATGAAAGCTCGGACGACGAGTCTTTTGATCTCAAGGAGCACTTCTACCTTGGCCAATATCTGCGAGCATTCGTTGTATCTACCGGCAGCAACCCCGATGACCCCAAGGCGAAGAGCAAGAAGCGCATTGAACTTTCAATCGATCCCAGACAAACAAACACTGGATTCTCAAAGTCGGATCTTCTTGCCAACTCCGCCGTCCAGGCGTCCGTTGTGAGTGTTGAGGACCACGGTGTGGTCATGGATCTCGGAATTGAAGGCGCAGACCTGAAAGGATTCATGTCTTCCAAGGAGATTGATCCCCGAGTTGAATACTCCAACATTAAGGAGGGATCCGTCTTCCTCTGTATGGTCACCGGCCAAAACACCAGCGGCAATGTCATTAAGCTGTCCTCTAATTACCAGGCATCCGCCTCGATCAAGAAGTCCAACTACCTCAGCTCGGCCCCTACAATCAACACATTCCTTCCCGGTACCGCTGCAGAGATTCTTCTCACCGAAGTTACACCCAACGGCATGATTGGAAAGATCATGGGCATGCTCGATGCAACCGTTGATCTGGTGCAGTCCAGCATCAACGGCAAGGTCGACTTGGAAAGAAAATACAAAATTGGTGCGAAGATTAAGGGTCGTATCATCTCCACTTTCCCGGCTGCTGAGCCTTTCAAGGTCAGCTTCTCTTTGCTCGACCACGTGCTCAAGCTCTCTACCGACTCTAGAGGCCCTGGGTCCTCGACTGATTCGCCTGCCATTTCTGCTATCATTCCTGAGGCTACAGTCGTGAAGGTCGACCACGGTCTGGGTGTGTATGCTCGTATTGGAGAGACCAAGCACATGGGTTTCGTTCACATGTCGAGACTGTCAGACGGCAAGGTCGAGACCATTGAAGAGACCGCCGGGCCTTTCAAGTTGGAGGCTGTGCATGAGGCAAGAGTCATAGGGTACAACTCGATGGATAATCTCTACATTCTTTCGTTCGAAAAGAGTGTTATTGAACAACCATTCCTCCGCGTTGAGGATGTGAACGTTGGTGCTATCGTCAAAGGAAAGGTAGAGAAACTTTTGATCGGTCCCAACGGCGTGGATGGATTGATTGTCAACCTGGCCGATGGAATCACCGGTCTTGTCCCATCCATGCACTTTGCAGACACCCAACTCCAATTCCCGGAGAAGAAATTCCGTGAGGGTCAGAAGCTTTCTCTCCGAATTCTGTCTGTGAGCCTAGAGAAGCGCCAGATTCGCCTGACGCTCAAGAAGAGCTTGCTTAACAACGAGTCTGCCATCTGGAAGGACTACGCGGACATCAAGCCTTCGTCTCAGTCTCCTGGTACCATCGTCAACCTCCAGAACCATGGTGCCGTTGTTCAATTCTACGGCGACGTACGTGGTTTCCTGCCTGTTTCCGAAATGAGTGAGGCCTACATCCAGGATCCAACCCAACACTTCAGACTTGGCCAGGTCGTCAATGTTCATGCCTTGAGCGTGGATGCAGACCTCGGAAGACTGGCTGTCTCTTGCAAGGACCCCTCGACATTCACCGAGAAATACCGTGAGGCTTTTGAAAACCTTGCCCCTGGACATCTTGTTTCCGGAACCGTTTTCGAAAAGTCCAACGACGACGTGCTCCTCAAGCTTGAAGAGTCGGGTCTCGTGGCTCGTCTCGACTCCCAGCACATCGTTGACGGCTCCTCAACCAAGCAAAACTCTATGATGTCTAAGATCCGTGTCGGACAGAAGCTGAATGACCTTTTGGTTCTAGACATCCAGCGTGCTCACCGTCTTATCAAGGTTTCGAGCAGAGCTAGCTTGAAGAAGGCTGCCATGCAGAAGAACATGCCCGGTCAATTCGAGCAAGTGCAAGAAGGCTCCGTCATCACTGGTTTCGTCCGTAACATCACACCCGATGGCATCTTCGTCGAGTTCCTTGGTGGTTTGACCGGTCTTCTCCCCAAGCGTCTCATCAAAGACGACAACCTCGAGCAGCCCCACTACGGCATGTTGAAGTCGCAGACCATTGTTGTCAATGTGCAGTCGGTGGATCTGGACTTCAAGCGCTTTGTGCTGAGCATGAAGCCCGTCCAGGCTGCTCAAGCTGCTCCTAAGAAGTCGGCCAAGCAGACCGACGACGCTGTTGCCAACTCTATCGACAGCAACATCAAGAGCATGTCTGACTTCTCCTTCGGCAGGGTTGTTGAGTGCAAGGTCGTCTCCGTCAAGACAACTCAAGTCAACGTCCAGCTTGCAGACAACATCCAGGGTCGCATTGATGTGTCCGAGATTTTCGACGACTGGAAGGAAATCAAGGACCGCAAGCAGCCCTTGCGATTCTTCAAGCCCAAGCAAACTCTCTCCGCCAGAATTCTCGGTGTCCACGATGCCCGCAACCACAAGTTCCTTCCCATCAGTCATCGCACTGGAAAGTACCCCGTCTTCGAGCTCTCTGTGAAGCCTAGCTATCTGAAGGCCGCCAACCCTGCCCCCTTGAACATTGAGCAGGTTCAAGTTGGAACTTCTTGGATGGGCTTTGTCAACAACATTGCTGATGACTGCCTTTGGGTTAACCTTTCTCCCAATGTGCGCGGACGTCTCCGATTCATGGATGCATCCGATGACCTGTCCCAGCTCACTGACGTGGAGAAGAACTTCCCCGTCGGCTCTGCTCTGAAGGTTCAAGTCACCGCTGTTAACACCGAGAAGGGTCATCTCGACCTTTCTGCCAAGCAGGGCTATGACAAGCTCGCTTTCGGTGATATCTCCGTCGGCATGATCCTGCCCGGTCGTGTTACCAAGGTCACCGAGAAGCAAGTTATCATGCAGCTCGGCGAGGCCCTTGTTGGTGCGGTCAACCTAGTTGACCTAGCGGACGACTACTCCAAGGCCAACCCTACATTGCACAACAAGAACGAAATCCTCCGGGCCTGTGTCATCGCCGTTGACAAGTCTAACAAGAAGATCTCGTTGTCTTTGCGCCCCTCTAAGGTTCTCAGCTCTTCGTTGCCCGTCGTGGACCGTGAGATCACTTCGCTCAAGCAAGTGAAGCCCAACGATGTTGTTCGCGGCTTTGTGCGACGAGTTACCGACGCCGGTCTCTTTGTCGCAATTAGCCATGATATCACTGCTTACGTCCGTGTGTCTGATCTTTCTGACTCCTACCTGAAGGAATGGAAGGAAGCATTCCAACCTGATCAGCTTGTTAAGGGCAAGGTCACTTTCGTTGATGCTGAACAGGGCAAGCTCCAGATGAGCTTGAAGGAGTCGGTTCTTGACCCCAACTTCAAGGCCCTTCTCACCCTCAAGGACTTCAAGGTTGGGCAAATCGTCACCGGAAAGATCCGCAAGGTCGAGGAGTTCGGTGCTTTCGTCGTCGTTGATGGATCATCAAACATCAGCGGTCTCTGCCATCGCAGTGAGATGGCTGAAAAGCGCGTTGAAGATGCCCGTACCCTGTATGACGAAGGCGATGCTGTCAAGGCTAAGATCATCAAGATCGATCAGGAGACGAAGAAGATTTCCTTCTCCCTTAAGGCCTCCCACTTCCAAGATGAGGAGGATGATGATAGCGCGGAGGAGGATGATATGAGCGTCGACGGTCTCGGTGGTGTCGAGCTCGGTGAGGATGACGACTCCGAGGAAGACTCCGAGGACGAGGACGATGACGATGACGAATCCATGGAAGGTGTTGATGTGGAAGATGATAGTGAGGAGGATGAAGACTCCGAGGATGAGGATGGCGATGTCACAATGCAGAAGCCCAGCAAGGCCGGTGGCCTTGGTGCCAGTGGCTTTGACTGGAGCGGCAACACTCAGGCTGCTGCAGGCTCAGACAGTGATGCCGAGGAGACCAAGACCAAGAAGAAGAAGAACCGCAAGCCTGAGATCCAGGTCGACCGTACTGGCGACCTGGATGCCAATGGCCCCCAGTCCGTTGCTGACTTTGAGCGTCTTCTTCTCGGTGAGCCCGACTCCTCCCTGCTGTGGCTTCAGTACATGGCCTTCCAGCTGGAGCTGGGTGAGGTTGAGAAGGCCCGTTCCGTTGCTGAGCGTGCTCTGCGCACCATCACCATGGGCCAGGACAACGAGAAGCTCAACATCTGGGTCGCACTTCTCAACATGGAGAACACCTACGGCGATGATGACAGTCTCGAGGATGTCTTCAAGCGTGCCTGCCAGTACAACGACCCGCAGGAGATCTACGAGCGTATGATCAGCATTTACATCCAATCTGGAAAGAATCAGGTATGTGTCTTTGCCTAACAATTCGATCGACAGATACTAACAACCCCACAGAAAGCAAGTGATCTCTTCTACGAGGCTCTCAAGAAGAAGGTTTCCTCGCAGTCCCCCAAGTTCTTCTACAACTACGCCAGTTTCCTCTTTGACACCATGGCCTCCCCAGACCGTGCGCGTGCTCTGCTCCCCCGTGCTTTGCAGTCGCTCCCTGCGCACACTCACGTTGAGACCACTTCCAAGTTCGCTCAACTTGAGTTCCGTTCTGAGAACGGTGACGTCGAGCGCGGTCGCACTGTGTTCGAGGGTCTGCTTTCCTCCTTCCCCAAGCGTATCGATTTGTGGAACGTCCTCCTCGACCTGGAAATCAAGGTCGGTGATGCGGAGCAAGTGCGCCGTCTCTTCGAGCGGGTTCTTGGCCTGCAGAGCGGCAAGAAGAGCGCTGTCTCCATTGACTCCAGCAAGAAGCTGAAGCCCAAGCAGGCTCGCTTCCTTTTCAAGAAGTGGCTTGCTTTCGAGGAGAAGCTTGCCGCTGACAACGGTGACGAGAAGATGGTTGAAGATGTCAAGGCCCGCGCTGTGACCTACGTCAAGTCCCTCCAGGAGTAAAACATGACCCCCAAAAGTCAAACTTGTGTTCTCAATCCATTGGTGTTTGGGAGCCGTGCATTTGTGTTTGTATTTGTATATAGATAGCGATTTCTAGGAAATATCTTTTGTGCCTTTTCCAAGTTCTACTGCAGGTAGCATCGATAGGCGGCTTGGGCACCCTAACAGAGTGATGAGTATCGGGATGCATGGCAACCCTTAGGGCTGAGCTATTCAATTCAAGTGGATCACAAGTGTGGAGGCATGAACTATGGAACTCTACGGGAGGTACCCCCCGTCACTTCCGCTGCCTCCGACTCTCTTTAAGTCTGACCTCTCCCACTTCTGACCTGCCCAGGTGGTTAATCTGGGGGCGTTGATTCAAGATGAGCTCGTTCCCAGTTTCCCCGCAGAGCTCCGCATCCGCATTGGATGACACCGACCCTCTTTTCGATCCGTACAGAGACTCGATAGACACCGAGGACCCAAACAAAAATGTTCATCGTGACTCTGTTGGTGTGGGCCATGCGGCCCACTCATGGCGTCAAGTACTGACAGCCTTGGCTCCCTGTTCTTCTTCTGAAGACCCCGTACCTTTCCTGTCAGACCCGTCCCAGCGCAAAAAGCGGTCCTGGAGCTCCCGGTGCTTAAGAGGTCTGCGAAGAGCGTGCATTGGAATATTGATCATGCTGTGAGTCTCAGGTCGATGTTCTCGTGAGACCGCCCACTAACCGACCCCAGCGGCATCATCCAGTTCATTTCAATCGCCTGCGGTATCGTCCTGTCTTTCTTTCCGGACGAATACGACCGCGCTGCTCATAACTGGCTGCCGAGTGCCGACAGCGCCAGTGCCGACAACAAGCACTGGCCCACCGATATCTCGCGCGATATCATCCCTGTCGGCTGTCACTCCCATAACGACTACTGGCGGCGGGTCCCACTGTACTCCGCACTGCAGGCAGGATGCGTGGGCGTCGAAGCCGACGTCTGGCTCTTCGATGATGAGCTCTACGTCGGCCACACCACATCGTCACTCACTCCGCGCCGCACCTTGCGATCGATGTATGTCGACCCGCTCGTAGCTATCCTCGAGCGCCAGAATCCAATTACCGAATTCTATCCGGGCACAAACAGTCCCGCACATGGCGTGTTCGACACGGACCCCGACCAGTCTCTTTTATTGCTGATTGATTTCAAAACCGCCGGTCCGGCAACCTGGCATGCCGTATCGAAGCACCTGTCTCCACTGCGTGATCGCGGCTATCTAACACACTTCAATGGCGAAGAACTCATCCAAGGCCCGATCACCGTTATCGGAACAGGGAATACGCCCTTCTTTGCCGTCACAGCCAATACCACCTACCGGGACATCTTCTTCGACGCCCCGCTAGACAAACTCGTCGACGAAGATCCCGATGAGCTGCCAAACATCCAATCAAAGCTCGAACTGGTCCCACGCGACACAAACACGCAGTTCACGAACCTGGGCCAAGGTCAATCCGGCATGCCAGCAGTTATCACAGCCAATACTTTCAATTCCACCAACAGCCTCTACGCCTCTGTTTCATTCCAAAAAGCCATCGGTTTCCCCTGGCCCTTCCACTTCACCCAACGCCAGATGGCGCTGATCCGTCGCCATGTGCGTATTGCGCACAGACAGGGCTTGAAGGTCCGCTACTGGGCGTTGCCGAGCTGGCCGTGCAGTCTGCGGAATCATATCTGGCGTGTACTTGCTCAGGAAGGGGTCGATATCTTGAACGTCGATGATTTGGTGGATGCTACGAAGGGAGACTGGAACACAAAGGTATTTGATTGGTGGCCGTGAGTTGTGATTATCATCCATGCCAATGCCCAGCGTGGTAGGGAGGCATATCGCCCGGGCGTACCTCGGCATGCCTTCTCATGCAAGTGCAATGGGGCTGGTCTTGAGGCGTTTAACGATTCTTCTGATTTATGATACCTTCGCTTTATGTCGATAGATTACTTGCTTTATATCTGCTATGAGTTCAAATGAAATATCTTCATGGACGTCTTTATCCCGTACTTGTTTACTCCTTGCAATGCTCGAAATGGTGTAAAGGCCCCTTGTTCAACGGGAGAAAAAAAATAATTGCTTGTCATATCGCCACAGTAAATTTTTGTTAACTGCATTAAATGCAGAAATATGCTCTTTCTTCGAGCGGGTTATAGCCTCATGCCCTTTTGGCCGACAAATGACGCTGACGCCGGAATGCTTTCAGTAACATCAGATTAAAGTCACATGCATAGCAAGAGGTGTTTAGCTTGAGACCTCCGGAATCAGACCAGTAATCAAGACCAAATAATGAAAATTGTCAACAAATCCTCGTCCAGCGGAGGTAACAACAGAAGTAGAAAATTAGCCGCTAATATCTCACAGACAGAAGAGAGCCTCCTCGCCAAATTCGCGAATGACACTGCCTTCCTCGCGAATGATCCCGCCAAGCCAATGCTTCGCTGTCTCAAAGTCCTTGGCTCCGAATTTCACAAGTACGAATCCAGCTCGTACCCGCGCCGAAGTCCAAGTCACATCGCCCTTGTGGCTAGTTGACGGTTCTGGCACCGAGCTCGGCGCATGATCCGACCAATTGCGACTACCAATCCGAGGTTGGGACTGGAACTCGTTCATAAAGTATGCACCAAGATCTTCGAAGACAGGCCCGGAGAGAATCAGCGTCCCCACGACACCATGCGGCCGTGTCCGCTCCGCGATGATATTCAGCGGAGTCAGACCGGCCGGCGCCTGGGGTGGCATATCGACGCGATTTTCGAGACCGTTATGGATATTGCGATTTGTCGTCTCGACTTCGTCTTCTTCTGACTCTGATGCATCGGAGTCGTCCGAGTCCTCTGTTTCATCGTCCAAGATGACGGAATCACGGAGAAGAAGACGGCTCTTTCCGGTCTTTTCGTCCTGGGCCCAGACTTCGTTCCGGCCGCGCCAGAATCGGAAGTTCCAATTCTCGCCGCGGGATGTGCGGCCTTGCGTGACCCAATCCAGGACGCAGAGACTGCTTCTTTGGTCGCCTTTTGCGGCGGCGTCGACGGTGAAGGTTTGAACTTGGGCGTAGCGGCTGTTTTGGAAGGGGACGGAGGGGTCGGGAAGGTAGCAAAGGGCGGCTTGACGGCCGATGCGGACGTCGAGGGATTGTTGGCTCATGTCGGAGAGGTGTTTGTTGGCGGGCATCTGCTTGCGGTGGCCCTTGATGACGTTGGGGTTGGTGCCGTTATTATTGGGGTCTGTTTTAAAGATCTTGGTGCTGCCTTGTGGTGTTGTGACAACCATTCTGGTCCTCGGTTCGAGGGTGATTGAGACCTCAATGTGGTCGCCGGGGAGTAGGCCGCCGCCATATGTGAGAAGATAGAGGTGTACTGGGTGGGAGGGACATGTATCTGAGAGGGCGGAGGGTTCTGGAGTCGGGACAAAGCCGCCGGTCCGCGGAACCAGCTTCAATGGGTATTTGTATGTGAGGGTTGTGAGGGTTGGGTTGTTCGGTGGGAGGAGAGAGAGGACGACTTTACCCTGGCCCGGCTTCGCTATGGAAGACTGGAAGGGCGAGGGGATGGGCATTGCTGGTTGTCGCATGATGAAATATGATGTGAAGAGGTTGGGTTGGCAAGTTTGGAAGCCAGAGTGAAAGATGAGCCGGATAAACGATCAAGGCAGAAGATCCGCGACAAGAATATACTAAGCTTTCCGAGGTTCTTGTGGGTGTCTTTTTAAAAAAGAAACAGAATTCTACCCCAGAATTTTGGAGGGGCGAAAGATGAATATATGATTCCCTCTTAGTCACGCACTCCACTCCACGTCAGGATGCATTTGCCCACATCGTGCTCTTGGCCCTCCTCTCCGGAGAGTAGACGAAGGCTGAGAATGGACGGAGAAGGTTTCTATGACACAGAGTATCTCCGCACTCTGCGTTAGGTCGGCGGCCAGTTCTTGGCAGTCTTGGAATCTGCACTTCCGATGTCATTTGATCTGCACCTATTGATTAATAGCCGACGTCCTTCACGGTATTCCGAATAGGGGGAGGTCATGGGGCAGTGCAGACTTCTCAGGTCTCGAATTAGAATATGAGTTCAACATTCACTGTTACGGAGTAGGGCTAGATCTCATATTTAGGGGAAAATGCTCCCCTCAGGTCTGGACCAATTGGACGATCTCCAGGGCCCTCGGGATGAGCAATTCGTAGATCTCGATGCCTGATATCTCAGGCTACAGTGACGCATCGTGCATGAATCGCGGTGTGCTGCGCAGTCTCGAGTAGATCTCAGCTGGAACAGCAAGGGATATCAGGATCTGTTATCTTGATTAACGTGGTTTTGGTGATTGGATACAATGTACAATTCGTGTCTTGATGAGTTCAATTGACCCCAATAAACTCGTCATTTTTACACCTGGACAACTCACAATATGTGACGGTATCGTGGACTTTTCGTCACCGACCCTAGTCCCTGTTTTCGGACTCGATACCTTCTGGTAGTACGGAGGACAGAGTACAGAGTACAGCCCGATCGAATGTCCAACCACGAAACTGGGAGCAAACAATTCGCGGAACCCCCGAAGGTTCGCAAAGCATCCCGTAGCGCGGTCCTCTGTAACCCCGGCACCACGCAGCAAATGACCCAATATTCAGACTCGGGGTACTCAAACATCCGCCTAGGTGCCAGTTCATCATAATTGAAGATCCGCATCTCGCTCAAGGGGATATGCAAGAGCCTAGGCATCACATATTGCGTGATTCCAAGGTTCAAGGTTGGGCCCAGATGTCTTCACCTACAATCCATATCGCGGACAATATCCGGATGGTGACACGCTTAGGCAGGCTACAATATAGTTGTATCACAATGCCTAACCCGTGCCCACGTTTCTACATAGGATCTTCCCTCCAAAGGTTCCTAAGTGAGCATGAGAGGTCCGCCTGGGTATTGAAATCCATATATAGTATCATAGCCCATACTCAGCCACAGCAGGCTTCTATTGTCGGAGCCGTCATAAGGCAATCAACCTTGGAAGCAGCAGACCAGCTTTAAAGCCAGGCTTTAATATGATATTGCTATTTGAGAGTTTCTTTCTTGCTCTCCCATGCACAAGTTATTTTGGAGTCGGTGTATAGTTATATGTCCGGGAAGGGGTTTCTTTGTCTGGTCATACATGGTTCAAAGATACTCCATCATTCTTTGCGACAATTCCGCCTGGAGATGATCGATTTATAGATTGTTGGAGCTATCACACATGATTGCCAGGACTTGGCAACCCAGAAAGTAATGGACGAGACTGTCGATGTATAGTATGCCCAGGTGGTGAATGCAGGTGAGCATGTTGATGGGCGAGTCTGATCCATGGACGAATCATGACCCGTTCCATGGATAGCGTAGATTATGTAATTTGATGCCTCAGGCCTCAAGGCACGTTTGTCGCGTCTCCCCCACGATGCGATACGTTTCTGCCCAAGTGCGATCTTTCCATTGATCTCATCGGAACTCGCTCAGAAGAAGCGTGTGTCGCGAGTGGCACGCTACTTGAATCAAAGAAACCTCACTTCCCCCAAATTCCGTTACTTTGGTCCTACCAGTCGCGCATTGCACGAGCGCGTGGACCTGACTTGACAAGCTCTGCGAACTCCATTGAAGACTGTTGATCTGACAACCGTGGGCTTTATTTGTACCGCGCTTTCGAATAACCAAATCTATCAGCACAATGGATATCGACAATCCCCCTTTGTCAAGTCCCGGCGGCGAGTCGACCCCCGCTCATGACAGACGCAAGTCTGGCCGACAAACGCGACGACCGGAAGCTTTCTCGCAAAGCACGTTCTCTGCCGAAGATCAAGCGAGTGGAAAGCGCAAGAGAAACGAGGCGCGCGACGACGACGAGGAAGACGTGTCAGAGTCAGACAGTGACGATGCTGGTGACGACGAGACAGACGAAGAAGAAAAACGGGAAAAGCGACGCGCCGCACGTCGCAATGGGACGAAGAACTCATCGAACTCAAAGTCCAAGTCCAAGGGATCACACGCATCCAAGAAACCTAAGGTCACCAATGGATTAGGTCGACAGCTCGCATTCAGACCCGCGACTGCCGGGCGACTTCCGGCTGCTCGTTCTCGCAAGCCCAAGGTTCGACCCAGTCTTGCAGCGGGTGAACGTGGATTGTTCGGTGAGTGTCTGGCCCCGTATGTGGACGATCATCTTCGTGACTAACCATCTGTCTAGCTGAGGTCTTCGGGAAAAGCAACAACGCCGACACAGTGGCCGCTCAATGGCTTTCGCAATATCAACGCAATAACGGAGATTCGATGTGCAACCTCGTCAATTTTATTCTACGATGCACTGGAACCGACCTGGAAATCGACACCGCCGAGGTGGAAGATGTTGACAATGCTCCGACCCGCATCCAAGACCTTCAAACATTATACCAAGCAGAAGGGATCACTGAATACCCTCTCATTTCCAAAGCGAAGAAATTCAAGGCCTTTTCGGTCCTTCTCGAAGAATTCACCGTTGCATTGATTAAAACCTTCCATGCCTCGTCTGTTCTCTATACCGATGAAAACCTATTTGAAAACATTCAGATTTGGATCTCATCATTGTCGACATCGAAATGTCGTCCATTCCGTCATACAGCCACTATGATTTCTCTCGCAATCATGAACGCTCTGTGTGATATTGCGCGTGAAGTTACAACAAGTGTTTCCACATCTAGAAAGCAACTCGAAGGAGAGAAGAAAAAGAAGACTGTGAACAAAGGTCGCGTGGAGGCAATTCAGACCGCCATAACCGAAGGCGAGCAGAAGGTGGAGCGATTAGACGAATTCCTGCAAGACGGGTTTGATACTGTGTTTGTCCATCGGTATCGAGACGTCGACAGTCAGATCCGCGCAGAGTGTCTGACGGCTCTCGGCGGGTGGATCCGTACCTACAGAGAGATTTTCTTTGAGGGCCAGTATCTGCGGTACCTCGGGTGGACACTTGCAGATGTCGTTGCACAGACCAGATTGGTTGCATTGACAGAGCTTTTGTCTCTATACGAAAACCGGGAGAACATTGCTGGTTTGCACTCATTCACTGAGCGTTTCCGCCAGAGAATTGTGGAGATTGCGGTCCAAGATGCCGACGTTTCTGTCCGTGTGACTGCTGTTGAGCTTCTCAACCATCTTCGCGAAGGTGGTCTACTTGAGCCTAATGACATCGACGCTGTCGGCCGCCTTGTGTTTGATATGGACCCTCAGATTCGAAAAACAGCCGGGCGGTTCTTTGTAGCCAATGTGCAAGACGCATATGAGTCAATCACCGAGGAAGTGGGAGAAGAAATCGGCGAACTACTCGCTGATGACGACGAAGACGACTACGAGTCGCCCAAGCACTCGTGGATCAAGTTCAGGTGCCTCACAGACCTATTCCAATCCTATGATACAGCGCAAAGTGAGCAACAATCCGAGCCAATGTCTCGCAACACACTACTAGGTGTGCCGATCGAGTCTCGCTTTGCGCTCGCAACGGAGGCTGTTTACCCTCACATGGAAGAGCTTGCTCATTGGCCATCATTGGCCGGTTACCTACTTTACGACCACTCCCAAATCACTGATGAACCATCCGAGGATGATACAGCAGGAGTCGTGAAGAATCTGTACAAGATCCAAGAGGGACAAGAATCAATTCTACTTGAATTGCTGTGTGCCGTAGTCAAGCTTCGGGTTCTTGATGTGTCCAAGTCCGACATTGACAAGCGTGGGCGCAAGGTCAAGGCTTTGACTGCTAAGATTTCTGAGCTCCAAGAAGAAATCTCTCACAATCTCGCTCAGATCATTCCCCGTCTTCTCAACAAATTCGGATCTTCGCCCGAGGCAGCCTCTGCCGTATTGCGATTGGAACATCTCGTGGATCTTGATTCCATTCAAGATCTCCAGAAAGATGCCACGGCCTATTCATCATTGCTCAATGACATCAACAAGCAATTCCTTACTCATTCAGACCAGGATGTTCTGGCCGAGGCCAGTGTGGCCTTCTTACATGCCAAGAGCTCGGAGGAGATGCGGGAGGCACTTGAAAGCAAGGTGCAGGAGCTTTGGGATGACATGGTGGAAACGCTTGGTGCGTTGTCTCGAAAGAAGGATGTCCAGGAAGGTGCCGCGATCTCTGATCCCACACTCACTGATCTGAGCAACACCGTTTCTCGGATTGCCAACCTTGCGGGAATTACGGACTGCGCCACCATCCTCGAGACCGTTCCCAACTCACGGTCCAAGTCGAAGAAGGACCATCCCGAGGCTCCGTTCAATTCCCTCATCCGCCTCGCTGAACGCGGATTGCATGAGGAGGCTGATGATGAAGATGTTTCTAAGGCAGAGACTGAGCTGGTATCAAACAGTATCAGGGCGTTGCTTTTCTATTTCATGTGGAAGGTGCAGGCACTATCCACGGCGCTGAAAGATGGAAAAGCCAACTACAACACTTCCTACTTTGAAGCACTCACCAAGAGCCGCGAGACCTTCGCTACAACACTGGTTGACATTGTCAAATCGCGCTCTGGGCTTGATGATATCCGATTCCTAGCATGCACGACCTACCTGGACCTGCAAACACTTTTCAGTACATTGCGCAATGTCGGCCAAGGCAATGGCAACGATGAAGATGTTCTCTTCCAAACTCAAAGCTTGATTCATGAGATCGGATCCGAACTCGAGAGCCTCATTGCCAAAATCCACAGTATTGCCGAACGCACAGCAGCCAAGAAAATCCGAGTCAACCTCGATCCCGCAGACGACGATGAGCCAGCCTCAGAAGACGAACCCGAAGACGAAGATGAAGCCAGCGACTCCGACGACGAAGAGGTAGTCAACGAGCGTCTCCGTAGCAGCATTGTTGCCGAACAGCGCCTCTGCGAATTAACAGGCAAGCTGGTCCTCGCCATCATCGCGCGCATCATTGACGCTTCCGGCTCAAAACGCGGTTCTTTGAAAAAGCGCCTGCTTCGAAACAAGACAGCCCTCGGCCACAATTATCGCGAAGTCTTGTCATATCTCGAAGAGCGTAAGCCGCGCAGTGCCCCGCGAAGCAAGGGGAAACAGCCTGCAAGAACAGCTAGCTCTCCAAAGGAGCCCAAGTCTGCAGAGCAGATTGATGACGAGGATGACAATGCGCCTGCTGAAGAGGATGACGAGGAAGATTTGCGTGCGCGCGGTCTTGTGGAGGAGGATATCGATCAACAAAATGACGATGAGGATCTTGATTCCCCTGCGCCAGAGCTGGACGAGGACGAGGTCATGGGTGACTGATTTAAGGTCTTAGTGATGGTTTAACGTGTGCCTGGACATAATTTTCTGTTTGTTATAAGGCATTTTATCTTCTTGTTCTTTTCCTTGTTCTCTGTCTCTATACTTTCTCTTTTATCTTTTATGTCTCAATGGCTTGAAGTGGCTGTATCTCTTCCAAGGTTACTTGATTGTGAACAAGGTTCGAGTTTCGATGTGTTCTACCACGCACACTTCTAAGGTTTTCGCGCCCAAGTAATTTAGAACATCAACAATCTGCCTAGTGAGGTACCTAATCGGCTGCGGAAGGATAGGTAGATCAGGTTCCTTGGTATTCCTTGCGATTTGGTTCAAAGCCTGGAGTAAACCTTGGAGGCAGATTTATGTACCGTCTCGGCATACCTTTGGAAGATCCTCAGACGCGCTGCGCTGCCTAAGAGTAACTTCAGGGTTTACCTAGGAATGACCCCGTAGTCAAACATTTACAGGAAACATCTTTAGGTTACTACAGGCCCTGACTCTCAGGTATGAACGAGATGAGTCACGGTAGTTGGCATTTTTTTCCTGGCTAACTTAATAGTGTACCATGAAAAAAGCTCAATCGACAACGATTTTCAGGGGCATGATATTGATCAGTTGCAAGCGACGTACTAGCAAGGTGCTATCGCCCACACACGCCCCTGTTGCCAGAGAGCGAGGGAGAAGTTCCCGCGCAGGAGACTAAGACCCCGCCGTAGAACACCAGGGGATCAGGGGACATTAACATAACTGAGAAAAAACCGATCCTGCTAACGAGTACGCCTGTGTATGAGGATGCTAAAGGGGAGGGGGAGGGGAGGGGATACATGATGGTGAATCTTGTTTATCGTGAAATCAAAGTGGGAAGGAAAAAAAAAAAAAATAGAATGGGGAAGATGTGAAGAATCATGACAAAGAAACCAAAGCAATCAAGCAAGCACTGAGGGTGCACGAAGATTCCAGCGATTGGCCGAATATAGGTTGATTGGGGTGCGAGGGAAAGTTCGCGGACCAGAAGCAACCATGCATTTCGGTGGCCAGTGGCGCCTCGCCTAGGTGGGATGTACTAGGCGCAGCTTTGATGGGGCGGTCGAGCAAAAGGGTACAGAGGATTATGCATGGGGCGAAAGACAATTGTGAGACTTTACATGTCCATGGAATCACCGGCGTTGCCGCCGAAGTTGAAACCACCGGGCTGTTGCTGCTCAGTACCGAGGGAGAACCCGGTCTGGGTCTGTTGGGGAGCCAGCTCTTCAATGTCACCACCGGCCTCATCCTCATCAGAGAAGTACTTCTCAATGATGTTGTAGGCCTTCATGTAGATCTCCTCATTGGCATTGTTCTGGCAATCGTGAATCTTCTCCATGCCACCGGCTTCCTCAATGAAGAGGGCGTAGCGGTTGACGCGAGGCTCACCGGGCTGACCGGCCTCCTTGTCCATATCACCGACCTTGAGAATGTTCTCAAGACCATCAAGGGCGACCTGGATGATCTTGTTATCGGGGCAAGCCAGGAGGTCGCAAAGGGGCTTGATGCACCCTTGGGAAACAAGGTAACGGATCTGCTCAGGCTTCTGGAGACCACCGGAGGTGGCGTTGGAGATAGCCCAGCAGGCCTCCTTGCGGGTCTTGAAGTCACCGTTGGCAAGCAGGTTGATGAGAGGGGCAATAATGCCAGCATCAATGACGGCCTGGATCTGGCTGGAGTTACCAGCGGTGACGTTGGAGATGGTCCAGCAAGCTTCCTTGCGGATGCCGTCCTTGGTGGAGCTCAGGAGGGAAAGAAGAGCGGGGAGGGAGCCGCAGTTGATGATGACCTGGGTCTGAACATCATCACCGGTGACGATGTTACCAACGGAGCGCAGCGCAGGAGTCTGGACGGAGGTAGAAGCGTGCATAAGGAGCTCGACCAAGCGGCGGGGAATACCGGCTTCGATGACAGCCTGGATCTTGTCGTTGGCTCCATCAGACAGGTATGAGATAGCCCAGCAAGCGTCGATCAGGACCTCGTCATCGAGCATGTAGATAAGCTTAGAGAGGACGGGCAGGGCGGGGGCAATAGTGTTCCAATCCGGCTGAGGAGTCTTGCCACGGCAGAAGTTGCTCAGGGTCCAGGTAGCGTTGCGGAGCATGCTTAGCTTGCGACCATCGTTGATGAGGTTCAAAAGCGGGCGCAGTGCACCAGCTCCGAGAACAAAGTCACGACAGTGAGGGCTGTCACCGGCGATGTTACCAAGGGCCCAGACAGCTTGTTCACGGACATCGGGCTCGGGGCTGGCAAGCAATTCGACGAAAATGGGGACGGCGCCGGCCTCGATGACGACCTGAGTCTGCTGGGCGGAACCGGAGGCAATGTTGGTCAGAGCCCAGGCGGACTCGAATTGGACCAGAGTGTGAGGCGAGCGAAGGAACTCGACGAAACGTGCAACCACACCAGTCTCGATGACACGCTCAATGGGGGGGTTGCGCTCCTTGGAAAGCAATTTGCGGAACTTGGTAGTAGCCTGGATCTGTTCCTCAACCTGGTCGGAGAATACACCCTTCACCATCTGGGGAAGCTCGACATTGAGCTATGAAATCCATTGCGTTAGCTTTGTAATCCTTGAGTCTTTTTTTTGTTGCAGTGGGGCATGGCTTCGATGGAGGGGCGTGGGCCATAGCAACCGGGCGGTGAAAAAAAATCCTTGTATCGCATCATAAAAGAAAACAAAGAAAACACAAGGGAGGCATCAGGCGTGGCAAATTGAGCCGTATCCAAGTAGACCCCGAAAGCTCAATAGGGGAAGAAAAATGGAATAGACTCAATAATGAAAGAAGCTTCAATAACATACCTCGCTTTCGATAGCACTAGCTTCATCATCGCTCTCGGTGGCGGCGTTCATGCCACCAACACCGATGCCACCATCCCGGGTTTGAATACCACGTCTCTTGGCCAGGTTGTCCTCACGCTTCTGCTTGCGAATCTCGACCTGCTGTTCTTCACGGCGGCGACGGAGCTCATCGGGCTTAAACTGGTTCTTAGCCTTGAACTGTGTCCGGCGGTGTTCGGGGATGTAGCGTTCCGCCATGATGAATGTAAAATAAAAAGAAGCGCGCCGCGTGAATCAGTAATTTAATGAGGGATGTGAGATGGGCGCGCTGGGATGGAAGTAGAGCACGAAGAGGGAGAGGGAGAGAGAGAGGGATGTGATGTGGGGGGAGAAGAGTTGTGTGGGAGGGGAAAAGCTATCACGTGATTGCTTTCTTTTATCATCGACGACGACGCGGTCACGGAGAGCCTTCAATGCGAGTATCTTGTCTCTTGAGATCTTTCATTCTTATATGATTGATGATGGGCCCATAAAAGTATGGATTCACATTGAAACGCCAGCCTACATCCGAGCAAGAGCATCTGTCGTGGCATCCCGGCATCCCGGGCCTTGCATCACTGTTAATCCTTAGTGCCCTGCATCAGTTATGGCGAACAGCCTCACGTCTATACGTGATGCTTGCTCCAGGCCAGGGAGATACAATCTCCTAGGTGTGGTCGTCGATACGTTGCCAATATTTGCGACAAGAGGTTCCTCAAAATGTGTCACATTCACCATCAAAGACTCCGACCTCGATGGTCACCCATGGGCCGGCGGTGTCAAAATCAAATATTTCAATGACGACGAAAGTACTCTCCCTGATACACGAGTGAATGATGTGGTCTTTGTGCGAAATATTCGGGTAGGTATGCATGCCTACATGCAAGACTGGCATATGCTAACACCAAGCTCAGGTTTCCATGTACCAGGGCAACCCGACAGGAGTTGCTTCCCAATATGACCGTATCCCTTGGATTATATTTCGACCAGAGCCCGCTCCAAGCTCTAGCCCATTCGTCATTAGTGGCCCGACCCCCTTCGAGCCTAGCTTATGGGAACGAGACCAGGCGCAATCACTCCTGGAACGCATCTCCAACTCTGTTGGCAGCAAGGTCATCGAACAAACTGCCTCTCGCCATGAACCTAGTCCTGACAGAAGCACCCGTATCCCTAAAGTTGGGCCTCCATTCTGTCTTGTCAAGGATATCGTGGTTGACCGTTTTTGTCAAATGCTCGGGCAGGTCGTATTGATCAAATCAAATGACAGCGAGAAGTGTATCCTGTATTTAACTGATTACACAGAGAACGAGGAGCTTTGCGACTACAAGAAACCGGGAGATGACGACCAAGGCATTGAAGGCGACCCGCACAATTACATGAAGAGGAGTTACGACAACTGGCCGGGTCCTTGGGGTAAGCGTATCCTTGAAGCAACTCTGTGGGATCCTCATGCTGGATACGCTCGCCAAGCACTCAAGCTAGGCGATATTGTTCTGTTGACATACGTCCGGCCTAAAGTATCTCGTTACCTAGAGATCGCCGTTCATGAAGACAGAAAATATCCGGACAAAATACATGTCCAGGTTTGCAACAACAGCAAAGAGGAGCGCGTTCAAGAATTATTGAAGCGACGGGCAGAGTACTGGAGTGTACACGGCGAGCCCAAGAAAGAAACCAAAACTGCCAGCAAGCAACCCAACAAGCAACCCAAAAAGGCCCAGGAGCAAAAAAAAGAGGTTCGAAAAGAGGAAGGTCAGCTAACGCTACCAACATCAAATAGAGCCAAGAAAAATGCCAATGGTGAGTCCCCTTTTGTGTTTGGATGAACGGTTGGTTTAATGACGATCCAGTCAAGACAAGAGCTTACACAACGGCTATCACTCCCCTCGAGAAGATTATATTGGCCGAAAGCCACAGAAACAGTGGTCCTGGGGGAGTCGTCTACCAGCTTCCGTTTCAGAATGTCCATTACCGTTCTACAGTCCGGGTGGTCGATTTCTTCCCTCCGAAGTTGGAGGATTTTGCGGTTCAATCAGCCTACGCCCCCTTGTACACCAGCCAGGACTCCGCCACCGGACCTACAATGGGGTGGCAGTGGCGTTTCTGCCTTCTCGTGGAAGGGATCGGGCCTAAATCCCCCAATCATCAGCATCAAGAGCTTGTGAAACTCTACGTAGTTGGCCAGGACGGCGATTGTCTTCTCAACGAGGAAGCAGGGGAGTAAGTCAACCTTGTTCTTCATATATCTGCAAGGGCACATACTAACGGCGCACTTTTGCATAGTCTGCGCGGTCATGGTCGAAGACTGTCTCGAGTTAGAGAAAAGCTCTTCCTCCTCTGGGGCAACCTTGAAGAGCAAAAGAAGAAAGCCTTGGCTGCTGGCAACCAAACCTGGGGGCCAGTGAGCTCGGTGCCATTTGAATGCTGTATCAAGGAATATGGCGTACCGTGCGCTCATATGAGAGACTCCAATGCAATGGACATTGACGGCAAATCATGCATTCGAAGTGATTGCTTTGGATGGGAGAGACGATTTGCCATCTTCGGCACAACCATCCATGAGACCTGATGTGTACTAATTCTGTTTCCAGTACTGATACCCCAAATAAAAAGTCTTAATATATAGATTGATCCTTTGTAAAAATACAATTTAGAAGCAAAAATCTCGGATCAACACATTAGTGGGACGTTTGCACCCAAAGCCATCTTTATCGCCTGTATTCAAAGATGTTGAATTTTGTCTGTGAAGCAGGCCTACCCTTAGCCACCATCCTTCCAAGGTTGCCCATTCCATGCTTACTGGCCAGGTGTAGACATATTTCTCCGCGAACCCAAACCCGGTCACGCCGAACCCGATAAAAAATAATTTTGTAGCCTTTCTGCAATGTTGAAAGGTCTAGTTCACCCCAGGTGAACGTGAAGATAGTGTAAAAGATGCTTAGATCTTGGTGACTTTGACGATGTTTGTGTCAATGCCGTGAGCCACAGGCTCGAACCGACAGCTGTCACCTCGGAAACAAGTCTTCTTACCCGGCTCGCTCTGGGGGCAGCGGTGGCCATAGATGCACTCAACATCGTCACATTCTAGCCCGAAACGACAAGGCGTCATACGGGCAATAGCAGACAAAATATGGAGATCTTGGCGGGATAATTTGCGATCATGGTCATGATAGCAGCTTTCTTCGTTAGGACATTCGCCGAGCAAAAAGTGATAATTGCAGAGCTTAAGCTTTTTCAGCTTGTTAAGGTCATCACGAGGAATACTCTTGAAATCGAGTCGGTCGACACGTTGGCCGTACTTGTTTCGCTCCACAACCTTTGGAGGTGATGTGCCCAGAACTTTTGGGCGAACAACCTGGAAATCTGACGGATCGGGCTTATTGGTGATTGGCGCTAACGGTACCCCCAAATTTGACACACTGGTGCTGGTAGAGGTTCGCGACAATGGCGCAGGTGTTTGGAATTGTTGAGTTGGCGAGGGAGTGAGCAAAGTCCGGGAAGGAATTGCACTCTTCCAAGGAGCAGTCCAGCTGGGTACATTTGGCACAATCTTGGTCGTCCGGAAAACATCAGGGAACTGGGTGATTCGATAGTCCTGTTGCCTGAAATCATCGAACTCCTTCTCGAGCGGCAGGCCTTCAACCAGTGAGACCCTTCCCTTATAATTCGCCCCAGAGATCAATTCTCTGAGAGAGCCGGCATACTCATCATTTGAAGGGCAGCCGAGGAAGAGTTGGTGACAATGACAGTTGTATAAGTAAAGTTTGAAGGCCTCTGCAGGGTGCAAACGAATCAGCGAATGAGTTCTGGTATCACCAGCTGTACCACATACCCTTGATTTTATCATGCGCCTTGCTCTTGCCAGTTCCAACATCCACGATTTCAAAGAAAGAGGCGCTCTCGTTGAAACCGCGAATAAATTCACTGATAGTGGACACTTCCAGCGCCATTCCACCACGGTTGTAAGTGTCCACCAGTCCCTTTACGTTAAGATAGATTTTGGTCATTATCTTCGGCTCGGCGATCGTGGGTAAGTTTGTCGCGACATAGCCCTGGAGGGATTTCCAAAGCTGCTTGGCTGCGTTGCGTCCACCCTGCTCTCCTAGTTGCAAGAACTCATCCTTGAACATTATGCCTTCACCATCTAAGAGTAAAACGACGAACGGTTCTCGGTCCTAGACACGGAACAAGCATGTCAGCCCAACTCTCGGTATGCCTCCGTGGAGCCGCTCACCATCATGTTCTTGACTGACGATATCTGGTCCATTAACTCCATCTCGTGGAGCTGGATATCACGGTTGAATCGGGTCTCGCGCTCATGGTCGAGTTTCTCTTGCTGAAAGGAGTTCTCTAAAGTGGTGACACGTTGAAGTAGTTCCTGTCAAGCCCGTGAGTATGCAGCCGAGACCAAGGGAGAGATAGTGCCTGACCTCGATAAACTCGTTCTTCTGCTGATCCAGAGCGCTCAATTGGCGATAGCGATCCAGGTAGCCTTGGGTCGTCATTTCGGCAAATTGCTGATAGTCCGAGAGATTCGAGAGTGCAAGTATGGAAAATGCGACAAAGTGATAAGGAAGAAGGAAAAGAAGGGATCGAAGCAAGTTTCAAGATGAGAGCGATCAGTGATTCACCCAGTTGGCAGGCGCCTGCAGAAAGTCACAATCTCCACGGCGCGTAGAGTTAGAAATGCTCACGAAGCGCCGGTCATTAAATTAATTCAATATAAAAAGGATTATAGCACGCGTGTTTCCTGTTGCAATAAAAAAAAATCAATCTAAGGAACCGCGCGCGGATCCTATGCTGAGGTAATCTGATCCCCGGTTTTGCATACGTGGAGCCAGATGTTCCTTTCCCAACTCATCATCTCCCACTTCTCCGTTTCGCTTCTGGTTACGTTCAAGATGACTCGCTTTGGTTTCCTCTCCTTGGCCCTGCTCTCCTTTCAAGCCTTTATCGGCACCGGCTTTGCCGACGTATGTCCCATCTTGTTTACCCCTCGGGGCCCGCTGTCGCAGAGCCCAATTGACTGATCCGTGATTTCCACCTTTTAGGATGCCGAACAGGTTGGAGCAGAGGCACCTGTCCTTGCCGTTTCTGCGCAGGCTACCTTCCCAGCTTCGGAGATCTTTGGCATTAAGCTTGTCAATGGTCACCCGACTCAGGCGCTGATTGCCGTCGCCAACGATGAGCCGAACCCTGTTACTGTCAATTTTGTTGGCGGTGCTCTTCGTTACCCCGAAGACCAGGCTCAGATTGCCCGCAACCTGACTGCCACCCGTTACGGTGTCGAGATCCCCGCCGGGGCCAAGGAGACGATCAGCTACAGCTTCGCCACCGAGATGCATCCCCAGGATCTTCAGCTCACCTTGTCTGCCATCCTCTCTGACAGCGAAGGTCGATTCTTCACTGTCACTGCTCACAATGGCACTGTCAGCGTTGTCGAGGCTGATACCAGCATCTTCGATCCTCAGATGTAAGCAGCCCTCCCACGTTTCAAACCTGTCGGCGCAACTAACACACCCTCTCAGTATCTTCCTCTACGTCTTCCTTCTTGCCTGTGTTGTCGGCACCGGTTACTTCTTCTACTCTGTTTGGATCGCGCCCTACTTCCCCCAGAAGCGCAAGCCCACCGGAAAGACCGGTGAGAAGCGCACTCAGGCCTCGAAGCGCGCGGAGACCCAGGTCACCGAAGAGAGCGCCCCCGGCGCTGCCGTGTCCTCCTCCACCACTTACAACGCCGATTGGATCCCCTCCCACCACATCGCCCGTCCCGAAGCTCGGAAGGTCAAGGGCCGCTCCAAGGCCCGTGCGTGAAGCACGCGACAGGAGCTGCGGGAGTTGGCCAATTGATCTTCACTGGCCGCATTTCTACGTATCTTGTCCAGTGCAATGGCATAGCCTGTCGCTGAAAATGTGACGAGCTGCCGTCAACGCCACAGCATGTATATTTATCAGATAGAAGATTTAGCCCAGTATAGCCTTTATCGAGGCTTCATTGGGCATACGAGTTTCATCCATTGCATTCCGTGCTCTGTCTGTAACGACTATTTTCGTCGCCACCGTATCCTCATAGTTCACAGTCTCTTCCAATCCGCAAACTCCTGCTCTAGATGTTGCTTCAATTCGGCGAATCGACTGCCAAACACCTTTCCACAACGCCAGCAGACGAAGTCCCGCTTGAGATAACCTGTTTCAGTCGGCCGCCGTCGTTCGTCATCAGGCGCCAATGGGAAGTCATCAATCGGCACGAAGAATGGCGTTGAAAAGCTATTATAGTGTTTGCGGTGTTTCAGGCGGGCACTGTATCTGTCCACCGATAGCACATGGACGTGTAAGTGGTTCATAGATGGCACTGCATGGACGCCGACGATGACCTCTTGCTCCCAATCGCGGCCTTGCGGCAGCTCATCCGGCGGCGGGTCAGCGCTCAGCGCTGCCTGCCTCGCCTGCTCCTGAGCAGAATCTTTCCCATACTTGCGCCTCAACTCTCCGGCTGCCAAAGTGCGAAGCTTGTAGGCTTCCTCCTTGACCTTCACCAAAAATTCGGCATCTTCGAAGGCATCGAATGGGTGGAGGCGCGTTTTGGTCCCATCTCGGGGAAGGAGGAGAAGGTGTAATGAAGACTTGGGGAACATGTCATGGATCGCCACAAAATCTTCACTATGGTAGACCATAACATCAGGGGGGTATTTTTCAGGCTTGTCAATATAAGCACCCAGTCCATCTCGGGCGCCGAACGTGGCTTTGCCTTTGACCGCGTTGCGATCCGAAGGAGCTTTTGTTACGGGCTTTGGTTGTTTGTTTCTGGGTCCCATGAGCTCCGTGACTATTTCAAACAAATGTTAGTATCATGAGCTGTAGGCACAAGACTTGATATAGTCTTACAGGCATTTCTCTTCTGCCCCCCAGCCTGCTCCTTCAAGCCCTCGCTCGGATTGTTACTCTGGTCCATCGCAGGGCATAGAATCAGAGGAGTAAGAGACTTGGTCACATGGGGGGTCTGGGATGCAGAATTGCCTTTGAAATGCAGAGGCGAGTGTCAAATCGGAGTCCAGGCGACTCGAGGGCCTCTTTCTTGAATAGGTCCCCGCATTCCCAAAGCGGTTTAGTGCGGGTCACTCTGCCAGCTCCGAAAGTCGTTGGACTTTTTTGCGGTCACTCGCGACAATTGACACGAGAATGCCCCCGAAGAAGAAAGGCGATGGGAAAGGAGGCCCCAAGCCTGGCACAAAGCAGGCCAAGGCTGTCGCAGAGAAAGCCGGGGAGGCAAAGCCAACAGAAGAACCCAAGAAACCATCCGTGAAGGAGGTCATTGGCGGCGCATCATGGACAGGAAAGCTGCCGGTCAATATGTTGGCAGAGCATTGCCAAAAGCAGAAATGGGAAAAGCCCGAGTACAGCATGGTAATTACTCCCTATGCGACAGAGGTTGCATTCTACTTGCCGGTGCGGACACTGATAAATTGCGATGTTTACAGATAAAAACCTCGGACGGATTCGTGTCCGCTGTGACAATGAAGAAAATAGACCCAAAGACTAAAGAGCTCATTGTGATTCCACCGATGAAGCTTCCTCCTTCGCATAAGCATCTCGCCGGACAACCGACAGCCCTGGAGGCCCGCCACTTTGGTGCAGCCTTTGCTTTATTCCGCGTATGCAATATGCGCAACATTCATATGATGATGCCCCCTACTTATAAAAAACTTTGGAAGGAGGACTTTGGGGAGATCAAGGCAAACGATACCCGGGAAGGCAAAGGCTGGATGTACGAGGCAGATCCATTCCTCGCCAAGCAGGAACGTGAAAGTGCAGCAGCCGATCTTGCGAAGAAACGTGCGGAACGGGACAAAGCACAAGCCAAGGAGAAGGCATCAAATGCCGAGTTAGGGCTGGGCAATGGAGATGCCAAGTCAAAGCGTATCTGGTCGCAAGCACCCAAGGTGGACATGGGCAGTCGGATCCGAAGAGATATTGAAGGTCTGTTGCGGCAACACACGGTCTGGAACCCTTATGGGGTCAAGATCCCTGAAAACCGAAGGAAGGAGATTGCAGACGAGTTCTCCGGCTTGGGTTTCCGTCGCAGTCATGTTGAGGAAGCTGCGGCAGAATGCAAAGACCGTGAAGAGGTACTGGAATGGCTCCTCATCTATGTCCCCGACGATGACCTTCCGCGATGGAGTCTCCCAGAGGGTTATTCGGCTGGGGTCAGCCTTGGTTCCGGCGATCTCGCCCGTGAGGCCAAGATCAAGAGACTGGCTTCCGTTGGATACCCTTCCGATATGTGCTCTCAAACCTTGGACAGTATGAATGGCGATGAGTTGGCCGCTGCGGAGCTGTTGCAAGGCACCTTGGCCCATGGATCTGAGTACGCCCTCCCATCCGTCGATGAAGATGACGAGGCTTGGGCAGAAGAAGCGATCACACTGGAAGCAATCTTCGGTGAACGTTATCGTCGCATATCAGCCAAAGTCTGTGAGATCACTAGCGAGGCAGGGGAGCTTCCTGCCAGTACAATCTTCCGCTTCCAAAAGCCCTCCGCACACTATCCAAGCACGCCCCCTGTCATCTCAATCGTGGCGAACGGTGTTCCAGCTTATATCCGCCTCAGTGCAATCCGTCGGGCAGTGCAGTATGCCGAGGATAACTTTTCGGGTGAGTCCATGATATTCAATATCATGGATTGGCTCGAGGTCAACCTACCTGCCGTTATGGAGAACCCAGGCAAGCTACGAGAGATTTCTGCTGTAACAGCTTCCGCGGTAGCTGAGACCCATGAAATCCCGGTTCGTTCATCGCGCAAGAATCGCAAGGGAATTGATTGGACCGTCGACTCAGAACGAAGCTTGGCTATGCGTGATGCCTGGGAGACGAAACAGAACACAGCCCAGCAACTTGAAATGACTCGGAAGCGAAAGGCCCTTCCCGCTTGGAATACCCAATATGATATCATCCAGGCCGTCAACTCAAACCAAGTGACCATTATCTCCGGTGAAACCGGTAGTGGTAAAAGTACCCAATCTGTTCAATTTGTGCTGGATGACATGATCCAGCGAGGGCTAGGGGGTGCTGCCAACATCATCTGTACGCAGCCACGACGAATTTCAGCATTGGGCCTTGCCGACAGAGTCAGCGACGAGCGTTGCGCCACTGTCGGTGGTGAAGTTGGATACGTGATCCGAGGCGAGTCCAAGGCCAAACCTGGCTCCACCAAGATCACCTTCGTGACTACAGGTGTCTTACTGCGTCGGATTCAATCCGGCGGTGATGCAGATGGCAACGTATCGAGCTCTCTCGCGGACGTTTCACACGTGGTGGTTGATGAGGTTCACGAGCGTAGTCTGGACACAGACTTCCTTCTGGCGCTTTTGAGGGACGTTTTGCGTTATCGCAAAGACCTCAAGGTAATCCTCATGAGTGCTACCCTTGATGCGGGTATCTTCATGAATTACTTTGGCGGCCAAAGATCGGTTGGATTGGTAAACATTCCCGGTCGAACGTTCCCCGTCCAAGACTACTACTTGGACGACGTTATCAAATACACAGCGTTTGCGCCGGAGCTTGCAGAAGATTACGAGTATGATGAAGAACCATCCCGGGGCGAGGAAACACTTGGTAAAGCACTTCGGAGCTTGGGCATGGGCATCAACTATGATTTGATCGCAGCAACAGTCGAATACATTGATGCACAGCTGGGTGAACAGGCTGGTGGGATTTTGATTTTCCTCCCTGGTACCCTAGAGATCGACAAGTGTTTGGCGGCAGTCAAGAGAATTCCAAACACACACCCTCTACCATTGCATGCCTCTCTCCTGCCCGCCGAGCAGCGCAGGGTATTCCAAAGTCCCCCCAGAGGAATGCGAAAGGTCATTGCGGCCACTAACGTAGCTGAAACATCCATCACGATCGAGGATGTCGTTGCTGTCATTGACACCGGTCGAGTCAAGGAAACAAGTTACGACCCCAAGGACAATATGGTCCGTCTTCAGGAAGTGTGGGCCTCTCAGGCGGCTTGCAAACAGCGCCGTGGTCGTGCAGGTCGTGTCCGCGCGGGTATCTGCTATAAGCTGTACACCCGCAAAGCCGAATCCAACATGGCCCAACGGCCAGATCCGGAAATCCGCCGTGTGCCATTAGAACAGCTGTGTCTGTCTGTAAAGTCTATGAAGGGAATCGACGATGTTGCCAACTTCTTAGCGAATACCATCACCCCTCCGGAAAGCATAGCTGTTGAAGGTGCCCTGAACTTCCTACACCGTGTCGGGGCCCTTGATCACGACAGACTCACTGCACTGGGTCGATACCTCTCAATGATTCCCGCAGACCTCCGATGTGCCAAGTTGATGGTCTACGGCTCAATATTCGGCTGTATTGAGCCCTGTCTCACAATCGCAGCCATGCTGACTGTCAAGAGTCCGTTCATATCACCGCGCGAGAAGCGCGAAGAAGCCAATGCCGCCAGAGCAAGCTTCGCTCGCGCAGGCGACGGCGACCTTCTCACCGATCTCTCAGCTTACCAAGCTTGGTCTGAGAGAGCCCAGGCAAAAGGTGGTTACTGGGGAACCCAGTCTTGGTGTGGCGCCAATTTCCTCTCCCACCAGACGCTGCGCGATATCTCCTCCAATCGCGCTCAATTCATCACCTCTCTCAAAGATGCGGGCGTCTTAGCAGTCAACTACTCGGATTCTTCGCCCGTTTGGAATCGCAATGCCTCCAATCGTAATTTGATCCGTGCTCTCATCGCCGGAGCTTTCCAACCGCAGGTCGCACAGATCTCTTTCCCTGATAAGAAGTTTGCTAGCTCTGTCACCGGTACCGTTGAGGTTGACCCAGATGCGCGCACTATCAAATACTTCAACCAGGAGAACGGTCGCGTCTTCATTCACCCAAGCTCGATTCTGTTCTCTGCTGCTGGCTACCCCAATGCTGCCGCATACATCAGCTACTTCACAAAGATGGCTACTAGCAAGGTTTTCATTCGCGATCTTACCCGTGAGTCCCTAAATCCCCCCTATCGTGTTGCTATCTCATCTTAATCTAACATTCTTCCAGCTTTTAACGCATACTCACTTCTCCTCTTCTGTGGCTCCATTGAGCTTGACACTGTGGGTCGTGGTCTAGTTGTAGACGGCTGGCTCCGTCTCCGAGGCTGGGCCCGAATCGGTGTACTCGTCTCGCGACTTCGGACGATGTTAGACGAGGCGCTTGCGGAACGATTCGATAACCCTTCGCAGATAACCGATGGCAGCAGTATTGGAGATCAAGTGATCGAGGCTGTCAAGAAACTGATTGAGTTCAATGGACTTGATCAATGATTTGGGAAGATGGGGTTGAAATATCAAGAGCATAGCCAGGATGATAGATAGAACAGTTGGAAAGATCTCCAACAATATTCAAAAGTTCAACATGTTCAAAAGTACCTACCGATTGTATTGTCCAAACTTGGCTGTATGGCGTCAGGCATGTCGAGATGGGCCAGGCAGGTGGCGGATAGAAAACGCACTCACCACTACAATGAGGACTTTGGAAACGGTCACAGATACGAGAGCTGAGCACTTAGGTAAAATGTAAGACTGAGAATTACGAAAAGACCTACCTAATCGATCAAACTCACAGAATTGACAAATGGCAAACCTTGGAAATCGGATGGGGACGCGATGCAGCCAAAATGCACATCAATGACCCTTGATAGGCAACAGCGAAACTACAGACAGTTTCGGAAGAAGAGGGCATGAAGCGCCTCTTGAGGATACAATTAATTTGCATCCATTCTGTTATCTAGCATAAAACTCTCTCCCTAAGGCTATTTCGAACGCGCGAATCGTCAATGATGCGAAGTAGCAATAATCACTTAACGAGCGCAGGAAACACCGTGGGACACCTATGTGGAAATTCGATCAATCTGCAGGGCAAAGGGGGATGTAATAAAACAAGTATTAGGGCAAATGCGGTCACACGCAGGGTAAGACGAGGGCGGGCGTGGACGGGGAATTGCGCAAAGAAGAAACCAGATATGTGCCGTAGAAACAACAAAGAGAAGGGTGTGCAGTGACGCCGAGAAGCAGACCATTGTCGACGCCTTCCAGTCATCTATTCGCATGTCCGGGAAATTGAGGCGTTAAGTCGTCTTGTCGTCAGCCCAAACGGACTGGGAAGGAATATGAAAAAGGGCGAAAAGAACAGATTGAAGAAAATGAAAGTGCAAAAAAAAGGACGGAGGCCACACATTCAACACCATGCAGAAATAAGACCCTGGTCGCCTGTTCGCCTGTTCGCCCCAGAAAAACGCCTCTTGATAGGATAAAAGAAAAGATAATGGTTCACTGAGTATTGGTGGCGGAATTGTCGTCGTCAACATGACTGGCTTGCGATGGTATGTGCAAGATAGCGGGTAGCTGTTTGGTGGACGAAGTATTAATAGTTGGCCAGTCCATCCAAGCGATCGGGATCCCGAAGATCAGCAATCTTTGGCAGAGCAAAGTCGGTTGCTAGCTCATTTTCAACGAAGATGGAAGCTCGCTTGAAGCGGCGATCGGCGTACTTCTCGAAAATAGCTGCGTGGTGTCGACGTGGATTTTCACAGCAATCCATCATGGTTCTGAGCACTGGTACAAGTTGAGCATAGAGGTATCCGCTGTAGAAAGCATGGGCCGGTGTCTTCGATCAATATGGTTAGCATTACACCATCAACGAGTGGAGGTTCAACTTACCCAGTTGCCCTTGTTGAGAAGCATGCGGGCCAGGCAGTGAGCACCAGCTGCGACAAAGCTGGGTGGGCTGCAAACAAAGCGTTCATCCATGATGGCCAACTCGAGGAAGTACTTGGCAACAGTACGGGTCTCCAGGTCATACTCATCAGCTTTGCTGATGCGTCGCAAGAAACTCATGGGACCTGGCCATCCTAGATCAAAGTCCAGGATGGTAAGCATGAACCGCTCAGCCTTCAAAATTTCATCCACAGTGTAGCCGCCATCGACCATGTACACAATCTCCTGCACAGAGGGGGCTGTAATTTCCTCGAACTTGGCAGCAATGAAAATTGCAGTTGCTCCCACTAACTGCAATTTGCCAAGAGAGACAATTTTGTGAGACAGGAACCGGTCGATGTAATTCACAGTAAGGAACAGAGTCTCCGGAAGGAGATTGAAGCGCTGGTGAACTTGAACAAGCCAGTCCATCAGAACCGAACGCATCGACCACTGGATCTCCGCTTGGTTGTCCATGTAGTCAGCGATTGGGAGCATTTGGATCTACAGGACCTATTAGTTCAACTCCCAATGTTAGACTAGGCCCAATGCTTACCTCTTTGTTTCTGAGATGGAGGAAAATCTCATCACTGTATTCAGCCACCATAGTTGTATCCAGAAGGTCCTCCTCCCGATCCTCTTCCGTCTGTTCACTTTCAACAATGTCCTTGGCCTGGAACATCTGATTGTGGGTGGTGGAGTTCATTCTGGGGTAGAGTTCGATAGTGGTTACTTCGGTGAGTGCAGCCTGGTACTCAGTGTCCTCTTCGTCCCACTCTTCGGGCTCTGATACCGACACAGGCTCCTTGGGGCGCACCTGCTCCTTCACGTCCTCCGGCTCGGAGATTGTCGCATCTGACTCCACATGAGCAGAGCTAGTCACAGTTGCCTTTGATGGCACCACAGCGATGTTTGTTGGCTGAATCCCGCGCTCAGCTTCCTTCACGTTGGCCTTGGCCTCGTTTTTGATATTTGTTTCCTTGGATGAGTCTGTCTCGGGGACAGTTTGCAGTTGGTCTTTGAATACGGCGTTGTTGCGCTTCGTAGCCTTGTTGGCAGTCTGGGCTTTTCCAGCGGGGTTCATGGGCTTCGTGGTGGCGGCTTTGTCGATAGAGGTTCTGGCGCTTGACAAAGACATTGGGCGCTGAGCAGGCTGAGAGAGACCAGCTTTGCTCTCGGTCACGACGGTTGACTTTCCACACACCGCAGAGTCGTCACGGACGCCACGATTGAGATCTTTCGTGTTGCTGACATCGCCAAAGGCACGTCGGGGGACATTGTTGTTAGACAGCATGCCTAGGGCGGGACTCGACTTGTTACGCTGGTGGAGGGTTTTGTGATTTTTCAGGGATTTTGGAGGCAAGTTCTCATCCCCAACGGGTCGAAAACGCTGTGGCTTCAAAGGTTGTCAGCTCGATGCCCATTGCGCCATGAGGCAATTGGGTGTTGAGAAAGTCGTGTTGCTACGCGATTGACGCGTACCAACCATCACAAACACGCTCTGAATGCAACTATGAGGATATCACGTACCTTGGCGTCCATCTTTGCGGATATGGAGCTGAGCGTCGTGGAGAGAGTGTAGTAGAAGGAGAGTGTTGTTTACGTTTTGCTCAGTTGAGATGGAGACAAAGTTGCTCCGGTATGATTGGTCGACCCAAGCAAAATAAACAGTGTTTGGACCCGCTTTGTCAGACGCACCTTCCAAAAGTCGCTCCTACTTACTCGATGCGCTGGCGCAACGTCTTCAGGTCCGCAACTTTGTCGTTTTACTCCGAGCGATGAAAGAAAAAACAAAAGGGAATTCTCCCCTTGTTCCTGAGATGTGCCTGTCTACCAGGGACGCTAGCCCCGAAGCGGAATGTTCTGCGGTGGCGCATTTCTACCACCCATGCAGATCGATTCATTGTACCCTTGCGGCTGCGAGAAATTGGGTCCATACCCAGTGAAACATTGATGTGCTCCTTGGTAACTCATGCGTGAGGAGTTCAGGTAACGTGAATTGACCCCAATCCTCATACGGAGTACATTCAGCTTTGCTCCCTCCGTGGTGAGATCCGTTCGGCGCTTTGAAGGTCTGTATCCTTGACCCAAGGCCAACTGATGTCATGGTCGAAAGACTGGAGAACCGCTCTAGGTTGTTACATACTTGCGTGCTCATCAAAGACGCCGGCCATCAAAATCTTTCGTATGGCGATCCCGCACCTCGAAAGTTCTATACATGGATTCAACGGAGGAACTTCACCGTCATCCGAATTCACAACCTTCCAAGGTTGGAAACTTGTTGAGACTCGTGATCGTGGGTCAGTGAGACCGCCTCAATCTAATCGCGGATCAGATCCTTACATTTCCGATGTACTGTAGATGCATTCCCCTACGTTGTACCCGAGTTGCGTGCAGCTCCAGCCCAACCTTCCAAGGTCGACCTCGGGAAAGGGTCGAGGTGGAATGCGACGATAAGCGCTGATGTTCGGTCTTATCGGGCTAGTTTGCACTGTTTGTTAGGGGAACTACGTCATCAGCCCTGTCGGCGCGTCTTCCTCTTCGACGGTGAAATGACATTTTCCGATCGCACTCCATGGTGGCTCTTTGAGCATTGGTTAAAATCTATCTATAGCTTTCTGTATATGTCTTCTACCAATCCCGATGATAAAATTTCCTAATTTAGCCGGATCGCCGGCGTAATCGCCCTTTTCGCAGATGATCTAGATGCAACGCGCTACCGACGCGCATCACGTGATATCCACACCGCCGCCGCCAGAGGTGGGACACCGGAATCAAGCGGTTCCTGTTTGGCAGCTTGGATGATCGACCGAAACCCACTTGCATTATTGCGACAAATGTTCGCTTCTGCGCTGTCCTCATTTATTGTTGTCCCGTTCTTCGGAGGTATTGCAGGGTTTAAGTTGGGTAAATTATCGGGTTATTCTAGCGCACGTTCCTAGTGCGAAGATCATTCTATGCTTGTTCTCTCGAACGGCGGTCACGCAAAATGTCCCCCTTTCCGATGATTCTTCTGGCAAATGTGCGACAGGCTTTGGCTTCCGTGCCTGGCAAGTCTCCAGGAGCGAATTTGAGAATGCTCTGTAACCCCGAGGCGGGATTCCTTTGGACTTCTTACGTAGGTCCCGAGGAGGGGTAAACTAGAACTGCAGATCATTTGAGACACATTCAAACAGTCATGCGATGGGCGACTAGGTGGTTTCTGGATCGGAGAGTGGGAAATTATGTATCGGTGGTATCCTGAATTGGCGTTTATCAATCCCCATGTGGATCGAGACACCACTCGAGTCAACCCTCTTCTGATGCATCAAACCCCATCAAAAGTGTCGCGGTAGCCTGGATTTCTCTTCTCGTGGGCCAAATGGACCATGCGACAAGGGTGCGCCTTAGGGGAAGGGTCTGGACAATGCTCGTTCTCGGCGCAAGTCCCCCAAGACAACGTGAAAAAAATAATAATGCAAAGGTGGAACATCAACTACGTGGTCTAGCTGGAAACTAGCTGCAAGCCATCAAATCGATTGGGCACTATTTCTTCATATTTGGGGCCCTCCAGCACTCCATTGATATGGGCTACGGTGCAGTGGTTTGAGGTACCCAAGGTACCCGCTTTGTGTGAAATGAACAGCGAGTGCACCATCGGTGGCGTGGACTCTACGTCTTAAAACCCCAATCTATGTCTAGGTAGTCTTCCGACTGAACTTCTACAGGAGAAGGGATATCAGATCAAGCGCTCCGTCGCTCGGCGCAATGGCATCCGGCTTGCGACAGCTTTTTGCGCATTGCGAAAGAGCGTAGCTTCGGGGTGGTTTCGCATACTGTTTAATTCGTAAGGTCCATTAAATGCAGGCTCGGGCTGCAGTTAAGAAATAGTTACAGAGGCTAGGGAATGTGATGCTGCGATGGGCGCCGGAAGCGCAAATCGCCATGTCACCGACCCAGACAGGCCGTTTTCTCGCTTTAGGTGAAACCATCGTACGCACCCACCTCAACCTTCTTCACTCCAACAACACCCCGATCAACTCGACATCTGCGTTGCCGACTCTGCTGGGTATGTCTCTCTACTCTCGATTCCGCTGCGTTTTTATTCCCCTGATCCCGTTTGGGCCTTGGGGATGCCACCGCTGACATCGTCTTAGCGCTACGTAGAATCGAATCGACAATCCCCTCTCGACCCTCGACCCGATTCCATCCTTCGAACCTTCGCCGTGTCTGGGACATTTGGTATAATTGCGATTCTGCAGGGTTCTGTTTGAGCCTGGGTTTAGGTGTGTTCAAACCCCTCCCCATTCTCTTCCGGGTCCTCTCGCTTGCTTGCCCCCCAAGGTCGGCCGGACTCGGTTAGCGACACATCCATCTATCATCCTTCCCTCCAAAACCCATCATACTCGTATCTCCGAACTTCTATACCTCCATTGTGCTGACCGCTGCGGCTCGTTGCCCTCCCAGCTCGCCGACGTCCGCCCTTCTGAGCCGCTACCGACTCTTGCGACTGCACATTCCCCTCCTCCATCGAAGGCTCTGCTTCGATCGTTTCTATACCCAAAGACCCAGGGGTGGTTCATCCACCAACCTGACTCTTCGAAATCAATAATTGTGGTAGGTTTGATGGATTCTTCCCTCTACACTTGCCCTTCTGTGTTTCACCATGGATCACCTTCCCGCCCTCTACCGCACACAAGCAGTGGGTTGATGCAGTCTCTGGTATAGCAGTGGAGTATTTCTTCGCATTCTGAATCACTTCAACATGCAAGCGATTCAGCATGAGGGGCTTTCAGGCCTGGTCGAACAGCCAGGTCTGGCAGACTCTGCTGCAATTCGAGATCCGTCGCTCAAAGGCCCTGCGCCCAAGAACATCGCCTTCGAGTTGCTCCTCGATGAGAACTCCAAGGTCCGAGCCCGTATCCCGATGCGCGTGCAGATATATCCCCATGATACTACAGACTCAATTGTCACTACGGTCAAAAATTTCTATGGTATCTACGACGGAACCCCAAGTGGGGTCAGCTTTGAGGATGAGCATGGGACTACCCTGATCGCAAGGTATGAGAACCTCAAGAATAACAAGACTGTATATGTGCGAGTCATTCCCATTCAACCATATGGGGATCACTTCTATAATGGCTTCTCTGCCGAGCCTCGCAAGCGGCCAAGTCTGGCCGAACCGTTCCAGATGATCGATGGTGTGGCGCCTATGCTGGATCAGCCATCGCGACCAGCATCACGCCTCGCGAGGAAGCGCAGCACTTCTCCGTCAAACCGGAGTCTGCGCAGTGCTTCTCAACACAAGCCTTCCTCCCGCGCCGGCAACAAAAGTCGCGCTTCCAGTACCCATGGAGCTTTCCATGATGATGAAGACTACAGCGATACCGAAAGCGCTTATGCCCGTCGGGCTCGCAATGAGATTTTCGCTAGCTCAGACATCAGCATGGAGAACATACTCCAAGATGGTCGTCGCAAGCGGCCCAAGTTCGATAGCTCTGTGAGTGACCTCTTTAGATCGCACGCATTCTTATCTGTCGCTGACGCTTCTTTTCTCTAGGAACTTCCGCTTTTCGTTCCTCCTCAAGTGCCCCTCACTACCTCCACATCCTCAATCTCCCCTCAACGTCGATCAATTGGACAGGAAGGCGCTGGGTCGCCTTTCGCTCGCCCAACACAACGTCCTTATAGCTATCAGCATGCGCTTCCATCACCGCAGAGCTACGGCCATAGTGAATACGGCGCCCAATCGGGGCGCAATTCGATGTACGCAGCCCCCGCTGCTCCAGAGCATGGGCATCGCATGCGCGACTCTTCCGGGGCATATGGCAACTCGGCCAACCGGGTCAATGGCTCTGGTGTATTGCCCACCCCAGACCCCACCATCGCAAGCTGCATCTCTGATGAAGATGTGGCGATGCAATTGATACGCTTAGGTGATGCGTCCAATTTCTCCCATGGCCGTACTTCCGCCTCGACACTAGACGACGCATTCAGCGGTGCTGCCGATGCCAACTCATCAGCTGGTGCGACCAGTGACGGTGATGACTTCAGCGAAGATGAGGATGATCTGCCCGCTCGTCGTCAAAGACTAGACTCGAGTCCAATGCTCCCACCGGGGACCATTAAGCGCCACCTCAAAGGCCTTGATGACATCCTGCCCAGCGCCGACAGTAGTGATCATAGCTCAGATGGCGGGGACGATGGTATCAAGAGTGAGGCCGAGGAGGACGTCCTGTACAGGGAATTTGCGCCCAAGGCAAAGAAGCCTAAGAGCCGTCCCATGTCATTCAAGGTCCGCAATCAAAAGTCAGCCCCAGTGAAACTGAACAAAAGCAAGGCACCTGCGCCAGTCTCTCGCAAGCCATCGGACAAATCCTCCGTGCCAATTCAACCTCTCAGCCCTGCCTCGTCTCGGAAGGTCTCGGGTGGCTCTGTCAACTTCCAGCACCAGCTGGGTGCCGATGAAGAAGACTTATCGACCAAGCCTCGATGTCAGCGATGCCGCAAGAGCAAAAAGGGCTGTGATCGCCAGCGTCCCTGTGGACGTTGCAAGGATGCCGGCATCGGTATCGAAGGCTGTGTCAGCGAAGACGAGGGTAACGGTCGCAAAGGTCGCTACGGGCGTCATATGGGGGTTCCAGTCAAAAAGGACGGTGAGGATATGGATGAAACTGAGGAATTCCCACTCATGCCTGCGACCCCTCCTATTTCCTCGTCGACGGCAGACAAGAATAAGAAGCGGAAGCGCTAGTGACCATTTGATGTGCATTTTCATTTGTGGCCTCTTCAGCGCTTCTTCGCACCATATATTCATCTTTGCTATCGCCGCGGGACCTCTCATTCATCTTGCCATCCTCACACTGGGCCAGCCTTGGGCGCCCCGTCTCTCTCTCCTTTCAACCTTCTGGCCAGCGCCAGAGACACTCCTTACATTATCACGCTACCATCACCTGTCCCGCGTGCTCTACACTCCCTTTATTGGTTACAAGCCATGCTCCTCCTGACCTCGATTTTACACTGTCAAGCGGTTGATCTGTTGCTCGTCTTAGGCGTCTTAGTGCTTCTGTGGGTTGTATGCTTCTTCCTACATCCACTCGCTCATTCGGAATCAATGCTACTGGGTTATTATATCTTAGATTATGTGCCAGGTGGGCTTCGTGTGTTGAGTAGTCGACAAGTAGTGGCAGCAATATATATCCGAAGGTTCTCTGCAATGGGCAGCTGTCGTATTCCAAGTTTAAGGCTACTGGGTATTCTAGTTCGGTCGCTGTCCTAACTCGATCTTCCAAACTCGAAGGGTTCCATCTTGCGTCCCTCTTCCAAGGTTGCAAGGTACACATGTATGGAACTACCTACCTACCTAAGGTATACGATCAACGACGGAAGTATATTTCCACCCGTGGACAGCCCAATGGACTGGCATGATTCGTGGTGTACCACGTGACAAAGGCGGTGTGGACGGCCCCGCAACTTTTTTGAAGAGCTCGACTTTGTCGAACACCAGAAGGTGATATATACCGGCGAATTATTCGCGTGTGTTCCATTATCTGTCAAATCAAAGGCCTGGATCTCACCCTAAATCTGGCCCATTTTACTTTGCTTGCACAACAAGTGCGCCACTTCCACGAGGCATCCAAATCGAACTTTTCTCCCGCGGACATCTGATTGCACCAATCTTGCCCTTCTACAAGCGACGAAAATGCCTCCCAAAGCCGCTCGTGGTGCGGCCTCTACTCGAGGAGCCCGCACTGACTCGACCACCACCGCTTCCGCTGGCGCGGCCACAGAACAAAATACTTCCGCGGGAACAGACGCACCCGGACCCGCGAATCGAGCATCCGTGCAGCGCCTCAAGACCACAAATAAGCGCACACCGTCTGGCAGCATTGGATCGGCCAGTCGGCCATCACCTGCAGTTAGTGGTGAGCCAGTCAAACCGGTCATGAAACACAGGCCCAAGGCCGTGGGGCGTCGCAGCAAACAAGAACGAGATGAAATTGAAAGACTCGAGAAAGAGCGCCACAATGAACGTCTGAAAGAAGCGGCGGCTATCCAGCGCGGCCGTGGTGGGCCTCGTCGGGCTGGATTCCGCGGCCGTGGTGGTCCTACGGCCATGAGCATGGGAGGATCATTTGGCGGACGAGGCGGCAAGCGCGGCCGCGGTGGCTTTGGTGGAGGTGGTGGTGGCGGCGGAGGCGGCGGATACGGAGGTGGTGCTGGCTCAGGGCGCAACCGATCTGGTCTTACCGGAGGCCATCGTGGGCGCGCATATGACTCTTCTGACGACGAGGACAATGCACTCCGCATCAGCATTGATCACATCAACCTTGACAGTGACGAGGAAGACTGGATTGTGCCCAAAGATCCCAAAGGAAAGCAACCCAGCAGGTCACAAACCGACCGTGCACTCCGACCAGTCCGTCTCGAGAGACATGAGCACGAGGAACGAGTCATCAGTGTTAATATGGAGTCGAGCTCTGCTCGGGCTGCCGATCTCCGCAAAAAGGCAGAAACTGAGAAGAAGACCATCGCGAAGGATGTTACCAAGACGCCAACGAAAGTCAAGGCTGAACCTCGGGACGACGACGCATCTATGGCAGATGATATCCCCCAAGCAGATGATGATGGCTTCTTGCCGGAACACAATGTCCGCGTACGCTCTGTGACCATGAGCCCCACAAAACGAGATACCACGGAGCCTCAATCATCACCAACCACACCCGAACCCAAGCCTGTGGATCCACGCAGCCTTCTACATACAAAAGAAGAAATTGACGAATACGATCGTCACCAGGACGACTTGGCTATCATCAAGGACCTTCTCGTTCCTAAGCCACCTAAGGCTACCACGGTAGCAGAGACAACCGAAGGGGCTACGGAGGGCGAAACTCCCACAACAGAGGGACAGGCTGAGGAGAAATCCAGCGAAGAGGAAGAGGAAGATAACCCTCTTCTGGGTCAACTATTCCTCATGCAGTTCCCACCCATGACCCCTAACCTTAGAGTTGCTGGTGCCCCGGCAGAAAACCAACAGGCAGCCACTGAGACAACAGTGGAGACGGAACCAGCACTCAAGACCGAGCCCGAAGTCAAGCGGGAAGCCGGTGACGATGTGGAGATCGTGGAGAACACCCAACACACAGAACCTCAACGGACGGATCTCATCACCGCCGGAAAGCCATGGTCACTTCCAAGTGGTCGGGTCGGCAAGCTGAATGTGCACAAGTCCGGCCGTGTGACTTTGGACTGGGGTGGCATTAGTATGGAGCTGGACCGCGGAGCGCCTGTTGGTTTTGTTCAAGAGGCTATGATTGTCTCACCCACTGTGGGACAGGAGGGCGAGGCACATAACGAGGATGGGTCAGAGAACAAGGCTTGGTCGATGGGTCAATTGTCTGGCAAGTTCACTCTTACCCCGAACTGGGACGAAATCCTTTAATTGCATCTTGGAGCTACATATTTTACGACAAAGAAAAGCCATTGATTCACCAGATATATCATTGACCACATGTAAAATTATTGGATGAATGAAGATATTATCTGACTTAGAAAATGCGAGTTCGCAAAGCGCTACTCCATGTATACTTCAAGGTTGAAGATAGGGCTTGGTGTTGATGCCTCAGGCAAGTGCCAAGACATCGGACTCACCTGCGACCTGTTCGCGTTGCCTATGCAGAATCCAAAACAGCACCAGGAACCCAAGCACGTTCGGCGCGATCTCAGAGATCCTGATTTCCCGTGGAATTCAGTCAAGGCATTCAGTCAAATCCACCTATAATGCCTACATAGGTCAACCCGAGTGTCTCCAGCGAGACGCAAAAATATGACGATGTCACTGCGTCCCCTTGGAAGCAATTCTAGCTTATACTACGCGCAACTCTTTCGAAAATATACCATATTACCAGCCCTTCGACCATCATTCCGCTCACGCGACTCCCATATCACACTCCAATGCCCCAGAAGAGCTTTGCACCTGGCAGACACAGGATCGCTGCTACAACGGACTCTACTCGGAAACCTGCCACGAGACGTGTATACCACACGCAGCCGAAGTACACACTTGCCCACTCAACAACGCCGCCATGAGTCCCTCTCGGCTCAAGAAGCCCCGGAGCTTGAGCCTTGCGCGCACTGTGGCGGAAGGACGTATCTCAAGATGCGAAAACCCGTCGACCCGGAGGATCCCTCCAGCGGCTGGCACTGCAAACCGTGTGTTCGAACCCTGCGCGTATATGGTCACCTCCCAAACGAGGAACAACTGGTGGAAATCAATCGGCGACGAAGAGTTCGGCAAAGCGGAGAAGCAAGCAAGACAAGTCCGTGTCGGCACTGCGGTGATTTGACAGCACCGAAAAGCAACCGTAAATTCGTTGATCCTGATGATCCCTTTGCGGGATTCTACTGTCGACCATGTGTTCGGCATAAGCACCACCATGGGCACCTACCCACCGAGATTGAGCTCGTAGCTTTCAAGACTCGGAGGAAAGCTCGCAATAGGGTTTACGCCAACCGTGAAAAAGAGAAAGAGAAGGCAAAAAACAAAGGCGGCGTGAAAGCAGAAGCACCACCTCCCCCTCCCCCTCCTCCTCCACCTCCACCTTCAGACCCAGATCCAGATCCAGATCTTGACCCAGAAGGTCATAAGCGAGCCAAGCAGAGCCGTGATCCGCACCCCTGCCGCCATTGCGGCGACCAGACCTTTTCCAGCAGCAAGCGGAGGCTCGTTGAGCCTCAAAACCCTTCCGCCGGGTATTATTGCCAACCGTGTACGAGGTGTCTCATCGAGACAGACACATTGCCCACCGCTGCGCAATTAGCAGCCCTCAGGAAACTCCGATTGAAAAGAAGTGCTAATGTGAATCTATCTGCGCGAACCATGAGCAGTCCTTGCTGTCACTGCGGCTCGATGACGTCCCCGGGCAGCAAGCGCAGACTTGTTGAGCACAGGAACCCCGATTCCGGGTACTACTGTCGCCCTTGTGCCGAATGTTTGACAACTACAAATGCCTTGCCCAACGAAGTGCGTCTTGCCACTCGAAAGTCTCGCGAAAGGGCGAGACTGAGTAACCTCAAACTGGCTATAGAAGCTTCTATGTTGAGAAGCAACTCTGCCCAGACGGGGTCTTCCCCGACCGGCGATGAGGCCAACATATGTGCGCACTGCAAAACTGATGGAAATACTATCAAGCTGACCCATTTCCCGCCTGCGAATCAGAATGTTTGCTCCTCGTGCACCAATCATTTTGATCTTCACGGCTCGTTACCCAGCGCAGATGTGCTTCTGCGGCGAGAAAACAACCGAAAAGCACGGGCGCGCATTCAAGCTGATATCGAAGCCGGTCGACCGCTGTTCTGCTATCATTGCAAGACCCCTCGACCTCAGTTCCCAACTCGACATTGGAAGATAGGAGGTCGGTTCCATGATCTGGTGTGTCCAAAATGCCAGTCCAAGGGGTTTTGAGGCTGTGCATGTCAATTGAAGGGTGTATAACTGTATATAACTCTATAATAACCATCGTCTCACATATAAAACCTCTCATAGACTCCCTAGGCACTCAGGTACGAAGTGGACGAACCTTGGAAGGGTAAGATGTTAATCTCCCGCTAAGCCAAATTGGGAGAGCCGTTAATCCAACGACCAATCAGAGGCCACAGAGTCAAGGGTCAACCAGCCCGTCCACGGGCTGGTCCCTGAGAGTCGAAAGGGCGGCTCGGCCAATCATGCCGCCCTGACTTGCTTCACCTTGATTTTCACCTTAATTTCCCCCTGTTTGATTCTCGACTTTTCCTCCTCTCTGCGATTTGTGCGATTTGTGCGTTTGGGATCTTGCCGCTGTGACTCTGGTGTGGGTGGCTCTGAATCGTTTCGCCCCTTTCCCTCCCGGTTGCCTGATTGCGACAACCCGCTCGAAGTGGCATGTTTGGAGACTCGATCACTGGACCATAATTCGAATCGGTCGCTGTGTGATCATTCACCCATCAGATCATTTAGACCTCAGATCCCACGTATTGTTGCCTCGCCAACTCCAAAGACCCCCCCATCCCCACGACCCGCACCCGCACCAACCAGCTTGGCGTTGCTTGTCTGCGCAGGCAACAACACAAGCCTTTGCGCGCATTCCCAGTCCATTGCACAACACATACTGTATAATCACCGCATCCTCAGCATGAAACCAGTACTTCTCCTGGCCTGTCTGGCACCAGCCGCGGTCCTCGCCGAATCACACGCATCTGGCGTCTCCTCGGACTTCGCGCACAACTCCCCCGCCGTGTCAATACCTGAGCTAGCTCCCCGCGAACCCTTCGCTCCGATGCTCGACCGTACACATCTTTCCGAGGACGTGCCTTTGCTAGCTCCGAGGCATATCCTCCAGGCGCGCAGTGAGGGCTCACTCGGCCAAACCCCATGGATTGGCATGGGTATCGGCCTGACCTTCACTGCCCTGGCGGCTGTGATGCTGGGGTGATCATTGGCTCCTCGAATGTTCGCTTTCAACAATATCTCCTACCGACCTTTACATATCTACCTCTTCTGATGCTACACGTGAAACGCCGGGCACGGCCCGAACCCCTCCATTTCAACTTCTGAGTCGCCCACGTGGTGACTTATTTCATCTTCTTACGGTCTTTTGCAGCGGATTTTTGAACCTTCTTGTTGTCTATTTTGCATCCATTGCCTTGCGTTCGGCGTGGGAGTGGAAGTTTTGAATCCCCCCTTTTTTGAGTTCCTTCATTTCATTGCATTACCCGACTTGCCCACCCCTGTTACTTTTTTTTTCACATACGCTCAGGGTACTGTCGGGGGTATAGAATTGCATGTTATGCGCATGTTGTACATGATACCTGTTTTCGTCCCTGATGCAAATGCTCCTGTTTGTATATGGGATGGCATACTTAATTAGTGTTTATAGATACAGCCAATACGATTTGACTATACCAATCTACTTTTTCGAATCCTTTGAGGCTCTTTGGGGTAAGACCTGCGTTTTATTGGCCTGTGCCTTCCTGGCACTGTTTGAGGGCTTGGATACGACTTTCTTTGTTCGTCCAAAGCTCGACCACCGGACCTCGGGAGTCTTTTCGCACTTAGTGGTCAAGGGAAAGGATTCTGTCTATTTTAAATCCAGCGCCAGCCCCAAGACAACGGATATCATTTTGGTCCGCCTCGCAAGATCTAGTCAATCAATCAACCTTGGAAAGCACACCCCTCAAAAGCTCTGGAAAACTAATCCACTGAGATGGCTACCACGCTCGACGAATTCCCGCCTTATGTACCAATGCCCTCGCTCGGCCACGAGCTTGGCTTGATGTTCGGCTTCTTCAGTATCTGTCTAGCAGTTATGGCAGCCTACGTTGTTGTTTGGCGAGGTGAGACTTCTATCTGGTCCGATATCTTTCCCATATCGATTCAGTCCAGGGCTATCTTGCTCACCCACCCACTATTATTTGACCCATTACTGGCACAAAAGCAAACAATCGAGTCTTTCATTGATCTCTGACCTTGGAATGAAGTTCCGTGCTACGATAAGGGCTCTGGATTAACAATTCCTACCTAGTCTCCCAACGCCGCTTCCGCGCTCAAGACCTTGCCCGGCGCAAGGCAATCCGCAATAATCGCCAGATATCTCAGGATCCAAGACGGGGAGCAACTTCAACAATGGGAGCAAGAAGCCCGAGTCCTATCGAGAAAGGCGCCGAGAAAATACACGGCTGCTACACTATCCCTGAGGACCGGGTGGAGTTACCTGTTCATGGGATGGAGCTACTCAGGAGTGAAAAGGCCACTAGGACAATGATGGGGCCACTGACATCTAATGCGGTGACACCATTGAGCTCACTCGGTCATAGAAGCGTGATGGATCCCGGGTCTGCAGCTGGGGTAGAAATTGTTCATTCGCCCAGGAGCCTTGTTAGTCCCCTTGGGGGTGGGGATAGAAAGGAGTCTATCGTTGATCTTGCGTTGCCGACCCAGCAACTTCGAAGCCAAAGCCCTGCCCCTGCCCCTGAGATGTATCGGTCTGCGAGCCCGGCGAGGAGAGCGGGTGGAAAGAGTGGTGTGGTTGAAATTGGACCCGGGTCAAGTCAGGCGGTGGAGGGATGATTTTACTGAGTTGGAATCCAAGCGAAATGAACTACTGAACAGGAAAATTGTCATATTGAACTTTCGGATGTAGTAAGGGAAAAGTTGGCTATTGTATCAGTACGTTGGCCCGGAGCCCTAAATCCCTTCGAGTCCCCGTGCATTCGCAACACCCTACACATGCATGGTGACGGCGCAATAACCCTTCAGTTCCAAGAGCTTAACGGCTTTGCCAGACTCTTTGCCTTAATGACCCCGGGTGCCCATATGTCGGTTTTGAGCCGAGAATATTCATCCGGTGTCGAGATCTGTAAAGCTGTAGCACCCGTGGACCCATTGCGAGATGTCCATGGTAGCACAGTATGACCGCGCAGGGCCCGGGAGGGCATTGACGATGTCAAGAAAGTCGCCACGAATTCAAGATGAGACGAGTGTGTGGCAACTATGAAAGTCTGTTGTCAAATTGCCATATGGTCAAAGGACTCTTGTGCTACTAGGCGGCTGTAGTTGCATGCACTGTGGCCTCGGGCTTGCCCCACTCAGGGGAAGAGGTTCTTGTCTTGACCCAGGAACCCCACTCTAGGGCTATGGATCCGGTTGCTGACATTTGCCTATAGCAGCCATGTATCGATAGGAAAACCTGTGTGAATACAACAGGGCCAAGAGCCCAATACGAGCGTGCCCAAGAGAGAACAGGATCGCGTAGAAGACGGTGTAGAGATGTGCGTGTTTCGAGAGGGGTGCAGCTGCAGGTTTCGCTGGCTCATTGGGTCATGATTTATGTTGGACTGAGGACTTCTTGGCAGTGGAGTCGCGAAGTTTCAGCGAGATCCTGTACAGAGAAAAGCGCGGGAAAGCAGAAGAGCAAGACAGAAGAGCAAAGAGAGAGCCAACGCCAAGAACCGGAGACCGAGTGGATCATGTGGAGACCCGATAAGAGTGTATAACGAGGGGAAGATAAGAAGCTGTACTCCCCAACACACCTGGGCTCTCTCTTCTTTTGATTTCTTCCTCTCTCTCTCCCTCTTTCCACCGCTCATCATGTCTCTTCCAGTCAATGTTCATATCTCTACCCACCCGTGCCTCCAAGCCAAGCTCTCTTTAATTCGCTCATCCTCTACTACTCCCCGCGAGACACGAGGCCTAGTTCATGACATTGCCAACATTCTAGGCGTTGAGGCCTTTTCCGGGCTCAAGCTAGCTAAGACAGGAACTGTATGATCACCGGCAGAATCCTGTTGACATCACTCTAATCTTCCAAGGACACCACCCCTCTCGGAGTCGAGTATGAAACGCAGGGCATCGACCCAGCAGATCTGGCTCTAGTGCCCATCCTTCGCTCTGGCCTGGGAATGGTTGATGGTGAGTCAAAGATTCCAGATTAGAGCAGTTCACGCAAAGCTGTTTCCATGTATCCGTGGCAGAGTCTCCAGTCCATCCCCATGCATTGCCCTCAAAAACCCTGGAAACCTTGAAACCCAACCCCGCTTACTTACCACCCCAGCCCTGAACGACCTTCTCCCCACTCCCGTCCCCGTCTACCACCTAGGTCTCTTTCGCGAGAAAGTTTCCCTCCAACCCGTAGAATACTACAACAACCTCCCCTTCCACCGGTCGGAGTTGTCTCTTGCATCCCCCGCCTCTCTAAACCCAACCACCAACACCGCAGCCGCCACACTGGCTGTCCTACTAGACCCGGTTATTGCGACAGGTGCAACAGCAGAAGCGGCTATCCAGTTGCTGCGTGATTGGGGCGTGAAGAAGGTCATTATGCTCAGTGTGCTGGCTTCAGAGGAGGGCATCCAGCGTGCTGCCGGCACTTGGGATCAGGTCGAGGTTTACGTTGGTGGTATTGATAAAGGCGTGAATGAGAAGGGAATGATCGTTCCCGGACTCGGGGACATTGGGGATCGACTGTTTGTTGCCGTTGGAAAGTAGGCTGTCTCTAGCCCTGGGGCTACCCTTTGGTCTTAGCAATAAATACAATAAAGATCATCTTTGCATTGGAAACCATAACTGCGAGAAAGGTATGCAAGGGGAAGTTGGAGTACCTACCTAGGTAGGTAGTATGTTGACTGTGGTTGTCGTTAGTACTTCCAATGTACAACTTCGGTATTCACTTAAGGGCATACCGTCAAGTGATGGCTTCCCTGACCGTACTTCTAGGGGTTCAGCAACTACCTTGTCAGTGGCTTGATGGCCATAAAATACTGGAAATGTTCGGCGCCGGAGATGCAGCCTCATGGCATGGCCGACGTGAGGATTATGAGAAGATAATTACCAGTGCCAGCCGAGGACTGTCGGCTTGGAGAGAGGGCTACACAAAACCGACATACTGGGGTTGGAGGCACTGCACCATGTTCAAAGTATTGAACATGGTCAGTCTACAATTGAGATCTACCTACGAGTACAAGTAATGAGGTCAAATCCCCGCCAGATTATTCATTGATTACGTATAGTACATAAAAAGGCATAAAAACATGTGCAAGTGAAAACAACTGCAAGAGAAAGCAATGCTGAGCGTGAAAGAGCATGAAAAAAGGCGGCAAGACGGGGAAGGCATGCAGGCAATGAACATCAAATACAAGCGGCTGGAAGATACCAGCCCAAGAAGCAAAGTCAAATGGACAAATGAGATGAAAGCAAGAACGCGAGACAGACGCAGAAAACTCAAAAGGTATCGAGAGCACAAAAGCAGATGGACGGGGGGCACAATTAGGGGTTAAAATGAACCATAAAGTCAAACTCCTCGGAGTGCGAAAGAACACACAGGACCAGCCAGGTGTCGAAGACGGAAAGCAGAAACACCACACTGGACTCCCTGGTGTAAGAAAAGCAGGGAAGATGCAAGCAGAAAGAGGAAAAAAAGGCAGAAAAAAGAAGCCCAACGACAAGGAACCACCGAGAGGGATATCAAAAGGCGAAGTATTGCAGAAAAGCCAAAACACCCCGCCCTGCCCACTGGCAGGTCCAGTCCGGATTCCCAAGTGTCCCGATGAAACCGTCCAGAAAAGAGAGTAAGAACCCGAAAAAAAAAAAAAAGAAATCAACAATCAAAATGCAGGGAAAAAAAAGCATATCAACTCAAGGGAAATGACTCAAGGAGATTTAGTAGGCAGTGCCAACGCTAGCAAGCGATTTGGTGGGCACTGCGTGAATAGGCTGGTCCTTGCCGACACGGAGAGAATCCTCGTAGCCGACAAGAGCCTGAGAGTGGAGCTTGAATGATTCGCCCATCAGCTTGGTAATTCTGTGAAGAAGTTAGTTATCGATTCATATGATCAGCTGGAAGAAGGACTTACCCCCAAACAACCACGCCGTCTAGGATGTTACCCCATACACGGGCGACAGTGGAGCTGAGCTTGCCAAAAGCGTCGATGGCATCATCGTCGAACAGGTTGCGGACCTTGTTGTAGAGAGCCAACTCGGCTTCAGTGGCGGGTTCATCGTCATGTTCCAGACGGTAGAGCCACAGGCTAAGGATGACCATCAGATCAAGTCCACAGAGCGGGTGCTCGACACTCCAGTTGGTGGCGGAGGTCTTCGCGACCCAGTTGATGCCCTGGATGGCGGCGATCTCAATGCATTCAAAGCATTGTTGGATCACCTTGTTCATTTCCTGCGAGCGCTTGACCTTCTCACGAGCGACAGTCATGGCAGCAGCAACTTCATAAGAGGAGTGGTACCGCATGGCCTCTTGGATGGATTTGAGATCAACTTCCAAGCGGGCACGGGTGTTGCGGTAGACTGCCATCGAGTTGAAGATCAAGGGGTGACCCTTTTGAGGAGTGCTGAGTGGGACGACAATTGTCTCAGGCTCGCAGACCTCCAGGGAGTTCTCCCAAGTTTCTAGGGCCAAGCGCAATTTGTACTCAGTGACAACGTCCTGGAGGGCTTCGAAGCTACGCTTGTGGTTCCAAACCTGCAAGAACATGGCGTTGATGAGGACGCGAGTGGCAAAGGCGCTGTAGCGGGTCTGTTCACCCTGGAACAAGAAGTCGTGGGCCTCGCGGACGGTGAGGGCGCTCGATCCCATGTTGCGGCGCCAAGTCTCCTCGTCGGCAGCATCCAGGTTCCACAAAGACTCGGACGAGGGGAGCTCCAGGTCGTCGAACTCATCGAAACTCATAGCGGGGGTGTGGTTGAAGGTGAGAGTCAACATGCCGAAGAAGATGTACACAGCAAAGTATGTGCGGCGGCAAGATTCGTCCTCAATCCATTCTTCGCGGGAGGGCTGGGAACTTTGGCGGCCCTGAACGCGAACCTTCATCTGGTACCGGTTGCCGGCGACCATGTTGGCCAGCAAACTCTTGATTGAGCAGGTCCATTCGAGACCCTTGGGATCACCACTCCAACTCTCAAAGACCATGTTCAGCAAGGTAGCTTGCATCAACCAAAGCGGGCATCGGCGAGAGTCAAAGTTGTCCTTCTGTTGCAAGAATTGGTTGACCAGAACCTTGGAGCCGACGTGAAGCATGAAAGCGTGCTCGCGCTCGAAAGTGTAAAGCGCACCGATTGACAGAACGGCGAGCAACAAGGGTGCTGAGGTTTGCGACGGTCTGAAAGACTCCTGATGAAGGAAAGGCAGGTGAGGATGGTACAGGTTGAAGTAAGTAGACAAGTACCGGTTCAGCGCAATAGTGGGGGGAAGCTGGAAAGTATCAGGAAGCGCACCAAGGCTGTCAGATGCCTGCACACGGTCCATCACGTAATTGCGTTCCATCTCGTTCGCGATTTGAGGCGCCTTAGGAAGAGTCAGTGCCTGGCTGGGGCCAGGTGAACGGCGGTAGTTTACGGGACTGACGGGACCAGTCATTGAAGGGTAAGGCGACAAGGCGTTTGGGGTAGAGTGCCCCGACATCGGCAGCGAGTTGGACATGAGAATGTCCCCGACGGGGCCGTGGCGGTCGACAAGAGTGGGCATCGAGCCAGGTTCGGAGACCAAGGTATCCCAGGGCATCTGGGGCAAGGTAGCGTTCCCGGATAGGTAGGGCTCGAAGGAACCGCGTCCTGGCGAAAGCGACTCGGAACGCTCGGAGGCCTGGCCAGTCGCCGCAGCTGCAGCCTTATGTTGGAAGTCTGTCATCAACATGGCTGCAGTTTCAAGGTCGACCATACCGTCGCTGCTTGCCTCAATCTGTTCCAGGGTCGTCGGGTCAACGGTGACCGACGGCTTGGCTGGTGCAGATGAGTTTTTCTGAACCCCTCCACCACGTCTACGGCCCTCTGCAACGAGAGGAACACCGCCATCTTTGGCGTGAACGGTTCGGTCATGGCGCAGAAGGAGATCGCGACGGACAAAGGTACTGCGACATTTTAAGCACTTGAAGGGTCTCTCTTTTGTGTCTGCAATCGAGTCAGCGGGGACGAAACGCGTCCAAGAACATGGGGGAAGGGCTTACGGGAGCGTTCATGACGGCTGCGGTGCTCGCTTCTGCTGAATGCGCGATTGCAAAATTGACACTTGTATTTCTTCTCAGGTGCCGAGGCCTTCTTGGCCGGCGAGTTGCTGGCTGTCCCTGGAGCGGAAGGAGCCATGTGTGCGGTTGAACTTTAGAGAAAGAACGAGATCGGTGGTATCGTCCCCTGTGTGATTTCGCACCGGTTCTGTAGGCGTGTCGACGACAGGAGTTCGGTGGGGAGTCTGATCATTCCTCGGGGATAGAAACGGGATGTCGAGATAAAGTGGTTGTCCAGCCACAAATTAAAAACCAAACGCTGTGAAAGGGAAAGAGGGAGGGGGGGAAAGAGAGATCGCGATTAGAGGTGGGAGAAGGAAGAGGGGAAGGGGAGGGGAAAGAGGAGGAGAATAAGAAGGAATTTAGGAATTTCGAAATCGGGTTTTTGGGGGGGGGGAGGGGGCAATGGGAAGGGAGGGGGAAAAGGACGTGGGCCTAAGCTCATCGCTTACTACGCGTGAGGCGCGCAGCGAGACCAGCGTTACAGAAAGCGGGACTTGGGAAAATGGAAATTGGAAAAAAAAGGGAAAAAAAGCTCAGGGCAAGTCGGAGGGGGGGGCCTACCAGCCACCGCACCTTACGGCCACGCACTGTTCGTTCCAGGATACGTCCCAGTCTCCTTTCAAGGTCTGTTCGTCCTTTTACCATACCGAATCGACACGTAATTATTCTGTGTATAGATTTGGCCCGATCGCTACCCACATGGTTTACTTTCAGCTCCCCTTGATTTTTAGATAATTGAGATAATACAATAAATAAACTAGCCCTGGAGTTGTACATCGTCGATCAGTGTCCACATCGAAAAGCAACCTGCGAGGGTGCTCGCTGGACATTATGACCTGCCCCTCGCTGGGGATGGAGGGGAAATCCTTTGTTTACAGTGAGGCATGTGAGGCTATTCCCCTTTATTGTTGATTTCTCAAATGCCTATGCGAATTCCCCCTAGCACTTCCAGGGGGGACTAATCCCGAGATTCTATGTAGAAATGGCACAATGCCAGCTATGTAGGACGTTGTATCATATCCGAATCGATGACAGAGTCGATCCATGGATGACAAGGGAACTGATAGATCTCAACCATGGTTCGCGTCTACCCCTCCAAACCCCTCCGATCGACTGTGTCACGACGTAGGAGTATTTGCTGCTGTTCAATTTGCTGCCAAGATTCTGCGCTGTATCACTCTAGTCTTTGAACTAGATCTGTCGTTTATACTATATTTGTGTGTGAAAGAATTGGCCTCTCTGGACAGATCATCCCGTACTTTTGTCGCCTCACTAAATTGACTGGTCCAGATTGCGTCTCACCTGGCCTCAATAGCAGTGCCTTTGGGCCTATCGCAATCACCTTGTGGCTTTTCACCTGTTTGTGCCACGCTGGAGATTACGTTGTATGGGTACCATCATGCCATGTACGATTAACTCATGCATGCAGTACATGGAGAGACTCGAGATACCCTGGATGGGATAGTACAAAGATCGAGGCATCACCTGCCGGACTGCATGGAGAAAGATCTGCATGCAGAGCCAAAGTGCGAATCGGAGCTTTGGGTCGGAGTCCATCATCTGATTACTATCCCCGTATGTAGCAAACCCCCATGCAACCCAGAAAGCCGGGCTGTCTGCCCTAAGGTTGAACACTTCGTACGTTCCAGGGTCCACTTTAGAGAAGAAGGTCAGAGATTGACTCGCACCGTGCCTGTTCACCGCAAAGCCGTCCACCGTTACCTATCACTGAAATTCGAGCGTCGCGAATTCCCGGGTAGTGGGGTGGAGCCACCGTCTTACATCATTGGCATTCACACCTGGTTGGCGCCCGAGGGCCCCGGCACGGTTACTTAGGAAACACCCTTGGGAACACGGCATAGGCTCGACTAGAGAATCAAATCACTTTTGAGAACCTCCGGCAGCACTTTAGCCTCTGAGTCCCCGAGCACCCCCTTGATTCGCGGAAGCCGACTCTCCAAACTCCCTCCCGAACTCCCGGCTGATCATCGAAGCCCGAGCGAAACTTCGTTGAATCTGGACCATCCAGACTATCCACTAAGTTTAACGCGCAGCGATAAGCTCGAGTGGCTGCACTGAACGAGAGGAATCGCCTACGTCGAGGACAATCCAACCAGCTGTCGACCTTGGGACCTTTTGCTCGATCCACTTCCCGATGCAGCGGACCGAGCCAGCTAACGTTCTCGACCCAGGAACAAGAAAAGATGACGGTGATAATGCATAAAGCGGTGACTTGACCGCCGATGAACTGTGATTGCGCTTCCTTACCTCGACCGCCAAAAGACCAAAAATACCAATCGATCCACCATTCTCAATCCCTTGGGCCGCAAATCCGGGTTATGTCTCTCATTCCATGCCCCTCCAAGCGGTCAAAAGGACGAAAGAACCCTATCCATCAAGAACCCGCCCAATAATGGATCTACACGGACGATCCAATCGGACTAGTTACGAATCAGGCCTTTCCATATTATTGCTCTCCAAGCCCTGCTCCACACCAGCAAGCCTGCTGCCGTTGCAAGAATTTTAAAGGATTGCTTCCCCGGCGCCGGCCCCTGAGCTAGTGGACACCGACAGCCGGGCTTTGTTAGAGCCCATCGTCCCGACAAGTCCACCCTGTAGGAGCCAAGGGTGATCCGGCGTATCCGCTGACGCCAGGACGGTCTGGAATTTCTCACAACGTTCTAAGCCCAACCCTAAGCCGTCTGGAGCCAAAGATGTCGGTGAAGCCCTACTCGTGTCAATATCGATGCGCTTCACCGCTTCTGCAATATGCATCTAAATGTCCTAGTCCTGACAAGTGCCTCCCCCTCCCCCACTGATCTCGACGCCGAACATGACGGTCAAAGTAATGATCGCGCGTAACTTCGAAATGATTTTCCCGACGCTTGAAACCCTCCCCATTGTGCGCGCTATCCCCGATACGCTTTCGCTAAAGAATGGGTCTTCCAATGTCCCCCCAGCTTCCCAGCGCATTGGAGCAAGACACCCTACTTTTTATGGGGATCCTCTCCACTCAACGCGTGCTCCGTAAAGCTGTTTACGAAAAAGCGGGCCATCAGTGGGTTCGATTATTACACAATAGCAAATCCGCCTGCCTACTTGGGTACAGAAGGTCCATTTCCGAATTGTGTGTTCGTTCCCGTGGCGGCAAACACGAGTCCAGACCCGGGCGACCGCATCCTGGGTCCATATCCAGAGACACGGGTACAAAGTAGGTCGAAGCTTTTGATGTAGCTGTAAGAGCATTCTGTACTGGTACTCATGCAATCGTACCGTATGGCATAGCAAGTGGATAAACATAGGAAAACGGATTCCGTGATGCATTGTCAAGAATTAATCTCGCGATGATCTTGCATGTGTCTGTGGAAATTGCGATCCTGAGTACTCCGTACTCCGTACATATCTACTGTACTTACGGAGTACATACGTACGATATCTGCATATGTGCATCAAAGTCTTGTCCGTCGAGACTTTGTTTCAAATGTGGGAACATGGTTAATTTACGATACGATCGCCCCTGGATCGCGACGGAAGGGGGCATGGATCCGGGGAAGATGTTCCGGTCCATGGTTCACAACAGCCCAGATCTTGGTACGCTTCACGTTCTGATATGGATCCAATCTTCATGTGAGAATTCAGAACTTAAAGATCACTGCGAGACAGATGTCTTCATCGGCACTGCATGCTGACTTCGTAGATAAAATCTGCTGCGCATATGTATATACATACATAAGCCCTGGTCTCATTTGCAAATTGGCTTGCCTGATTGGACGATTCTCCCGATGCAGGGGATACACCACAGATGAGTACTCCGTACCGATTTATCACATTGGCAATAATATGATTTAATATCTAACAGGTACAGAACCTTAGAAGCTGGGCGCTCCGTAGGATGTACGGAGTAACCACATGCTGATATTATATGTACTAGTACGGAGTACTCCGTACTGTATATGTACATAGCATGCACCCTCATCAAACGGAGATGAACCTCTTCCCCCCGCGCGGAGGTCCATCCGCAACGGAATTTTCGAGAAAAAGGTGGGCACCGGACTAGGGGGGGAGGGGCAGGTGAGAAAACGACGGAGAACGGAGTACGGAGTAGCCGGAGAACCTTGGGTGTTTCGAAACTCGTTACTTGATTGCCCGGCGCGCAAAGTAAGGTTTAGGACCTGACGCGACCGTTGTCGAGAACAAAGGAAGTTCGAGAACAAACTTCCATAGTCCATTGGACCATGTCCTCATTCAATGATTTAATTAGTGGGGAATAGCACGATTACAGGGGTGGACCATTGAGAAAGCCTTGCGAGAACCGGAAGCCAACAGTTTTTCGCGAAGCAGTCCTTGTGTCGCAGCCATGAGCCCGAACCGCGATGGAGAACTTATGCAAAAAAAGGGGTAAATATGATCAGCATCATCGGGGACCCGAGATTCTGGGTAAACTAGAGGCTGGATTCGAGTCTTTATTGGATGCGTGCTGCACCGAGCGGCAGGACTGGGTCTCGGCAGGTGGAAATCCGTCCGGTTGGGTGAGCTGTGGGTGGTAATGATGTCGTTTGGCTGGGCTGCTGCGACTCCTAATGTCCGACCTGCAAGGAACAAGGAACGAGGGGCCTGGTGGCAAAACCATCTTTTTTAGCTTTACCTAGGCAGGCAGTTTCGTTTTTTGGCCATTTGATTATCTGCCTGCATATTGTGTGTACATACGGAGTAGATGTACTCCGTATTCTGTACCGTGTCAGTATTTACGGAGTACAGCTCAATCCCCCTGGACTACTAAATCTCTCCTCGGTCTCGGTCTCGATTGCTTTCCTTGATAGCGAGAGGACTACGGAGTACCTAGTAGAATAACGTTTGGCAATCGACCATGCTAGTACTATTACTATATCAGAGGGTTGTCATCATATCGAAAGGAGACGTTAGATAACTACCGAGAAATCATACCTGGGTATTGTATATATCTACATGATAGTACTTCTTACCTAGGTACTCTATTGACTAACTACCTAGGTAAATAGTTGACACCATTGACCACCTGGGCATGGAACGACGCTACTCCGTACGGAGGATTCATGTACAAGACCACGGGAGAGTCGACTATTGATGCCATCAAACATTTTCCGTCCTCCACTGTAGTTTTATCCAAGCCTCGTTGCTGGTGATGAACCCTGGGAAATACTAGTCTAATATATGTACACTCCTTTAGTTGACAACCCTGTACTCCACGGGCACTAAGTACCTATTTGCTGTCTTACTTGGAATTATCCATGTTCAAAACAACATGAAAGTATTCAAGTCCAACTGATATTTCACATGACCCTGAGTTTCTCAGCATTTGACTTAAATGCATCAAACGTAGCCCTAGCATGGAGCTCCAGGGTTAGACATAGTTACCTATGTCCATGTTAAAATCTAAGTACTCAAATTACCCTGATCGTACCTCAGGGCTATAGGCTGCATCAATGTTTATTCTGACAAATAGTTCGTACGCCCCAAGGTTCCAAGGCTGGGCAGCACTGTTTCTAAATTGTGTGTTGTTGAAGATTAGGTATGGCTATATATCGTTTGTGAACCTTGGAAACATCTGAAATCCCTACCTAGGTAGGTAGCCTTTGATCATGATTTCGATGCTAGTGAAATTCAAGCATTCAATGTTTAGGATTTCGCGTCTCTCCCACCCACTCAAACCTTAGAATTTCCAAGGTTGGATTATACTTCAGGTTCCAGGAAGCCTACCTACCTAGGTACGAACCTTCCAAGTGCTTTGACCCGAAAGACTCAATATTCAGACGTTTGAGCTACACACTTGTTTTTGGTAGAATTCAACGCTCAATACGTACGCAGGTTACCGATGTGCTTGCCACGGACATAACAATGATTGGGCTTGGCTGCTCTCTTTATGAGCCAAGCCTACTCATGTCTTTCAGACGAACGTATCTACCGCATGGTATACCAGCACAAAATATACAACGTATCAGCAGTGCTGATCAACTGCGAAAACTTGGAAGCGACGTCATTTGGCTTACCTGCTGAGACTACGAGTCAATTTATAAAGTGATATTCCGTTAGAATTTGGCTCGACAGTCTCTCTTCAACATAGTGAGTACCTAGGTATGAAGCATTCCAAAGTTCCAAGGTAGGAAGAGGAACCACGCCTCTTCCGACCATCACCCCACAGGAGAAATTCATCCTTCGATAAGTGAATGATGACCAATATTCCAGGCTCCTCTGTATCATAACGAGCGATTGTCTAGATAGTTAGCCACTAGTCTACTCCGTACCTGAGCTGTGATACCTAGGTATTTGGTAGTCAAGCCAATTGCCCCCAGATGTGCTCTACGGAGTAGATAGGAAGCACTTGGGGGCCGAGCTTATGCCGAATTACGTACCATGCCAGGTGGCTCAGGGGAGTGTTTGAGCTTAATGATTACCGCAAAGGTCCTGACTGCAGTTGGTTTGAAAACAAATCACCCCGTGTATCACCGAGTCAAATCGTGGCGAGGTGAGTTGCCCACAATGCACCATTACGGACTACCTACGCCTAACAGTTTTCGAGGTATTAATCCACCACGTTTTGTTTTATTCCCAACCCGCAGGTTCTTATTTTGGTTAAATGTGGAGTGTTAGAAATATATAGTGTTGGCCCGTGGTCGTACCAACCTTGGAAATAGCCCTGGAGCCTGTCGAATAAACCCAAACACATCAATTCAGAACAGGCCTACCCAGCATGCCCAGGTCTTTAGTATCCTAGATAGGTGCCTCCAGGGCTCCTACCCATAGAAGATATGCTCAACAATGCCTCCGTATCTACCCATGCCTTCATCCGTCACCTGGGTGGGCGTAAATGCCTTTCCAGCCACTAGGGACGAGCGCCCGCACGATTCAACCAGAGCCCCGAAAGTGGGACTGTGGAATCCACTTGCGACTATCGTGACATTGAATAGATTAAAAACCGCCTTCTAGAACCATTCTGGTGCTCGGTAGTCAGAAAACAGATATCTGCCCCGACGGATGTGCCAGGATCATGTATATTACCCGACATGATAGAAACGAGCAAAGAAATGTCACACTGCTTCCAAGGTTGATGACGGGGCATCTGGGTTGGTTGGATATTGTCCCGAGAACGGACCACTAGTCCTGCCCATCAATCCATCTTGCTCTGAGACACTGCGGCGCCAGACCGAGTCAGAGAATACTCGTAAGTTCAATGGAGATCCCGAAGTTGAAGGCCCCCTTACGGTTCCCGAGGTCGTTCCAAGGTTCCCGTTACGCTTCAATGAAGATCATTGAAGATACCAAACTACTTCTGGATTGGACTCTTACCACGTACTGTACAGTAGACTCGGGACTCCGTACGGAGTGCTCCATACGAAGAACAGCAGGTGATTGCTGAGCGTCACTTGCATTGGGATTGCCATTCACTAGATGCCGATAGGTGCCGTACTCAGTGCCTAGGGCGATTTGTCTGCCATGTGCCCCCTAATTGCCGCGGTCGAAAACCACTAGGAGGGTCTGAGCCTCCCAGCCCTGTGGATTTATTTAGAAATTCTCATTAGCACCTGTCCATATGCAGAGTGTCAAACCACAGGTACATACGATGTCCCATCAAATCCAATGTACTCCTTGTACTCCGAAGAGATGTGACAGTAAGACATGTACATAGTCCGTACTCCGTAAGCCATGACCAACTTCCGCCGTCCTGCGCGGGTGGGGATACACAAGGCCCACGAACGAACAAAAAAAAAGACCACCAAATAAAACGACAGAGCAATGCTGGCTCCACCCCATTCCAAGTGAACGTGTAAGGTAAGACGTACATGCTGATTATATGTCATTGTGCGTGGTACCTGTAAGACGGTGGATACGTTGCTGTAAAGTAATCCGGTTCGGGGACTGTAAAATTACCCCGTTACCAGAAGGCAACCAACCGGAAATATCGACTGATCGGGGCTCCAAGGTGTATCAATACTGGCATGACACGTCCCGCCTTTTCCCCTAATCCCACCTCCTCGTCTCTCTTCGATGGCTTCATACCGATTCTAATCTTCTTGTTTTTACTCTTCTCCTCCCTACAGTCATGAGCGATAATTGAGAATCTCCCCCTCCCGAACTCTCCCCCGGCTCCAGAAGCACTCTGGATCGTGGCGCTCTTTGTCACATTTGATGTTCGAGGCTCGCGCGGCAGATTTGACCGTCGACCCTTCCGCGCTGGCCAAGTCCGGGACCGTTGCGACCGCATTTGAATATATCGACGAGCGGGCGACGACCCCTACAGCCCTGTCCCGCTACCGTGGCAAGGGAGATAGCCACTCGCAGGACTCCCAATCCAACCTCTCTCCTGTCAAAATGGCGAACGGCTATGCGATCAGCCCCGATCCCCCGGCGCTCTTTGTTCGGGCTATGTACGACTATGACGCCGATGACCACACCAGCCTGAGTTTCCGTCGCGGCGATATTATTCAGGTTCTCAACCAGCTAGAGACAGGGTGGTGGGATGGCGTTATCGATAACACTCGTGGTTGGTTCCCGAGTAATTACTGTACCGTCCTCACGGAAGCGGATGACTTTGGCGACCAGTTTGTTCATAGTCATGACACGGACCTCAGTGCGGATTCCGGACTCGAAGATGATTATGGCGATGGACACGATGATGATGATGTGGATTCGGAAGGCAACTCACGCGATTCCCAGCCGATCCTTCCTATCGAAGGTGTTCCGGCGGCCAAGGAGCAGGAAGAGGCCGCATTCTGGATCCCCCAGGCGACACCGGACGGTCGCCTATTCTATTTCAACACCCTGACGGGGTATTCTACCATGGAGCTACCCTTTGAAAACCCTACAGCGGCCACCGACAATGGCCCACGCGATCGAAACAACTTTTTTGTCCCCGACCAGACTCGACCGCCACCGGAGCTGATGGCACGTGGATTCGAGCGGGATGAAGATGAGTACGATGGTTCTGCATCTGAGGCAGAAGGGGAATCTTTGATGCTAGCTTCACACGACTCGATTTCCCACAGACGCCAATCCTTGATGGAGGGAGTATCACCGGCCACATCAATGGACTCCTTGTATGCCCCGACAACGAAAGACTCAAAAGGCTCGCAAGCGTCCACCAAGGCTCTACAAACAACATACAGCCTTGGAGGAAATAGCAACAGCACCAGCACTTCCGTGGCCGAAAGCTTCTCGAGACCTTCGATCTCTTCCAATTTCCCCCAACACTTCGTCGATGATGGCTTCGCCCCTCCAATCAGCTGGTCCCTGCTTGTTGATAACATGCGATTTGCCGTCGAGGCTTACAGCCAGACCCTTGTGAATGGTGACCGTGCGGAATACGTGAGGAAGGCTGAGGACATTTCCGACCACCTTCGAATGCTACTGGCAGCTGGATCTGACACAACGGACAACCACTCTGGTAATCCTTCCATCATATCCACTAACAAGGCTCTGTATCCTCACTTTAGGGACATGATGTCCAAGTTCTCCAAACTGGTTCTTTCGTCTCATATCGCAGCTGCTGATTGGCCCGGAGCCGACTCAGTCAACAAATGCTTGCAGGAAGCAGAAGGTGTGATGCAAGGTGTGTATGGCTATGTGGATGTTGCTCAACAGCAGCGTGGAGACCTTATTCACCGTATCGTCCCGGGTTTCGTCGGCGGCAGCTCATCTGGTGGCAGCTGGCAGAACAATGGTGTCTCATTGAATAACTCAGGGCCAACATCATTCCTGGTCCCAGATGTAGGGGACTCAAGGGTCGAGCCATCTGTTCCTCTTGATGCCGCTTTTTTGGATTCAATCGATATCCTCCGAAGATCCTTTGTTGGCAGCATCCGCCGGCTAGAAGAGCGATTGATCATCAACAAGAAGATCGTCACCACCGAAGAGCATCGAGAAATCGCGGATGAAATCTCCGCCGCTGCAATCAAGGTAATCGAGCAATTCCGGCCATGGATCTCCTCAGTTGAGTCAATGAACTTGGCACCACTGGGAACCAGCTTCCAAAATCCCCAACTGGTGGATTTCAGCCTGCAAAAGCAACGAGTTTATGATGCAATCGGCGATTTCATTTTGGATTGCCAGGCCGTTTCGGCCCCCTTGGCAGATGAGTGGGCTGAGCTCCGCGGCGATTCGCTTGATGACCGTGTAAATGCCGTGCGAGGCATTGCTAGACAGCTGGAGAACTACGTATCCCAGATTGGCTTCTCATTATCTCTGCTTCTTGAGCAGATTCCGGCAGAGTCTGCCCCGTCTTCACGAAGTGAAAGTCGCCAAGAATTGGATGATGATCAGTTCAAAATTGGACACAATCGGGGTGAGTCTCAAGCGAAAATCGCCACAGAGTCAATTGGGATTCCATCTTCCTACGCCCCAGAAAAGGAGGGCGGCGAGAAAGTCCGCAGAAACATGGACAAAGCACAGCGATTCTTTGGCCAAGCACCACCGACAGCGATCACACGAGAGCCTCTCCGAGAGCCAGTCCGCGAGCCTGAAGAGACTCCGTGGTTTTTGAAGATGGCACACGAAGGGGAGGTCTTCTACGACAACAAGACCGATTCACCAATTCTCAAGTGCGGCACGCTCGCTGGATTGGTAGAACACCTCACTCGACACGACAAGCTTGATGCATCTTTTAACAACACTTTCCTTCTCACATATCGCTCTTTCACAACTGCCTCTGAGTTATTCGAAATGCTTGTTCAACGGTTCAACATCCAGCCTCCGTTTGGCCTGAGCCAAGATGACATGCAGATGTGGATCGATCGCAAGCAAAAGCCGATCAGGTTCCGTGTCGTTAACATTCTCAAGAGCTGGTTTGATCACTTCTGGATGGAGCCCAATGATGAAGTGAACATGGACCTCCTGCGACGTGTTCACACCTTTACTCGTGACTCCATCGCTACCACTAAAACCCCGGGAACCCCTACATTATTGGCCGTGATTGACCAACGACTCCGAGGTCAGGACACAACCTCTAAGCGTCTTGTCCCAACCCAAAGCAATAACGCACCCCAACCGATTGTCCCCAAGAATATGAAGAAACTCAAGTTCCTGGACATCGACCCCACCGAGTTCGCTCGACAGTTGACTATTATCGAATCGCGTCTCTACTCAAAGATCCGACCCACCGAGTGCCTCAACAAGACATGGCAGAAGAAGTTCGGCCCCGATGAGCCCGAACCCTCCCCAAATGTCAAAGCCTTGATTCTCCACTCCAACCAGCTTACCAACTGGGTTGCCGAGATGATTCTGGCCCAAGGTGATGTCAAGAAGCGCGTCGTGGTTATCAAACATTTTGTGAACGTGGCTGATGTATGTGGCTCCCACTCCCCTCCCTGTAGAATCTGACTTACTAATCCAACCCTACAGAAATGTCGCGCCTTGAACAACTACTCGACCCTGACATCGATCATTTCGGCTCTAGGAACCGCCCCGATTCATCGCCTCGGTCGGACGTGGGGTCAGGTGAGCGGGCGGACTTCCACAGTTCTGGAACAAATGCGCCGGCTTATGGCTAGTACGAAGAATTTTGGCGAATACCGAGAGACTCTTCATCTCGCCAACCCGCCTTGTATTCCATTCTTTGGTATGATTACGGCCATCACAATCAAACAGACTGCCCAATGTCTCATCCCTTTGAATCTATCACTAACATGTTTCAGGTGTCTATCTTACGGACCTGACCTTCATTGAGGATGGAATTCCGTCCCTTACACCTTCAGAGTTGATCAACTTCAACAAAAGAGCGAAGACTGCTGAAGTGATCCGTGATATCCAGCAATATCAGAATGTTCCCTACCTTTTGCAACCGGTCGGTGAACTTCAGGATTACATTCTCAGCAACCTTCAAGGTGCTGGCGATGTACATGACATGTACGACCGAAGCCTAGAGATCGAGCCTAGGGAGCGCGAGGACGAAAAAATTGCAAGGTATGCCGAAGCCTCAGCCAAAGACAAGGGTTCCTTGTTATTTGCATCCACCGTCGCTATTTTGCGATAATCCGTGTTGTTCTCTTAAGTGGCGTTTGGCATTTGCCTGGATACCCAAATTTGACGTCTTATTCCCCTCTTCTTCTTTTTTTTCTGGGCAAACAAGACAATGCTTCTCTCAAAACTGTTCGGCTGTTGAGACTAACCGGTTTTGTTTGTGATTTTCGTAGATTACTATCCGAGTCCGGTTTCTTGTAAACCCGAGACCCAGATCCCTGTCAAGCTGCATCTCCGGGTGCGCCACAAAACAGGTTCGACGCAACATGACGCGCCTACAACGCCACGATCACGGCTGCCGATACCCCTTGGGGCCGAAGCGACTACCTTTTGAGGACAATTTCCGACCCGGTGACCATAATCTATGGCCCTTCTACCCTTGCCCGAGGGATATCTGCAGATCGACCCATCACATCTGTCTTAGGACCACGATCAGCCCCACGACCCCCACTGTTCATGTCCTCAGTACATTATACAGCAGTGGCCCTCCAATCATTACGTCTGGCGGAAAACAAACACATGCAGTACATATCGTCCATCCGCCACAAACCTATTCCCCGACACAGAGCCGATAGGCTCAGCGGGATTCCCTGTCCAACCCCTTCCCTTCTCCTTTCTCTGTCTCATCTCACCCGCGACGACGTGCATCCGGGCCACCCTTCCGAAACCTCTTCTTTGTACTGACTCTGCTTTTTCTTGGCCATACCTTCGGTGTATATTTTCCATGACCCACTTGGCTCTTGCCCCTCTTTTTCTACATATCCCTTTGTGTCTGGGTCAGATGGAGGATACAATCTTCATACTGACCCTTTCGTGTTTACGCCGTCCTCTGAATAATGATATGCCACGAGCGAGTTGAACCTTCGTCGTTGTCGGGTTAATTCCCCCTGGTGGAGTTGTCTGGTGCTTTCCGTTTCTTTGTATTTGGCTCTGGAATATTCCCCATTTGAAGTTTGCCAAAGATATTGTAACCAATAGACGTTCATTCTCCATTCACTCCTAGAATCTGTATACATCCACGACAACCGGAGGGAGGGGGTATGGGATACCTGAGTACAGATCAAGGTCAATTGCCATCGTAGCTTTGGGGATGAGAAATAGCCCAGTGTCATCCAAGGTCATCAAATTCATTTATTTGCAGGTGCTGCATTTTTGGACGGTCTATGATCATTATGCATCAGAAGGGCAACTAGAAGTAGCAAGACCCGCCAATTCGACAGATTTCAGGGAAGATGGCATCGCAAGTGAATAGAGGGATGGAACCCGCTGAGCGCCAGAGACATTAGCGCGAGACATCACGAGCGACAACCGTCGCGAAGCGTTTTGTGTTGCTAGCGCCCCCGGCGGGGCTACTCTTTTACGGCGGATCCTTTTCCAATGCCGTGAAAGAGCTTCAGCTTGGTTTCAGATGCCAAGAGACCTTTCACCTCTTCCGTAACAATTTGGTTCCCACCTCGAACGACTTTCTCGAGTTGACGATCTTTGGTATTTGCCATACCAGTTACAGCAGGGCGAGGACCAGGGTTTTCCGAGCCGCCGCGTGCGGCTTTACGAACTTTCTGGCTGAGATCCACAATTTGCTTGTCCACGAAATCCCGAGAGGTGAAAAGCGGACTCTGGCTGAGAGTTGACACCCAGTATTTGTTCCAGAGTAAAGACAATAACTTGGAGTCCAGAGTGCTTTTGTAATGACTGACATTGAGAGAGTAGTACTGATTGGCATGTGCACCGAAGTCCTCTGCCTTCCCAAGCGGGATAGTCTGGTACTCATCGTCCTCACTGGCTTCCTTCTGCGGGGTGAAATTCGTTGGGAATGTACGGAATGCTCCGATCTCGACACGGCCTGCGGATATAGTACGGTCCGGATCAATGACAACGGCGACGAAGGGCCCTGTCATTTGTTGTGTTTGTTGAGTAGCGACATCAATGCCAGACAGCCAGCATCCATAGCCAGGGTGACTGTGATACCAGCCGACGGCATTTTCCATCCGCCCCGCATCCCGACAGGATTGTAGATAAGACACCATGTATTCGTTTGCTTCGTCCTGTGCATTGACTCGGGTTTCGGTGCCTTCGACAGGCAATCGGAATGCATCGGTCACCACAAATGTATTGGGAAGGATATAGCCTTGCATCAGTCCCATTATTTCTAGCGAGCCACCGGAACGAGCGTGCATCACCATCTTCAATAATGCTGTTGCTGAGATGCGTACGTGCTTAAAATAGTACGGGTCGGAGGCCCAGGGTCGCTCGGCATTGAGTTGCCTCTCTGTATCTGCATCATATTGATAGAGTGCGTCTCTTTGCGGATCAAAGACGGTTATCGAATTGCTGAGCTCTGCGGGGGGTTGATCAGCTCGCGAGCAATGACATCGAGGTCTTTGTAGTACCTACCCCAGGACCGCTCTGCAGCCTGCATTGTGAGGAATATGGAACTGAACGGTTTCAAGAGGAGCTTTTAGTGAGGTTTTTGAAAAGCAAGGGCTTGGCGATAATGATGACGCTGCAAGGACCGGAGAATAGATAGAGAGTCAGTGGATCAAGGCGAGAGTAATTGAAGCGTGGGGTTGATCATTGATTGGCAGAACTAAGGCGGTGTGTTCAAACCGGGGGTTGCCTAGACGACGATCAGCTCCCAACACGCACTTGTTAAACTTGATGTTATCGTCTCCGATTTCAGCCCCTACTTCCCCTCATAAACAACCCCGGTCTTGAATTTCCTATGTCTTCCCAGCTTGCGCAACCATCGACTTTCGTTTGAATCCGTCGCACTTGGTGTGTCGAGGACCTTGTGTGGGCCCTCATTGTTTTGATCCCGACACTGGCTTTGCCGCAGCTCCGCTGGACATTCATTAAATTGGACACCGCTCCTTATCATCAATCTCGAGTTTGCGCGCCATTGAACCACCCTCATTATGGCGGTAGACACTAGCTACCTGACCACTCAGGTCAACAACATTGTTGAACAGCTGCATGGAATCTACGACGAGATTGGCGTTCCGGCGCGTGAGCGCGACTCGCGCGAAGCAGAGGTAGTCATTTTTCAATCCAACTATGCCATTCGCTTGAGGCTGACAGATATCTACAGCTATTTAGTGCACTTTCAGAAACCTTGAACAACCACCTCAAGGTCGTCGATGAGTAGGTCGCATTTTGAAAGACAGGCCGAGCCCAGCTAACAATGTTGACAGAGAAAGGGAAGATATGACACAGGAAGCCGAAAGCCTCATTACAGCCATCCAACAAATGGAGTCATCCCTGAGTGATGAGAGGGCTAATGGCCAATACGAGCTCGACCGCGACGACCTCCGGGTCACTTTTCCGCTCAACCGTTGTATCGCATTCTTGCGGGAGAAGAACGACGCCATGAGCAAGCTTCACCGCGAGCGCTTTGAGCAAGTCAGGAGTGAGTCTCATCGGTGTCATTCTGTCTATTTGCCTGGCTAACTTGCGACAGAACTGGTTGACGCGCTTGAGTCTTACTCCTCCCACCTTGAGCCATCATTCGTTAAGCTCGAGCTCCCTCCAACTGAGCCGGGCTCTTCAATTCCACCAAGCTTTGACCTCTCACCGATGTATGTCACAGCCTTAGATGCCGAATTCACCCACGTCTACGAAGAATACCACCGTCGCATCGCTCAAGTGCAATCTGCCTGCGAGGAAATGATCAAACTCTGGGCCGAGCTCGGAACCCCCCAGGCCCAAACAGATACAAATATCGTCAAGTGCTATCGCGAATCACCTGAACAACTTGGGCTACACGAATCCGATGTCGCGAACCTTGTGAGTAAGCGCAACAAGTTACTGGAGGAAAAGAAGGCACGCGAACGCAAGATTACGGAACTGAGGACAACCGTCATTTCTCTATGGGATCGATTTGGCGTTGAGGACGCAGATCGCAAAGCGTTCCTGACAGCGAACCGTGGCTGTGGTCTACGCACAATCAATGACCTTGAGGAAGAATTAACCCGTCTTAATGAGCTCAAGCGCCAGAATCTCCATTTGTTTGTGGAAGATGCTCGGTGTCGGCTTCAAGAGCTATGGGATACATTGTTCTTTTCCGAGGAAGAGATGCTCGACTTCACCCCTGCATTTTCCGACGTATGCAGCGACGCATTACTTGAAGCCCATGAGGCTGAGATCGTGCGACTGGAGACTCTCAAAGAGCAGCGCGCCCCAACTTTGGAGATGATTGACCGTCACCGCACTCTTCTCACAGACCGCGAGGCACTCGCAACTTCAAGCCAGGATGCCTCTCGTTTGATGGGCCGTGGAAACAAGGGAGAGAAGCGAGACCCCGGCAAGCTTCTGAGAGAAGAGAAGCTCCGGAAAAGGATAGCCAAGGAGCTCCCCAAGCTTGAAGCCGACCTACGCAAAGAGCTTGAGTACTGGGAAGACGAATTCGGTCGACCATTCCTCGTCCACGGAGAGCGATATCTTGATGCCCTGACGCCTGTTAAGGCAATGCCACCGCCTCGATCAAAGACCCCCTCTGCGCCGCCATCCACTATGAAATCAAACACACTGCGGAATCAGCCGCCTCCCCGACCAGGAAGCTCAATGAGAGGACCGCCTCCCCCTCGCTCAGCAACCAAAACCCCAACCAGCGCTGGTCCAATCAAGCACAACACCATTGGATATGGTGCCTCTCGGGCTGGAGCTACCTCTCGGGCTGGGGCCACATCACCTTCGAAGTTGCCTGCTCGTGTTCCACTGGGAAATATGCCTCAAGGTAGCAATTCCCCTGAGCGCCGGGCGAAACCGGGCGCCTACTCGTCTAGCACGCTTAATGGCAAAATGCCACCCCCTCGAGGACCTCCTCCACGCATGCGTGCTTTGACTGTGGAGTCTAGAGAAGATCGCTTCAGTCATCTCTTGGAGCCCCCTCGCTGCAACAGCGCCATGTCCAGCGCTTATGTCCGGCCTGTGAGCCCTGAGGATGTTTATGATGATCGCCAGCGATCATTCATGAGCACTTCGGGCTTCTCGAACTCTCAAAGATCCACTGGGTTCTCTCATTCATCTCACTCCTCCCATTCCTCGTTGTCTCTGAACAATGCTGCTCAGAACTTCCCACGACCCAACCCCTATCTCCAACGCGCAGCACCACCTCCAGCCGCTCGACAGGTCTCCAATTCATCTACTGTCAACACTGCCACCTCCGGGTCTGAGAATTGGGAGACTTTTGAGGATGGTTCGGAATCCGAGCTTGACCCCAGCGATATTTACTTCTCCAAACTGCGCACCGTTTCTGGAGGAAAACGATTTGCACCCGAGGATGGTTCCGATCTGATTGGTAAGAAAGCCAAGGGCATTCGGAGCGTGAGTCCGGAAGGACCGCATCCCGGTCAGGTCCTGCGTGTTGCCGGAAGTGATACCGAATGGGCCGACGACTACGAAACTTATTAACCTTTACAATAACAATCTCGCCATCTCCTTGTCACCACACGTGCTTCTTTGCATCCCTCCTTCTCGGCGCCTCGGATGCCTAACGGTGGTTCCGCAACCGTTTGGCCTTTGATGATCCCACGACTGGTTTCTCCACGGCTCACGAAAAAATCGCATCTCTTTTACGACTGAGCTTCCTTAGAATCCTTCACGGCTATCTTGCTCCATATCCGCAAGCTTTAATCCCCGAGTGGCCCACTTCAACTTCTCTTCCTGTCCAAAATTATGAGTCCTTCATGTCAATCTTGTCCATGCTCCGCTTCCTTTGTCTATGTCAAACATTCCAACGCTGCTATGGACAAGAACACTCCGCAGTCCTCGGGCCCCGCTGTCATTTATCTTGCTGCTGACCGACAAGCCTCTTTCTTTGATCTTTCTTGGGTGTAATATTCGTTTTCCTCTCTTGCTTCTTTTGGCATGGTGTCATCATACTTCGTTTCTTTGTTACTTATGTTTTTCTTGGTTTGGAGCTTACGGTGCTCTCTCTATTCCCTGTTTGGTCTCCAATTTAAGGAGTCGGCTTGTCTCTTGGTTTACACCGTTCATCTTTTATGTACTTGTCAGCGAAGCAGTGTTTTGATAGTGTCGTTTAATCCAATATCTCACCAGTCAACTTTCCTTTTTTCACAGTGTAGATCGATCGATTGAAGCACGCCCTGAATGTTCAATGACCCGGGACTGGGTAATGGGGAACAGGGCTGCCCAAGTTGCTTTGTATATCCCGGAGTTTGCTCTTACCAAACCATAGTATATCAGAGCTCTGGTGAAGGTACTTACAATGTCCCTGGGCCTCGTTGAGCGATGTGATACGAGCCTTGGAAAGTATTGGCCGTCCAGAACGGAGTGAGACAATAAATATAGTACATTGGACTTGCATCTAATTTATCTTTACCGTTTAGTTGCAAGGGTGCCCATCCAGCTCTGATCTTCAGGCAATGCCCCCTTGGGGATTCTCCTCCCATCGGACGGACCAAAAGTCTGCGTAGATGCCTTCGCATCTTGCACGCGGCGTAGAGTTTCATCTCTTCCAAGAATTGTCATGGTTTCTGGAATTCCAGGCCCAGGCGCGGAGCCGGACAGTGCCCAGCGGAGGTAATGATACAATTCTTTCTTGAAGATTTTATCGGTTGCCGGGGATGTTTGGGAGTCTGATTCGGCTTCAGGCAGCACTACACTGCTAGACCCATCGTATGAGTTGATGTTGAACCGGTGGGTCTCAATAGACCAATGCGAAGATGGAACAAGTGTCAGGGCAGCAGCAGCAGTGTGCAGGGCAGACATTGGGACTTCGAGGGCCGAGGGCGAGGCGGGTGCGTAGGGTTCTCTCTCCAGCTTCGGTGTGAAGAAGGTAGAGTTACGCTGGACGAACTCCGAAGCATCCGTGTAGGACTTTGCGTCGGCGCGGATGAGAGGGGCAACATATTCGGCAATGGTACGGCCTTTCAGGATCGTGTTGCTGTGCAGTGTTAGACATGATGGCCTCTGGCTTGCAAATGTCCCCCAGACGACGAATGACTCACAGCTTCTCTAGGGGGTATTTTTCTGTGACAACTGAGCTCACTCTGTTGACCATCTCATCGAACTCAGGGCCGCCACTTGCGGCAAACCGCTGAGCATGGGCTTTTTGAAGGAACCAAAGTTTTTCGAAGGCAACGACAGTGTTGCCCCGGGTGATCTTCAAGTTGAACTGTATGACTGTTAGCACCTGTTTAGAGTAATTTGATTTCCAGGAAGCGTACGATTTGTTCCAACTCTTGCAGACTCAATACATCTGACTTCTGAGAATGAGACCAACCCAGAAGAGAAGCAAAGTTCACCAGCGTGGAGGCAAAAACACCCTGCTTGTCCTTGAATGAGGAGAGATCAATATCTGCATTCCGCTTGCTCAGCTTCTGTCCACTCTGGTCAACCAGTAAAGGGACGTGGCCGAATTGGGGAGGCGTCCATTTGAAGGCATTGTACAAAGCCATATGCATGGGTGTGGATGGCATCCATTCCTTGAGAAGTGAGTCGAGTGCCCAAAGCTTTGTCTGGGTAGAAGCCTTACCGTTCCTCGAATGACATGGGTGATCTTCATGCAATGATCATCTACCACATTCGCCAAGTGATACGTAGGGTGGCCGTCAGATTTGATCAAAATCGGATCATCGTATACTCGGTCGATGAAGTCCAACTTCTTGTTATTTGGCTTGTTTTGTCCAGTCTTGCCATACACAAGGTCATTGAACATTGGGTATCCCTCAACCTTCAATCGAATGATATGTGTTTCCCCGCTGGCAGCTCGATCCTCCGACTCTTCTGCAGATAATTCGCCGCATTTCCGGTCGTATCCCGGGGCCAGCCCAGCCTGACTGCGGTGCTGGGCCATTGCATCCAACCTTTCGGGGGGACAGAAGCATCGATAAGCATGGCCATTGGAAATAAGGTCGTTGGCATGGGAGCGATATAAATCCGTTCGTTCAGACTACACATAGAAGCGATCAGTGGGAGTCATCATAGAACAGATCGGATTCTCTCACCTGTCTATAAGGGCCGTGAGGACCACCGACAACGGGACCTGCCATTCAAGTTAGCATGGCCGTGCCTCTCCATTGGACTGGAATCCCATCCCACCTTCATCCCAGTTCAGACCGGCCCATTGCAGATCGTCGTATAGTCTCTGCTCTGCCCCGGGAATCGTACGTTTCTGATCAGATCAGCCATAGTCGATGCATCGCTGTGCAAACCGCGACAAACCTGGTCGGTATCCTCGATGCGTAGTAGGAATTGACCCCCAGTGCGTTTTGCTAGTAGGTAGTTGAAGAGCGCAGTTCGGAGGGAACCTAGGTGCAGGTATCCAGTGGGCGAGGGCGCAAAACGCGTACGCGCAGGCGCATTCGGTAGTTTATTTTTCGAGCTGCGGGCTTGAGCGCCAGCGGAGGAAGAGCAGGCTCGACATTGTATGCAGGTCCAAGAGCGAGCGAATAGCCCAGGCTGAGGTCTCATGGCGCAATGGCAGAAGGAGCCGATCTGGGGGATTTTGCGGAGTTGCGGTGCGGAGCTCCCGAACAAAATTTCTGTCGCAACTTCGATCACCGCTCTGTTGTCACTTCACGTTCACCAACCCTTCTTCTATTTGGCGGTTGGATTCCTCTCATTCTGCTCATTCTGCTCATCCTGGCGGCATTCTCGATAAATTAGAACTCAAAAGCATGTGACAGATCTCAGGTTCCGGTGGCTTTGTGCTAATTAAGACTACAGTGGCTGCAGCTGGAGTTGACCTCTACGGTATGCGTTGGCGCGGACTACCTTTTCATTACTGCCAGGGTCGTGGTTTAGAATGCTGACTAGCTGTTTGCTTATACAGAGGTTTTGGAGATCCACCAAAGCGCGAGTAAAGATGACATTCGCAAGGCCTACCGCAAGGTAAGGTGCCTGATCTCCCTCATGCGCTGTTTATATTGACCGGTATCCGAATAGGCCGCGTTGACCAACCACCCCGACAAAGTTCCCGAGGAAGAGCGGGAAGAAGCTTCCATCAGATTCAAGTCTGTACAGGAAGCCTATGATATCCTCTACGACGATGACAAGCGCCACCTTTATGACACACACGGAATGGGCGCTTTCAATGGCTCCGGTGAGCCGGGAATGGCGGGAGCACCCGATCTGGATGATTTGCTCGCGCAGATGTTCGGTGGTGGTATGGGTGGTATGGGTGGCATGCCTGGTATGGGAGGCATGGGAGGTATGCCTGGTGGTGGCCGCCCTCCCAAGCCCCGTCGGAGCCCGGACGAAGAGCAAGACTACGAAGTTAGTCTAGAGGATCTATACAAGGGCAAGACGGTCAAGTTCTCCAGCGTCAAGAACATCATTTGCGGACTGTGCAAGGGCAAGGGCGGCAAGGAGAAGGCTACCGCCAAGAAGTGTTCGACTTGCGATGGTCAGGGCCACAAGGAAGTCTTGCAGCGTATGGGCCAGTTCTTGACCCAACAGTCTGTCGTCTGTACCACATGTAACGGACAAGGTTCATACTTCTCCCCGAAGGATAAGTGCAAGAAGTGCAAGGGCAACCGGACAACAGAGGAGAAGAAACTTCTGGAGATCTACATCCCTCGTGGTGCTAGGTAAGATCATGGTTCTTGTATCTGACTCTTGGGCAATGTATGCTGACACCACCATAGACAAGGAGACAAGATTGTGCTGGAGGGTGAGGCAGACCAAGTTCCCGACCAAGAGCCAGGTGACATTGTTTTCAAGATTGTCGAGGAAGAACACCCTGTATTTGCTCGCGCTGGCTCTGACCTCCAAACGACTATCGATGTCACCCTGGCCGAATCTCTGACCGGATTCTCGCGTGTTGTGCTCAAGCATCTGGACGGCCGTGGAATCGAGCTCAACCACCCCATCACCCCCGGCGCCATTCTCTCACCCGGTCAGGTTCTCAAGGTTCCCGGAGAAGGTATGCCAATGAAGCGTACTGATGCACGTGGAGACCTCTACCTGGTTGTCGACGTCAAGTTCCCCGATAGCAACTGGAACCCTACTCCGGCGATGATAGAGAAGCTGAAGGAAATCCTTCCTAAGCCAGAGGCCCCAATCGTGGCCAGCCCTGTAGACGAGGTTACATACGACCCCAAGGGCTCGATCGACGACTTCGGTGCACAGGATGGCGACGGTGGTTCTGGTTGGGAGGATGAAGAGGACGATGAACCAGCGCAGTGCGCAGCTCAGTAGAACTATATTGGCATATAAGGCGTCTGGGGCTTTGCATTATGGGAATTGTGAATATAACGGCACTCTCGTCTCCCCTTAATTTGATCTCTAGTTCTGATGAGTACAATGTCTGAAGCATTTGAACACAACTGAGTGAAGTTGGTGAAGTTGGAGCGAGAGCGGGATAATGAAAAGCGTCTCTATTAGAAACCTCACCGGGACAACGTTGAGACCTCGGGCATTGACTGAATGGTCTGATGTGGTAGATAAGGCATCTCAAAGACTTGAAATCGAATTCGACCTATGGGAATCTGAATTATATACCACCTAAAGGCTATTTCCTGGCAATTGGGCGCATTCCAAGGTTCAATCCAAAGGACAGTCATAATCAAAGGCGAATTCTGAGAACGCATCAAACCATTGAACTGTTCACCTGCGGATCTTAGAAGCCCTCCAACTTATACAGGGGCTCCAGTTTCGCAGATCGCTGGAACAGGAAGTATCGTTTCACAAACCAGGGCAACCATGTCCTCACCTGGTAATGAGCATGCTTATGAATAGGCACGCCAAAGGTATAGTCGAGCTCTTCAAGAGTACGTTGCCTGTTTAAGTCAGCATCATATAAAACCTCTCGCTCTGGTAAAACGTACATGGTCTCCGGGATTATAAAGAATATGAGAATGAATGCGAGCATGTTGAGTGCGGCGTAGAATCCGAATGCTAATGGATATCTCATGTTAGCCACGGTCCAAGTTTCAAGTCTCCTTGCATTCGCTCTTGTTATTCCAGGACAGGAAGGGAACTTATATCAATACATACCACCAGTTGCAGTCATTTTTGCCAAAATCGATGGGAAAGAGAGGCTCAGCACACTCCCAACAATATTGTTGACGCATATGGTGAAAGCCGCACCAAGCTCACGATGCGACAGCGGGAATGCTTCACTGAAATAAATGGAGGGAATAGGCCCGATTCCTAAGACAGTGAGACGTTTGTTCATCGCAAGGGAGCTTGACAACGTACCAGGACCGTAGAAAGCACCGAAGAGGTAAATGAAGAAGGCGATTAAAGGTACTCGAGCATTAGAATCAACCGGAAGCAAGAAACAGCATCCCGCTGCCAGCAGACACCATGCCATATTGGGGAATGTAAACAACAATAGGTTCCGCCGACCGAAGGTGTCCATAGTATAGATGGCTGGGATAGCGAAAACGAACATAGTCAGACCGAAACCCAGGGAAGCAAGGAGACAATCTCGAGGTGAGTATCCGGCTTCAGCGAAGATTGTGCTTGAGTAGAACGCCATCGCATTAATGCCGGAAAACTGCTGGGCTATGACGATCAAGGAGCTTGAGATCATTGCTCGACGGAGGCGAGGAACTGTGAATAGCTCCCAGACTCGGGAGGCAAGTGATACTCCTGCAAATTCATCTCGCTCGGTCATCACCTGGCAATGGGCGTAATACTGTTTGTGTCAGTCTGCATCAGTGGTGTTTGGAGATGTGTGTTCTTACTAGCTCTCTCGCGGCGATGAGCTCCGTGTTACGTAGTCGACAAAATGATCTGAAGGCCTCTTGGTAGCGGCGCTTTTTCATTAGCCATCGTGGGGACTCTAATGAATTCCATTAGTCAAAATCATAGTGCACGTTGTACAATATCATACCAGGGCAAAACCAAACCAGGAACAAGACAGGTACAGCTGGAGCAAATGCAGCGCCCAATTGAAACCGCCAAGCTAGATCCCCGACTCGATAGAAAATGAGATTAGAGCAGAAGCCACTAGATGATATTGTTAGAAGTTCCAAAGGGACAATGATTGTAACCACGCACATGAAGATTCCAAACGCCACCCATAGCTGGAAACTGGTGACCAAACCACCACGGATAGACGCAGGGCTAATTTCGGCGCTGAACACCGGGATAGTTGAGATCTTGACGCCCATGCCTAGGTTGGGGTTAGTGAAGGTACTTTTGAAATATCTAGGACTTTTGTCCTGCAGCCATGCGCGTACCAAGACCCATGAAGAGGCGGCAAATTAGCAGACTCCACCAATTATGGGTGAATGATTGCGCCAAAACAGGGAATACACAGCTATCGGGAGTTTTAGCGATGTCTCGATACTCTGGCTAGTTTAGCTGCCAGTTCCAGGGTTTACTTACAATAGACCTGTGAGAAAGATGACTCCTCTCCTTCCGAGAAGGTTGTTCAAAGGGTCCGCAGCCCAGGCACTGTGGCATGTCAGAGATGAAGCCAACTAATGATGGACAGGAACAAACCTGAGGAGTCCAAAGAGTGTTGGTCTATCAAATAAGTTAGAAGACGGTAGAAGCATAAAGATAGGAACGACAAGTACCCTGCATTTATAACCCCGACTAACCAAGTGTTGTCCTCAATCCCAAACTCCTTGGGGAACGACAAATTGGCGCCGTTTGCACCCGTGTTATCCCATCCTCTATCCAAGATGTTAGACCATATCATTTTATCGGCGAGGAAACTGACTGGATTGCAGAGCCAAGGGAACATAGACCAATACTGAAGTACAGGGCTTTAGGGAGATGCCATTTGTCTGCTCGAACAGGTTAGCATCGTCACGTTAGCGATGAGATTGCCGTACGTGTATGCTCTCGTCGTAGATGATATTTATCCGTTTCCGCCAATTCAGAAAGTTCCTCGAATTCTTCGGGGCGCTGTGCTACCAGAGCGCCTTTCTGGAAGGTATCGACATGGTCCTCAAATCCATATTCTTCGCAGAATCGAGATACGCGATCATAGAGATCATCCTTGGATATTCCCGACAGAGGGTTATAGATTCTAAAATATTAGCCAAAGTGCAGAAATGACCAATACACAACACACCTTGCATTGACATTGTGGCTATAGTCGCCCGGAGCACCCTGCAGCTCCGCATCCTCCACAAACACCGAGGTCGGTTTCGAGTCCAAACTGCGCTTTGCCATTGAGAAGTTGAGTTAACCGTACTTTGTGACTAGTGTATGCAGGCTGTCTACTAGTATATATAGAGAAAAAAATAACCGAAAAATCCAGAGAAATCCGGGGAACAAAGAATCCGGGGTACACTAGTGTCGATCCGGATCTCCTTGGCATCCCCCTCGCGTCTATTGCCCTGCGTGTGCCATCGGCTTTTACCCCGATGCCCTGTGTGCGACCATCTTGGTTCGGGCCTATCATGTCACTCGGTATGTGGCTTCTGCGGTTTGTGCGCCGAGCATCCCCCTCATTTCACCTCGTACGATGCCCTGGGTGCGCGCACCAAGGCATCTAGATCCCACGACAGCGTATCAGCGGCTGAGCTTCTCCGGTGAAACCTCGGAGTGGTCTGCCCTGCGTGTGTCTAGTGTGCTGTTTTTTCTTAGGTATTGGAGGAGCCACGTCAACCTATGTCTGTGTACGCTGTGCAAGTCTACTCCAGAACCCTAGGGTAGCTTGTTGACATGGCTATATAACTGTGAGTTCCTCGATTCTACCTAGCTAGATTGTGAGACCAAGTGAAAAAAATATTTGTAACTTCTTCCAAGATTACAGGAAACGACAACCTCTAGAACTTCACAATGGGTAGTTCTGGCACACAGACATGGCTTGACAAGCTCTCTGAGCAGCGTGAGAACCAACATGAATCCCAAGTATTTTCAACATGACTGACTCATTCCAGTGAATATCGACGTCGATTGGATGGACCCAGCATACACTTTAAGTATGCCAATTGTCCCACATGACATGACAAGCAACCAAGGATGGGTCCACGAGCAGATGTGCAATCCCGTCAATGAAGAGCTTTTCAAGAGCGTTGTGAAGAAGTACAAGGATAAGGGCTGGCTGGCGATATACACGCGCATGGTATGTTACACCCATGACATTGGGGGGGGGGAAAGCCTAGCTGATAGGAGTGTTATCGTAGGCAGTCTTGATGTCGAAGGCCAACATCGACAATATCCAAGGCCGCGTCTTGCTTCAGACCCTGCCGTCCAATGCTTACGATCACGAAAAGACTCTGGAACACGCCCGAGCGTATGCTCGCGAGTTTGAAAGTGTCGGCATCTCCAAGGATCGGTTCTGTATCAAGATTCCCAGCACTGGTCCCGCACTCAGTACGTGCCCAATCCTACTGAAGGAGGGCATTCGAACACTGGGAACGGCGCTTTTCAGCGTGCATCAGGCAATTGCAGCCAGCCAGGGTGGATGCTTGTATATCAGCCCATATTACAACGGTAGGTCCTTTTTGAAGCGCGTGGAATCGCGAGGCTAACTTCGTGGTAGAGGTTCGTGCTCACGACGAGCGAGAGCTTTGGCCCAAGTCTGATGACCCTGCACTGCTGCATCCAATGTCGTCACGTCTTGTTCAGATACTTGAAACGTACAAGCGTCTCTATAAAGAGACTGGCAAGGAGCAGCCGTATCTCAAGAATGCGAGGTAAGTCCAAGACACTCCATGATACCACCGTCCACCGCAGTTGAAAGGATGCTGACGATGATATCTCAGTTTCATTTCCCCCCAGGAGGCAATGGCCGCTGGTGAGTTAGGATGTCACTCGGCTACCATCTCGCACATGGTCCTCACTGAGCTCGCGAATCTTCCATATGATGGATCCAAGCAGCCGGGCGAGGGTGTGACCAAGCCAGCTCACCCGTACTTGAACGCTTCGCCGACTCCAGCCCGTCTCGCAAAGATCGCGAAACTTGATGCCCTTGCAAATCCAGACTGGGATGGCAAGCTGGCAAGCACTGACATTGATTACCTTGCGAATGGAGGGGCTGGGCTCGATAAGGCCAATGAAGCGGATGCAGTCACCAAGCAGCGACTCCGTGAAGCCCTTGCACTGTTTGTTGCGGCGGAAAAAAGAAGCCAGGCAAAGATTGAGGAGGCAATGAAGGTGGTCTAGTTTCCATGCTTGGTGTATCTTTGCTTTCAATTTGTGGTTGAGCACAGTGTTGTAGATGGTTCGAGAGGACCGTCTCCAAGAACATTGCCCGCAGATAGAGGTATATATTGAGAGTCTGAGTCGAATGAATTTGCCAAATTCTCCATTTGATAAATGTCGATGTTTTCAGTCTCTGGCGGGAATCTGTTTGATGTAGAGCTGCACGAAGGTAATAGGGCGGAGACATCAAACTCTGTCAAGGGCACATTGTCGACGGAGGACGTCCCTTGCGTAATATCAGGATAGTGGGTCCAGAAAGGAGTTGTTTCATCATATAGATGGAGATGGTTGGCAGTGTGTTCAGGCTGCGCATCGTGTTGCGGGCTAGCAGTTACTATCGCAGGGGGGTGGTTCCACAAAAGAGCCGTTTCATCAATGACATCTGGGCAGAGGGTCATTCCATTGAGAGCTTTGAAATTCCCCTCCCAGCTCCAGCCAGGCAGGTTAATGGAGTCGAGGTTGTTTTCCAAGGGAGCCTGGGGAACATGAGCCAGCTTCGGAGGTGTAGCGCTCTGACCCAAAAGAGACCCCTGCGATACAGGAATCACAGCTTCACTCGGCTGATAGCCTATAGCCGAATCTTCTTCTGTCTGTGCCAGATCCGCTTGGGGCTTCTCAATAGACCCGTGCCCTGTCGGGTCGGCAGTTGAAAGCTTACCCTCTTCTAGCATAGCCAGCACGGCGGGGTCTATTGGTCGAGCTTGGTGCGACATGCATGTGCTAGGATCACAAAGTGCCCGAAGGTTATTTATCTCTTCTAGAAGATCATCACGCTCGGCCATCATAGACTGGAGTGCTTGATTCATGCGAGCACACTTCGCATGCTGCGCGTGGTGATAGGCAATACTCGCATCGACGATGACATGTTTCGAGGGCCGGCTCTCTGCTTGAAGGGTTGGAAGAAGCTCTGTCAGTTCCTAAGGATTATTAGGCTAATGTCCCACTGGTAGAAGGTGACACCAACCATCAGGCTTTCGCTAAAGGCTTCACGGCGCGACTTTTCGAACTCACGGTGTAGAGCTCGGTCTTCAGCCGTCCAGTTTCGGATCCGCTTTTTCTTTGCCTGTTGAGTCATTGGGACTTGGAAATCAGTCGCGAAAGGCTCTGGGTCCATGTTGAGGTGAAAGTGCGGGTCAGTCTTCCCCACGCGAGGAGATCCGGGGAAGTGGGGGACGAAGGCCAATCAGACCGAGAAACATCGAGGTGGGTCCATCGATGTACCTCTCGGTCCTTTCATCCCTCAAAAGCACACAGCGGCTATCGATGCCTCGAAAATAAGATTCAAGGAACAGAAAGAGATTCAGCGGTCAGGTTTCGCGGTCGAGCACGGGGGCCACACTGTACTGCCAAGAAGCCCCGGGCAGGTCGTCATGTCAACAGATGAAAGCAGCGACGGCGCTTGTGCAAGGTAGAACGGGCCAGGCGAGAGGCTTATCAGAGGATACCGACTCTTCGGATATTTGCTATCGTGGAGCTTCAGACTTCTACCATGAAAGGTGCTCGCTAGGATCCTTGGGCTCTACTATCATGGCCATGGGCAAGTCTCTCTTAGAACCCTGGAAGCTCTGCTGTAGCATAGTACTCAGCAATTTGCATGATCTCTCAGTATACGCCAGAATAAATCTAGGGCATGAGCTTCTTATGTAGAACGGTTCATCTATCATATTAAATCCTACAGCTTCGCTTGCTCCTTGACAAGCAACTTCTGCAATCCAGTCCTGACTCGATCCTCCATCCCCGTCTTGCCAACGCGCATGGTCTCTCTCAACACAAAGACATGCGTATAAGTGCCAACCATCTTGACATCCTCCTCCCCCTCTCGGAAGATACCCACTTCCCAGGTCACGCTCGACTTGCTCAGCTTGTTGACTCGTAACCCGACCTCCAGTAGATCGGGGAAGCGTACCGAGGCAAAGAAGTCGGCATGGGTAGATACAATAAGCCCGATCTGGTCTGCGCCAGCGGGTAGGTTTGAAGGGGCGGTGACATTGGCGGGTTGGGGATCCGACGGAGAGGGCGTTGGATTGCTCACGCTAAAGGGGTCCATCCCGCACACTTTGATGAGGTATGTGTTCGCAATTGTGTCGAAGAGGTGTGTGTAGACTGCGTTGTTCAAGTGCGCGTACATGTCATTGTCGAACCTTGGCCAGATGTGAGTGGGTAGTCTGGGTAGGCGTGGGTTTTCACTCACCATCTGGTCTGGTGGACCTGGTGGAAGCCATAGTCGCTGCGTTTGCGTTGCTTCTTGGCTAATGTCTCCGGTGTAGCCATATTAAGATTTTTTCCCCCGCAAGATTTGGGTCGTTCAGGGCGTATATATAAAATCGTTGCTGAACTGGGAAAAAGAATGATCTCCACGCTTCGGTTGATGAACCTCGGCATTTCGGCGATTAGATTAGGCTCATGTGCTACACCGCTCTCAACTGCCCGCAATAATGTCAAGGGCAGGGCGGTATGAGATGTGCATCCATGGATTGATTGTTGAGTTCTTTCTTCACCTCTCAAGAACTTCTATCAAAGAGAAAATGCTCAAAGAGAGTATATTTAGACTTTGGCTACATTTGATAAGTAGAAAACATACCATTCCTCGGTCGAGAGATGTCCTCGTCGTTACCTCTATTTCCTGTGCCGCTTTTTCTAAGGTCAAATCCATAAGTCATGTCAGATTCGCGCGTTGAAACAGGCCTCCAAGCTTTGATCCTGTGTGGCCCTGGAACATCGTTTGATACGTTGCTCAAGCCAGAGAAAAGTCCGAAATGTCTGACCTTGGTTGCTAACCGACCAATGATATACTATCCGATGAATCTCTGTAAAAGACTCGGAATCACAGGTAAGCCGGTGCAAATTAAGCAGTAATGGGTCAGTAATTCTCGGAAATTGACCGGTTGTTCTAGATGTCACCTTGATTGCATTTTCATCGGCAGTCAACCTCATCAAGACTACTTTGAAGCAGGATCCCTCGTTGAGTTCTTTTACCTTCACGAAGATTCTTGCGCCTGCAGATCTCGAGGCAGAAACATCAACTGCACGTATACTCTGTCTTCCTGAAGTCCAGGATTGCATAAGGAGTAGCTTTCTTCTTCTTCCATGTGATCTTGTCTGTGAGCTCGATGGCCAGCACTTGCTAAATCCGTGGGGCTTTTTGCGATCTCAAGATCTACGGGAGTTCAATGGAGGTGTTGGTTTCTACTATCAAACAGAGTCAGGTATTAAAGATGAAGTCTCGGACCTTATAGCTGTGGCCCCACTTGAACAGGGTGAGATGCCTGGAGCAGCGAAATACAAGTTATCGAGGCTAGTTATGTCCATGGGGATGGATGCTAGCAAGGCAAAGATGGAGGACGAAAAGGCGTTTCTCCTTCGACATTCTCTGTCAAGGAAATATCGAAGAATCAAGATCATGACTGACTATCGTGATGCACATCTCTATTTCTTCCCTCGCTGGGTGAAACATCTAGTCAGGCGCCAGGAAAGAATATCCTCAATCAAGGAAGACCTCGTCAGCCTTTGGGCCAAAGCTCAATGGCAGCAAGGTCTAGCCGAAAAGATGGGAATGGCCAATTGTCGAGGCCACCATAGTTCACGCCAATGGACTGATTGTGAGGCCGTGAGCTGCGCCGTTTGCCAACAGCCACAAAACGGCTTGCCAGACCCCGGAATCGTCCAGCCAGTGGAAATGCCCCCTTTTCTGGCATGTACTCTGGAAGGGTCCGCAAAGATGTTTCGTCGTGTCGATAGCCCTGCTCTCCTCTTATCTACATCTCTGCGTCTCGCCAAGCTCGAATCCATTGAAGATGCCGAAGATGCGAGCATGATCTCTCCACTTGCTCATTCACACAAGATTGCCTCTCCTGATTGCGTGGCTAATCGTTCTTATATCTCGAGGAATGACTGCTTGCTTGCGCCAAGTGTGGTGGTTGAGAAAGGCTGCTCTATCAAGGAAACTTGTATAGGGCCGGGCTCGAATATATGCAACGGTGCTCGACTCACTCGGTGTGTTGTGCTTGGTAATGTCACTATCGGCCCTCGTTGCGTCCTGGTCGGTTGTGTCATTGGGAGTCGGAGCTCGGTCGGCAGTGGCTCAGTGCTCAATGGGTGCGAGGTTCAAGAGGATTTTGAGGTACCAGAGAGAACAGAGGCCAAGAATGAGATCTTCAGACCTCTTCTGGAGGATCTTCTAGGGGATATGTAGGGCACTGGAGTCGCGGGGCGGGAATCGTCCTTGCACGTATGCTAGGATTTTATTATTATACTTGAGTGAGATTATCGCATGTAGATTCATCGGCATATTTCAGTACATATCATTCCGTCTGTGTTCAGATCATCCCTTCCCTTCGAAGTCTGTCCCTGCAGTGGTTCTTGGTGGTCTTGCGGTCTTCGTTCCGAATGGAGTTCCGTTAGAACCCCCTCTCACATTCTGACGATCTTCGTCTGAAATGACTGACCCATCCTTGTTTGGGGATAGAAGCACAAATGTGAGATAGGTTCCACCCACAACTCCAAATATACTCATCGCCGCTGGGAGCCGATTCCTTGCGTGGTGTCAGTTGTGGCTTCTCAGTTGAGTTGAGGACCTACATGTTTGAGTTGGCAGAAATTTTCAATTGCGATGGTTATCGATCTCAGAATATTCACTGAAGTGTCAATTGAGTGAGAATCTAGAGGCAACAGGCCATATATTTGGGTTACCGTAATGGTGACGTACAGTGGCGGTTCTTCTCTCTGTTTCTTGTTTACGCCTCACATCTCAGATGCCTCGAACATTCAAGTCATGGTGTCATTGTAGCTACGATGCACTGATGGCCCATTAAGAGGCAGGACCACTTAAGCTAGATCGTCTCAAGACGATTGATGGATTCAATGGAGTGTATTCTCGCGGTCAATCTAGATACCCAGGAACAGCAATTCTACTCCAGTGGTGATACCTATAAGTCTACATACTTATACCTCTATATGTATGCCCACTAATAGCCGTCATAAAGGTACCTAGGTGATCTGCGTACTCCGTACTGCCGTCCACGGGTGGCCCTGGGGCATTTCCCAACACTCACGGCTCGATCTGCCGAGGATGGAACAAGATTCATCAATTGCTTGAACAATATCAAAATGTATGAGTTCCATGTTAGAAACCATCTTAGGCGTCACTCTACGCAAATCAAACTGCCATCACTGTAGTGACTGTACTGTATGTACTGTAGAGATCGACCCCGGGATGTAACGACTGATTGGCCCGCGGGCCACCCAATTGTAGTCAGCATTTTGATAAGATCCTGGATTTTATTTTTTTTATTTTCTTTCCGTTCAGGACGGTCTCTACAGATTCATTTGTCGCATTTTTGTCGCCCTCCTGGCTCCCTCGCCCCGAATTACAGCCTACTTGCTACGGCGAGGAAAGCTCAGACTCCCCCCAAAGCCCACCATGGCCCTCATGAATGTTGATCAAGTGCCCCCCACCAAGCCAGAGGAAAAGACCGCGGAGGTGCTCGTGACCCCTTGCGATCCCTGGCCCGCGCCATACTATCTGGAAGACGGTTTCCGTCGCGTGAAGCCATACCACTACACATACAACACCAATTGCAAGGAGCGTTGGAGGGGCCGCCAGTTGGTTGAAATCTTCACTTCCGAGTTTCGCGATCGCAAGCCCGAATATTACGTACGTTGATACTCAGTGAGATGAGCGGACTGCAAGCTAACAGCAACCAGAGAAGTGCCTTAGAAAATGGTCTTGTCCAAGTCAACGGCGTGCGGGCCTACCCCGAAACGACGTTGAAGAACGGCCAGGTCATCTCCCACACCCTCCACCGCCACGAGCCCCCAGTCACCAGCCTTCCCGTCGGAATCATTCATGAGGACGATGACCTCATTGTCATTGACAAGCCCGCCGGTGTGCCTGTCCACGCGGCAGGCCGCTACCACTTCAACTCGGTGATTGAGATCCTGCGCTCTGAGCGCGGCTCCGAATGGACACCTCGCCCTTGCAACCGACTGGACCGATTGACTTCCGGAATCATGTTCATTGGCAAGCACCCCAAGGGTGCTGAGAAGATGGCCACTGCCCTGAAGTCGCGCACCGTGCAGAAGGAGTATGTAGCGCGCGTCAAGGGCAAGTTCCCCGACGGGGTGATTGTCTGCGACCAGCCTATCATGCAGGTTAGCCCAAAGCTGGGCCTGAACCGTGTGCGCGCCACTGGAAAAGAAGCGACCACCAAATTCCGCCGTTTAGCATACTACCCACCGGAAACCTACGAGCCCAACACAACTGGCGCGGACGGACGCCCCGCCACCCCGCCCATGACTCTTCATAATGAAGACGAGGGATACAGTATCGTGCACTGTTTCCCACTGACTGGCCGCACCCACCAGATTCGAGTTCATCTCCAATTCCTTGGTCACCCCATCAGCAATGACCCCATCTACTCCAACCGTCGTGTATTCGGACCTGAGCTCGGCAAGGCCGAAGCCAGTGCGGACCGCGATGAGGAGATTGTTGCGCGGCTGTCCCTGATGGGCAAGACCGAGATCCCTGACACAGTGTCTTACCGTACGCACCTGACTGCGGCACCCAATCTGCCACCAGACACAGACCCAGTCCTCGTCAACGAAATCATGCACCGGGAACAGATGGCCGCTGCCGAAAACTACGAGAAGCGCAAAGGCGAAAAGCTGTCCGGTATTTTCTGCGATGTCTGTGGCACCGAGCTCTACTCCGACCCAGGTGTTCACGAGCTCGGTATATTCTTGCACGCTGTCGCGTACGCCGATCGCGACGGTGACTGGGGCTACCGTAGCCCTATGCCTCACTGGGGTCTGCCACCAGCCGGCATGGAAGGACCCCGGGAAGTCCCAGACTGGGTTCCCGCCGCTGAGGGGGAGGAACATGTCATTGGGAACGGGACCATCCCCCCTGGCCTGGGTGACGAGGACCACGCTGCAGATGCACAGACTGGTTCCGTGCTTCTCGAGGGTGTTGGTTTGGTCAACATTTCCGATGCTGCTAGGCTGGCGAATAATGCTCCAACTGAAGCCACGGCAGCTGCAGCCACCAACTAACGACTTTGATACTGGGCTTTCTCTTTCTTGCAAATACCTTTCGTCTATATCACATTTTCTGGACTCTCCTGTCTGTGCTGCTGTCTGCATCATCTCATACACTGATTTGATTACAGAGTGTTTACAGAAAACTTTACGGGCATAGCGTCTTGGTGTTAATTTTGTTGTTATAATAGACCTCTTGCTTGTAACATGAGAGATGTCCCCCTGGGCAGCTGTGGCTTTTTCAAGGTTGCACTTAGTCGCAATCTCCAAGTCCCCATCCACCTGGGCAGCAACGGTTCCTTATTCAGTGTCATAAAATCTCGTAACGAAACCCACTCAATGAAACGAATCTAAATAGTATGTTTCAAACAGCTCAGTTGCTGGGGGCCTCTTCAATCAACTTTGTATACTGGTGTGACTCTAAAAAGAGCGAAAGGTCTTGCTTGGACTCAAACCTTCACAGCGATTAGCGAGGATGTCTACACCAACATTGAATATACCGAGGTCTCATACCAGAATGCCTTGATCGCGATAAAATCACGGGTGATTATCCCACCCTCTGCCTGAACATCGTCCATGGTTCTATGTGAAATTTTTTAGCTGGCCATAGTCTGTAGGTAGTTACAGTACATACTCCTCAACTTGTTCGGGGGTACAGTGCTCGTGGCACTGGACCTGATTTCAACAGTCAGTCATTAATCTGAGGAAGGATCTGAGACTACTTACGACGTAGGTAGGCATGCTGATAGGTTGCTGGGGAAGACTGAAGGAGATTTGATTCTGAGGCGGGAGGTCCCACTACCCGTGGACGTAATGAACCCCACAGCCCTAGCTCTTCACCACGGAGTACTCACCTGGATTGCCAAAATCATGGATATTTAAAACACACTAGATACTCAGGTAGCCACTGGGCATGAGCAGATTCTAAAATCAAGGCTGTGGATGCTGAGGCTCTCACAGGCGTTATGTCCCCTTAGTCCCGAGGTCAATCCAGTTGGATCCAATTCTCTGTTGAATATATATCCTTTCCATCAATGCTATATTCGCCCAAAATTTTCAAATCGTAATGCCGAGCTGGAGATATACACGCTAAACGCCAATGAAGACAATCCAAACGAAACCAAAATGTTTACGCAGTGACCCACGTCACCTTCTCACACTGCTCCATCTTCTGTACTGCGGCATCAACGCGCCACAGCATCGTCCCCGACTGTGTTCCCGGCTGGGGCTTACCACGCAGGACTGCTTGCGAGGTCGTACAGCGGGATTCCGCGGTCAGACGGTACTGGATGCACTCGGGATCTGCAGCACAGTAATCCGCACAGGCGGCAAGGGTTGCGGGCGTCTTGGGACCCTTGTAGTCTTCCTTATCATCGCCCGAGCTGGCGAAGTTATCCCAGTTATCCAAGTGGTCTGCCAGGGTGGGACGGATGAGATTTCGGAAAACATCACTGTATGTCAGCACGGACGAATTTGTCTACCGATTGGTTAGCGAAAGAACGTGGCACATGAGGATCTTCGGGAATAATGAAATTTCCCAACTCACCTCCGCGAACCACTGCTGCTCGAATTGATAGAAACGATCTACATCTGCAGGTGTCATGTGATGGAATGTAAATGGTGCGTAGCACCAGGGTTGCTTCGAAAAGGCATCGTGGAGCATATCCTGCTCCCAGACGGACTGGGTGGTGACATGAGGCCAGGACCAAGTCAGTGGGATTTCAGCCATGGCAAGGGCCATTCCGAGCACGCAGTCGCCGGCCCATTCACGATCCGTGATCTTGTCCCACTCGTCCACATGGCGGGTGTGGAAATCCGCGACGGTATGAATAGCCGCGTGCGATAACACAAATCCGGACCCTCCGTGCGCAAACAGATTCGGTCCGATCTGCATCTGGTTCCCGAGATAGAGGCGATCCTCGGAATTGAAGTGGCTCAGCCAGCCGATCAGATTTGGCCAGATCGGATATGTGTCCGCTTCGAGGAAGACGAACCATTTGGCGTCTGGGCGGGCGTGGCGTGCCGTGTGGATCATCGGTAGGAATTTCCACTTGTCGAGCTTCCAGCCTGGGTTGTCCATCATTCCGGTCGGGCCGTTTGCGACTTTCGTGTGGTCTTGGGAGGTCAGTGCTTGGCGACCGCCCTCCCGGGCGCGATTGTACAGCGCGAAGTCACCGTTGCCTTGCTTGAGGGTGTCGGAGACATTGCGGAAGACGTCGAAAGTGCGCACGTTGGCGATGTCTTCCTCGAAATCGGAGACGATGATTTTGTGCGGGATGCAGCGGAGGGTTGTTCGGAGGTGCACTGGGACCTTATCTTGCGCTTCGGTGATGCCGGTTTTGATCACCACGAGCACATCTTCCATCCCCGGTAGTGATGGACAGGAGGATGGAACATGGCCAGTCCTGGGGTCGGTTTGGTTATTCTCCTCGATTGTCAATCCTGAGGCGGGTTCGATCACGTCCTGCGTGGTCTTGGACCCAAAATCGGCATTCAAGAAGTGGATAATCAGTAGTGTCAGAATGACCAAGGCCAAGATAGGCCCCCAGCGACCATACCGGGCTGGAAGAGGCATTGAAACCACAGGCCTCGGATGAGATGGAAAAGAAGGGAACACACGGGGTACTAATACAGGGGGGGTGTTCAGATCATAAAGGTGTCCCCATGTCCAGCTGGAGACTGATATAACCCGTTCAACGATCTTCAGGAGGGGTCCCGGGCTCTTAAAGTCATTGGCGTGGGGGCTAATGCGAGGCCCTGAGAGGCTGACACCCACCAGGAAACCCAGCTAGTGTGGCACCACTATCCTCGACCGAGTAATGATGCGTTCGGGTCCCTGTCATCGGGACTGAGACACCCTCGTCAAATCGGGTATGTCGTGTTCATTTGGCTCTGTCAACCTGTGCCACAGCATCATTCATACAGTGGGTCCAATCTGAAACTTGGGCAAAGTGATTCGTATGCACCGTGAGGTTTCATTTTGAGTTCCAGGATATGAGCACGGAGCGCTACCATACTCTAGATAGCCAATGAACAATTACGTTGCGATCTCTACAGTTGCTGATATGCACGAAAATCCCGGTTGAGCTGCGCATTCGCACCGGGAATCAATCGTCTGGTATGAACCTGAAAAAAGGGATTTTTGCAATTTTTGTTGTCATTTCAGAGAACAATTCTCTCGCTGTGAAGCGCCCGGCACTATGACCAAGCCCGAGCCGGACATGCCATGGACCTCGGGACAATCCTTATATTTCGTAATCGCCAGAGAGATGGTATCACCATACAAAAACCCCGACCTCGTGCACCAGACAAAAAAGAAAGAAACAAACTTTTTGGGTTTATTCCATTTATGCCTCGGTGGTGACACGGCCCTTGGGGTTGGTAACCTTGACACCGAGAGCCTTGGCCTTCTCAACAATCTCGACACGCTTGCGGGAGGAGACGGCGTGGCCGATCCTGTAGATAAACAGTTAGTGGACGGAACGTAGATCGGAATCGCAAGTCGCATCGCTCAGATGCGAAATGCCGTAGGTGGAACGTACTCAGCGGCGTAGGTGCGGTTGTGCATGAGGAGGAGCTCAACGTCCTTGGTGTTGTGGACGAGGAAAGCCTTGTGGCCGGAGGGCATCATGTGGCGGGTCTTCTTGTTGGAACCGTAACCGATGGAGGGCATGGCCATCTGTCCCTTGAAGCGGCGACGGACGGCATTATCAATACCCTTGGGCTTGCGCCACGACTGACCGACACACTTGAAACGGTCAGACTGGTGACGGTTGAAGCGGTTGGTGCCTATAGCAGTCGATGTCAGTCCTCCGATCTGCAATTGGTGTCGCCTTGGCCTCCGTGGCCTTGAATCCCATCGCCCTTCGCAACTGTCGTTTTCCAAAGCAATCCTTTAACTAGCAATCTCTTGTGTTGTCCTTGATCTTTCTTCACTTCGTCGACAATCGAAAGGCGATGGCATCTTGGGCACGGGAAGGAGTGGGATTCGGGAACATACGCTTCTTGACGATAGGAATGTGCTTCTTAGCGGCGACCATCTGGAAGGAAAATTAGTGAGGGTTCCAGGTATAGAGCGTGCGCGTGAAAACTCACCTTGTCGGTGTTGCTGGGTCTCGCCGGGCGTTCGAGAGTTGTCGAGTCGGAGTTCAATCTCGAAAACTTCTTTCACCAGGTTCTCCCGCAGCAGAGTGGGAGACCCACACTAGTGCGCTTCGGGCGAGCTAAGCGAGGAATTAGGTCAGCACACGCGCAGGGCTGAGCAGCGGGTAGCCCTACTTCGTACCCAAAATTGGCTTAGCCTATTGGGGAGTTCAGCCAATCATTTCTCCGCCTTCATCTATACGATCCTCCATGTCTCGGTGGTGAGTTTAAAGTACTAGTACAGTGTTATTTTCGAAGCTACAATCTGGTTCAAGTGTCTTGTAGTCATAGAAAACAATCGTCGTTTAGTGAGGTCGTGCTAAAATGCTAGAGATCACCAATATGCTGGAAGATGAGATACATGCATCATTGCAAACGCAATTGAACCTTCTCGCCATCCTGCTCGCCACTCCGCAACATCTGTTCCAAGATCTCAAGATCCGCCAACGCCTCCTCAGGGGATTGTCTACTAGCGGGCTTCCCGTTGACGATCGAGTTTGCAAATTCGGCAACCTCTGGTGCGACACCCCTGCCATCAAACTCGATGTGATGCTTCGTTCCATTGACTGTCACATCATCAAAGTTCAAAGTAACGACACCGTTCTCGCAAGCTACCTCGAAAATCTGGTCACTGAACGATGACCCCCACGACAGGGAAAGGACACCGGTAGCGCCAGACTCGGTTTTGAGGACGGCATCGACGGTATCAACCGGAGGCAGGAATGGTTGCTGCAGTTGCGACTGCGCTGACAGGGTGCTGAGGCGCTCCGATCCCAAAATGAGTCGCAGGCCAGCTGTCATGTGCACTCCACCATCCAGGAGGAATCCACCTTGGTACTCGGGGGTCTTGCGCCAGGCAGTTTCTATCGAAGATAAAGTTAGCATTGCCCAGTTTGGTACCGGCTCTAATGGCTGAAACTTACGGAAATACTTGTTCTCGGCATTCATCAAGCTGTGTACATTGACACGGAAGTTCTTGACCTTTCCCAATTTCGAGGCCTGCTCTGCCGCAAAAATGAACTTGGTCAAGTACCGGAAGTTCTCACCCACGGCCCAAAAGACTTTGCTGGTGTCGATGGTACTTTTGTACCATTGCAAGAGCTCCTGGGCCGTGGCGACATCCTTGGCAATGGGCTTTTCGGACAGAACGTGTTTTCCTGCGAGCAGAGCCTTCTTGATGAATTCAGGCTGAACCAAAATGGGGAGGCTATTATCTAGGTCAGTGCTGCTTTCGTCTTCCCAGTGACACGATCAACGTGTAGTAATTACGCACGCAATGATCACAGCACCGATGTCTGACCGAGCCAGAATGTCGACATAGGACTTGCCAGATCCCGAGTCCTCCGAGTAGAGATCGACCCCAGATGTAGTGCTGGCCAGTTCTTGGGCTGACTTCAATGACCGTGAGTAGATGGCCTTGAGCTCAAAGTTTGCTGCAGCTTGCACAGCCGGCTAGACATCAGAAGCCTTAGTAAGAGAATTGTCAAAAGATCCAGTAAAATCATACCAGATGCTGCTCCTGCGCGAAAAGGCCTGTACGTCTAGTTAGTTCAAGTCCTAAGAGCAATGAGGATGAACATACCACTTCCAATGATTGCTACGCCGACGGTCATCTTGTTCTTAGAGTGAATGAAGAGAAAACTGAAGAAGAGAGGGATCCAAATGCCAACTACATATACTTCGGATTTCCAAAGGTGGACCCCAGCATTCTGATGGGGGGAAGGTCCAACCTCGATGCACGTCATTTGCTGGTTGGGTGACTAGTCGGATCGATTTCCGATTTCGACTATATCCCGCTCGAAGTACGCCTTCCGAATCTCTGGGGTCTTGACCATAAAACTTGATTGCTCATCAAATTAAGTATATGAAAGACAGATACACGCAAGTATACTAATCGAATGCGCCAATAAAACATGAATCAGTGTGTATCCCAAGGGCGCCGTCATTTCCATCGTGAAACAAATCCAGTCGTATCGATCATAAAAACCAGCCTGCGACTTCCACAGGCTATATAGGGGAGTGCTCTCCTGGGGGTTATTGATTCACCAGGGCGCGGAGGCGCTCCACGCGCGCCATAGCCTTCTCCAGCCTCTCCAACCTCCCACGTTTCTCAACATCCCTTCTCTCCAGCACAGCGACTCTTTCCTCGAGCTTTGCGCGCGCTTTCCGCTCCTGCGCGACCATTTCGTTTGCCTGGCTGAATAGCTGCACGGTCAACTCTTCCAGCTCAGAGTTGGCCTGTGATAGCTGCGACTCGGCCGCCTTGCGCAGGCCCTGCTCGCGCTCTAGCGCATCTTGTAGCTCGGAGGTGTTGTCGCTGCCTCCTGGTGAAGCATGCATCTGCTGGAGAGGATTTGTAGGTGTTGTTGGGAGAGGAGGGGGCCCACTTGACGTTGAGGGCGCGCTGGTGGGGGTGTTGCTACTACGCCGGTAGGGGATGAGCGAGGCAAGTGTCGTCAGCCGACTGTGATAGGTTTGTGTTTGGGGTTGGGATTCTGAAGATGTTGGACGCTCGATGGGCGTTTGGGACCGTTCTTGGGAAGGCGGTACTCCGCCCAGGGACGATCGTGGTGTGTCGTAGTTTGCTTGGGATTGGGAGGAACGGAGGCGTCGTACTTCGTCTTCGTACTCGTGGAGTTTGACGGCTGGGGTTGCGATCGTGTTAGTTCCAAGTGTCCTGATTGAGCTGAAATCTCTTCCCGGCGAGCTGTGAGGGGAGAGGGGGAAAGTCTGGATACAGTGAGAGGTATAGATTGTGCAAGAAGGCGCGAGTACTTCTGTGTCACTTACCTGTAACCGACGCGCGCGCTGTTAACGCATGTATTTGCCCCTCCAACTCCTGGATTCTATCGTGGGCACCCGACTCGCCTGGAGGAAATCCTTCTCCCCAGCACATGGGACATTGTTTCTCTGATATAGCGACACCCTTCATATCCGGGGATCCAACAAGTGTGGTGGTCGTGAACGTGGAAGTAGCCGTAGCCGACATGACTCTTACCCCGGGATTTGACAGGGATTCGAAGGTGAGCACGGTTGGGTGCCAAGGTGTAGAGAATGGGAGCTTGAGGTCACCCTGAACGGGATTTAAGAAGTCAAGTCATGAAACTACGCTCCCAGCTTTGAAGGGGTTTCAATTAACTCCATACCGGCCACTCTAATTCTTGGCCAATCGCATCACAGTGCCTGGATGATCTCATTGTCCTTGCTTGACGTCTATTGTATCTACGATTCACTGTCCGTCAACATACTCCGGTGTCTATAGTCCTGTACTCGTGAACATCCAGACCGAGCTAAGTGTACTCCGTACTACACATCTCCTGTCACCCTGCACCCCGTATGTCGGACGTTGCGCTATAAGACGAGTGGGTCGATTATACACCCCCTTGCTTCGCCGGTCGCCGCGAACTATTCCTTTGTGTCTTAGATCTAGACAGAACTATTACTTTGATACTATTTTAGGGACATTTGGATGCTTTCTTTCTCCGTATTCTGTCCTCCGTAGTGCTCAGTATTTTTCTATACTCCGGCCTTCAGTGCCTCCACAGCTAGGATTTCAGGCTTCGTCTACCTGAAACTGATCGGCTGCCATGATACAAGCAGAGGCTGAGGTACGCGCACGCTGTAAGAGATATATTCCACCGTCAATGTAGACTGCATTTCATTCTATGCTAAATAGATCTTCGACTCAAAGGGTTAGGAACGCAGAAATGGAGTTGGCACGGTTGTGAAAGGAAAACCTTTTCATACCACGCAACGACCCAGGAAACGAATTAAAGCAGTCGGCCAGAGAAGAGATCGAGCGGAAAAGCAGAAGATTGATCGTCAGCGTGGTGCTCATGAGTTTGCTCATATATCTCGTCTCTCGCAGAAGTCGTGCATCTTGTTCGCATGGCCGAGAACGGACCAGAAAGGAGGGAAAGCCTCCGCTCCCAATCCGACGCAGCAGACAGGGACGAGAAAGAAACAGGACCACCCGTGGTCAATCAAAAGTGAAAAAAATGAAAATGGTCAACAAGAAGAATGGAACATGTATTCGTTTCGCATCGGCTGTAATGGTCATGGGCAGATCACACGAATCACGCATGGGAATAATAGCTAGATAGCGAAACAGGACATAAAATGAAACTTTTACTGCCAGATCATCGGAGCGAGGACTAGATGTGTATCGGGAAGTCTAGCCCACAAAACAAAAGGAAAGGGGATCGTGAAACCAACGGAAAAAACAACAGGTGGGAAGTGGAAAAGGGGAGGAATAAAGCTCAATCAGAAATAGCAACCGTGCATCCGCACCGCGGATGGCAGAGAAAGGCGATCATTATGAATGGCGACCATACCAGGCGGGGACTTGCCCAGCACCATCGACACCCGTTCGAGTATCGATCACCCAGCTGGAAAAATCCATTGAGGCGGGCGGGAAGAAAATGCTGTTGCGTTGGGGTATCGATAGGTTTATGCGAATCCACGACCAGTCTGTCCACGGCGGTTGTTGCGCTGCTTCACGCTGACCGTGCTCCATCCCTCGTCATCACCACCGGCGCTGGCCTCGGCGGCCGGAGTTCTCCAAGTGCCGTTAGTGGTCTCCTTCTGTGCCTCAGCGGGCGCGGCCGCTGTCTCTTCGGTCTCCTTATCAGCAGCCATGTCGCCATCCTCGCCAGCGCGCTGGAGGATCTCGAAGTTACCACCGCCCTTGGGGGTCTCGAGAACGTCCTTTCCGTTGTGGTCCACGGGAGGGGCGGCATCCTTCAGTTGCTTTTGCTTTTCGGCGTGCTTTTCGGCCTTCTCGGCCTTGGCCTTTTCGGCGGCTTCCTGCTTTTGGCGAATGGCAAGTTGACGTCGCTCTTCAACTTGACGCTCACGGGTGGCAGTGTCGATGGGGCGGGCGGCACCGAAGGGGCTGGCCTTGGAGTCACCACCAGAGGTGGGTGTGGCGGGGCCATCGGCGACGGAACGCTTGGCCAGGTTCAACTTGGGGCGGCTAGCGGGGGCGGCGGGAGTGGCCGAAGGGGAAGCGGGGCTGGTAGGCTGCTCCTTGGGGGCGTCGTCAGGGCGCATGCGTGCGCGCCACTGGTTGTCCATGTCGGCCGCGGTGGGTGTGGGCTCGGGGCGAACGTGCTCAGGGCGGGGAGGGCGGGAGCCCTCGTCCTGGGACCGGCCCTCGCCCCAGGCGGCCTCGTTTCTGCGGAAGCTGGAGCCAGCTCCATCGTTGCTGCTAGGGCGGCCACCCTCGCGGGTAGGACCACCGGCGGAGGGCGAAAGGGGTCCCTTGCGCTCCCAGTTGTTGAAGTCACGAGGCTTTCCGTCGGACTCGAAGTTGCTGCGGCGAGGACCACGGTCGGCGCCGGCATCAATTGCGGGATCCATACCACGTCCGAAGCTGGAACGGTCGGGCACGCGAGCCTGGGGAAGTTCGGGCAGGGGACCACGGCGAGACCAGTCCAGGTCCTTGCCTTCCATGCGAGACTCTTTGGCTACATCAATGTGAGTTGAAATCCTGGGTTTCAATAGTGATCGACCAATACTCACGAGGCTCTGCGACACTAGTGCGAATTGACCGTCCCTGGAGGGAAGAGCCGGACAGGTCCAAGGCCTTCTGTAGGCCCTCAACGGTCTCGAACTCAACATATCCGAAGCCCTTGGGAGCCTTCGTTAACTTGTCCTCCACAACGCGGACATTCGTCACGCCACATCCGGCGAAAAGATCGGAAATATCGGCCTCGGTGGCCTCGAAAGAAAGGTTACCAACGTGGCAAGTGTAGGGGGGCTGGGTAGGAAGATCGAGAGGCTCTCGGACGGCGTATCCACCACGCTCGCGCTCTAAATATAGCATGTCAGATGTTGCCCCGTGCATCTAGAACGAAGACTATCATACCGAAGCCACCGGCAGGGCCAGAGCCGTATCCAGTGTCACCACCCATGGGGCGACGCTGGAAAGTGGAAGCCAAAGGCTGGGCTATTCATATGGTAAGTAAGTTCCTCATTCTTCGGTGTTATTAATATCGGGAGCGCTGCATACTGGCTGCACAGTAGGTTAGCACGGTTTGGCCATTTCAATGATAAGAGGTTTCTCAACGTACATGGCAGAGGCATATCCTCCATCTCATCGGCCCAAGAGCCAAGACCTAGTTTTTGTCAGTTTCCATCGCTATCATCCAAATTTTCCGGCCACTCACTTTCATCGGCCAAGAAGGTGCTCATAGACATCTTCTGAGCCTTAGATTTGGGAGCTAGATAACATGATCCAGTAAGCGATCGCCCGTGAGAGGTCGCCAGTATCGGCCATCGAAAAGTGTCTGGAACGAACCCATGATTGCGGTGTAATTGGGGGGGAAACGCGCCAACGGATTTGTGCGCGCTTCTCGGGAAAGAGGATCGGGTAAAAGAAAATGAAGTTAGGGACGCCTGGTGAGAGGTCCAAGGGTCAGTAAAATTTTGAAGTAGAGTAGTTGGGTTCAATATCTGCAAACCCACAGTGGAAAAGTTGGTAGAGGGGAAGTCGGCTGCGGCATGGAAGTGGACGGGTTACTAAATTTTTAGTGATGACGCTAGCCCAATCAGAGCCGCGAGATCGGTCTATACAACTTCTGTCGTCAGGTCCAAGACCCTTGTAGATTTGGATTGCTTAATACTTCAGCGTATGCGCAGTGGCTGTTCGTCTATTGCGCTTTCAAAGTCTGCTGCGGATTATTATTAAAGATTTGGTGCTGGTCCTGCATAGTCCGTGTGAGCATCCCACGCTCGGCTAAACTCATTTCTTCACTCTTAGCAATGCAAGTCATAGTAGCAATACTCAAGAATCCAATGCGATTTAATATATGCCACCGTATTCACAACTGTACATGCGGAATGGAGTGCCACGGGACTGACTTTGGGTCATTGCCCTCTCCCTGTGCTCAAGAAGGGCTGCTTCAAGTACTACATGTATACATGGGCATCGCATACGTTTTGAAAGTGAAATTTCAAAGAGTAACTCAAATGCAAGACTAGACTCAAGGGCCTCGGGGCTCCAAGGTCAATTCTCCGACGCTTATCATCATGCAGAAGTGACTTGGTGTGCCCGAGTACAACTGCGAAAGGATCTAGTTCAACGCCGCAAGTCAAACCTGCCACCTAGAGGGCTTTCAAGGCCCAGGCTTAGCAGCATGCCGGGTTCGGTAGGCAACCTTGGTCAAGATATCCACGGGTTGCTTAACATCCCGGGGCCATAGACTTCCAATGTTCAATTTATAAACTCGGTAACTCGCACCTGAGGTCCATGGCAAGCAACCAAATCTTGCATCTCTTTGAACTTCGTCCAGAAATGTCGCCAGCAACCTTGGAACATTTGGGACCCCAGGTCTTACCAACGGGAAACATACGTCTTCCAGTACATTCGTGGATATATACAAGGCTGCACTAGAACCATACATCAGGATCCTTTGCTTTCTTTTCAAGAAACACTAAAATATTACCGGGCTTAATTTCTCCCGTGCTTTAAGTTAGGATAACACAATGACTAGGAGGCCGGAAATGTCCCGTGAAGGCCTTTGGTGCTGCTGTTAGCAGCTGCCCAAATGCGACCTCGGGAGTCTGCGACTACCAAGCTCGAGCTGCCTGCAGCTGATAATCTGAAACAATCTTGGAACCTTAGGGGAAATGTCGTCAATGGCCCCAAGCTTCTATGGATCAAAATTCAATTCAGTATCACAACCTTCCATTGAATACCTAGGTGCAAACCTTGAAATTACGATGCTTCCAAGGTTGGATCCCGAGGTCCCGAATGATACCTAGGTACATGCTTAGGTCCACGGGTGGTGATGATTAGCGGTTCGGAATGATCACGATATGTATCTACCGTTCTGGTTCATCTACTCAGTGGCACAAAATCGAACCCCATACAATTTCGGCAGTCATTAGGTACCGCCGATAGAGATATTTTCACGCAAAAACTTTGCACGATTCCCTTAATGTATTTGTCTTTCAAGGTTGTTGATCGCAGTCTGGACGCCTGCATAAACATTTGAGCCCTGCACATGTGGAGCATAACAGGCATTAGATAATCAAGTCAGGTGACATCAGGACCATCCCGTTTCTGACTTGGATTGTTGCTCTCGCCCACGGTATACTCCTACATGAGTTGGAAGCATTTCAAGAAGAGGAGAGGATTGATGCACGAATAGCCTTCCAAATAACATGGGCGATTCAAGCAACAAAGATGTGGGCCTCCAGCCAACTGCCCTTCTATCTGCGGCCAAAGTCGGGGCCTTCAGCGGTTAGCACTCTTTCCTTTAACAGAGAGAACAGGCAGCATGAGATTGAATGCTAACGCTGACCCAAGGAACAATGGGACTCATATACGGAGGCGCCGCGGGAGTCATCAGATCTCCCAATCCAATGATTCATTCCTTGTCATGTGGTATCCATTGGTCTATATGCGGCTCATCATTCTGGTGTATGTGAAGATACTACCATAGGCAACTGATGTCTAATGACCTGACTACAGGGCTAAGAAGCAATATTATCAAGCATCATTACCAAGATGAAGCCTCACCACAAGAGCGCAAGTATGCAAGTGCTCTATGTGGTGGTATTGCAGGGGGAGGTGTGACAAAGCTCATGGGTATTATGTTCTGAAGTATGAGCACAAACCAAGGCATCAATGCTAACTACATACAGGAGGCCGGCTGGTTCCGGGTGCCATTGTCTTCTCACTATTGGGTTACTGTGGCCAAAGCGTCTTCAACAACCTTGACGCCTGGCAATTGGAGAATGCCAACACCACGAGGAAGCCATTTATGCAACGGATGGCTGAGTCAAAGTGGATCCCGCTGCGAACCCTTTCTGATGAAGAATACAGGGGTATGCTGGGTGAGAAACTCCTCAGCATCGAGGCTGAGATTGCCTTGCTCGACGACAAGATTGAGGAGCTCGAGAAGTCTCGACCAGCACCCTCTGCTTCTCCAGCTTCTTCAACTTCAAAATAATTCCACTTCCATATCCCTTACGGCCAGTGGCTTCTGCACATTGTGTCACACTGTCCACCGACATTGGCAACTACGCCTACACCCTTGCAGCCCTAGAGGGCACGAGGACCTGAAAAGCATGATTGGGTGTGAAAGTGAAAACCGACATAAATGATATGGACGAGCATGTAAAATATTTACCAAAATTAACAATGTATGATATCAGAGAAAATCCCAGGATGATCACCCCTGAACAAAATCTTGGGTCGCGGGTCGATCAACCACAACTCCGATAGCAGCTAGAGCCGCAAAACATAGAAAGACGGGTTTGAAATCAGTATGCAAGTGACAGGGATCACAAAGAACATCAATATCGAAGAAAGGATGACAGGCACCTAAAGGGTTAATACTGACAGGGCTAGGAAGCCGGTTTTAGAAAGGAAATGTCGGCTCCGCCTTTCTGGACCTCCGACCTGTCCGAAGCCGTAGCCCACCTGCCATTCTCCCTACTCCGATCTTATGAGTCGCCCACATTCATTTTACTCGAAACGACTATAATGCCCGTCCTACTGAGACTTTGATGCACGTCAAAAGTCGTTGCTGTCCTGGAGGAATTCTCGTGACCAACCCCAGGCAGACAGTAGAGATCGAGGGGAAACAACACACCAGTCGCCAATACTAATGTGTGCGAGTTCAGATTGCTTGTCTGAGATCAGCCCCCTGCTGATCGCATAGCGCGATGACACTCTTCAATCCCACTTCGATCCTCGTGGGATTTCTCCTGCTGTACCTCTCGTCCTTTTTCATATTCGCTATCGTCCGGATCGCGACGGGAATCTCCATTCAACGGATCGGCTACTTCTCGCTGCGCCGGATCGCATACGCCCCGAAGGAAGGCCTGCATATTGAGATCCGTGGCCTCGGTTTCTCCCTACACCCTCCATCATTCGCCCAGCCAACATGGATCAGCATTCGGTTGACGGAGTTGAAGGTTACCGTGGACTCAACGACGCTGGGGCATGGCAAACGCGAACAGTCCGACGGAGCCCCAGAATCGCCCAAGCCCGCTCGCACATCCGAAGAACACACTGCGCCCGAGCCTGGAAGAAGCAAAACATGGAAGACATTGACTCGGATGAAGGAACAACTCAAGAGGCTCCACCGTCAGATCAATTGGTTAGCCTTAGTCGACGTGACCGCCATCAATACCGCCGTCCATTTTGTCAACGCCGGACAGATCCAAGTCGGATCACTTTCCCTGTCCGTTGACACTCGAAGCAAGATGGTGGAGCGAGGAAAGCTGTTTCGTCGCAAGAAGGACATGTCACAGGACCAGCGGCCGGCGGAATGGATTATGAACGTTCAGAATGTCTTGCTGAATGTCGATGGCCGAGAACCAACTGAAATACTCGACAATGTCGGTGTGAACCTGCATGGGCTTCTTCACAAGGATCTGGATGGCCTCAGAGACGCTTCGGTGGCCCTCAAGATTGGGCGGATGCACATTGCGTACGACGACATCCGCCTCATGTTGCAGCGTATGAGGCCAGATCAGAAGTCTAGCAAAGGACCAGCGAGTACCGAAGCTGATGACAAGGCATCGTTTGCCGACTTTGTGGAAGAGCTCGATAAGCCTGGGAGCAGGGACGATGGTCTTGTTCAAACAGTGGCTGACTCGAAGGAGTTTGCGAGCTCTTTACTCCGTGGTATCCAGGAAATCCAGATTGCTCTCAGTTTCTTCCGTGTCTCACAGAGTATGCAATCTCTATCGGCCGGACAAACTCCTGTATACCTCAATGTGGTCTCGCACGAGCTTGGTATCGATCTCCACCGCATGGACCAGAAGAGCCCAGAACATCGCATGTACTTCCAGCGAAATGATATTGCTCACCAGGCTCTACTTGCTGCCATCTCTCTTTCGGTCAGCCTGGACGACGAGTCAGGCGAAACAGACAACATCTTGTATGTGCCCATGGCCACGACAACCATAAAAACGACACTGCCATCTAAAACAGTGAGCGCATTTGATGATGAAAACGCCGAAGAGCGAAACACCAATGTTCTATTCGCAAATCTGGTCGTTACCTCGCCCTCAGTCGATCTCCTTCCGCAGCACGTTTCTAGGCTTCTCAAACTAGCGCAGGCCCGGGCGTCATCTCCACGAGGGAAGAAGCAAGACAGTCATCATCTGATCTCACGGTTGCTTCCAAAGGCCAGCATCAAATTGTCGGTTCACGAACCTGTTGTCCGGTTCGTTCTTCCAATCGAAAAAGAATCCGGGCCTCCCGATGAATACAATCTTCTTATCTCCTCCATATCTTCCATCTCGATGGATATTGAATCTTCTCATTCTTCTGAGGGCGGCGCACACTACTCTCTTTCTTCTGTCTACCGAGTGGCCTCTCACAAGTTCTATTATCAGACACCTGCGGGCGACAAACATAATTTGTTGACAACCGAAAGTTTGGAATTGAAGGCTCATCTGAACGCTACCCCGGAAGTCTGTGTCATTGCCTCAGGAAGTATCAACGAGTGTTCAGTCCACATGATCAACGGGGAGGTCAATCGTGGAATTCGAGAGGTTTTGCAGCAGTTCATCATGCAGATGCAATCATCCAAGCGAACGGCAATGCCAGGAATCGAACGCAAGCCAAGTATTTTGAGACGAGTTCCTCGATGGTTGATTCAATTCCAATTTGAAGCCACTGGAACTAGCGTGGAAATTGCTGGCGTGGATAATACTGTCTCCGATATCTCACGCGGTGTCTCTCTACAACTTCAATCCTGGACAGCAGAATACAAGGCCCAAAAGACGGAAACAAATGTTGGAAGCATCGCCAGACGACGCACTCCCAGCCATTCTACCATCGGCGACGAATCGCCCTTTCGTTTCCCCCCAACTTCTCCTCCCAAGGCCACACACAATCAACGAGGCGCTACAGATGGAAGGCGTTTGGCACTTCATGCACGTGGTTTCGACTGCTTCGTCATTGAGTCGGAAGATTACCTTGAGCCTGAGCCATTCTTTTCCTTGCCTCGATTCGAGGTTGCGTTGAGCACCAACAGTGATCGTATGGGCCCGCTCGTACACATTACGTCTGTGTTCAAGGGAATATACCTGCAATACTCGTTGTATCGGTTCTACTGTCTTGGTGTCGCAATTTCGGTTGTTCAGGATGTCTTAACTCCATTGCCGGAAAAATTCCCAGAGTCTGCGCAGGAGAAGTCAAGGAAAGCTCCCAGCGTGTCTATGCCGCCTCCCCCGGCTCATAAATGGTCACCAAAGAAAGAGCTAGTCACTTATGACCTCAAGGCAACAGTGTTCCAGCTCAAAGCGAACTTGCCCAATGACCCTCAAATAATGATTCAAGTCTATGGCCTCGGGGCTGCCTCTCAGCGCCTTTCTACTCCCTATGTGAAAGCCAATCTGGTTCGCATGCACGCCGAGGCGCCTAAACTCAAGGGAGTTTGGGCTCGAATTGGAAGCATGAACAATGTCAGATTGAACTTCCGATCCATGAAAAAGAAGCAAGGGAACGCTTTGATTGATGAAAAATCCATCGACATACGCACAGACTTCATTCGAGTTGGTATCCCTCACCATATGGTGATGCATCGCATCTTCGACAACTTAATCAACACCTCCAAGGCGTTTAAACAACTGAGCCATCGTTTCAAGAATAGATGCCGGGAGTTCAACTCGAAGAGAGAGCAAGAAGGCATGAAGAAGGTGCCAAGAATATCCGTTCGCAGCAAAGCCCTTCTGTTTGAGCTTGAAGACGATGGATTCGAGTGGAAGCTTGGCTGCATCTATCGGGTTGGTTTGATTGAGCAGGCTCAGCGACTGGCCCGGGAGGATGTCTTCGACTTGAAATCCCACAAGGTCAAGGAAACAGACCAGCGACGTGCTACGTCCCGACTACGAGCCAAATCAAGCCACCGAACATTGCGCAGTGAGCGTACTAGTCAAGACACAAGACGAAGCCGAAGTGCCGATGAAAGGGAGAAGCCGAGTACCCAGGAACGCGGAAGAGGCCGTAAATACCGCTATAACACGGACGGTGCGACCTGCCTTTCATCCGAGCAAAAGATTTCAGCAGACGCTGCCTGGAACCGTCTCCAGCAGTACAATGCCCAAGTGTGGAAAGAGAAGATCGATGCGGCACTCAAGTTCCAGGGCACTTCTATTAAGGAAGTAAGAGAATTATTCTCTGGCGCAGATGAGCCCCCTGCCGATGTGAAGGAGACAGAGACCATTCTTGCAATCCCTAACAGGCCGGGTTTGATGTCAGCTCTGATCAGTGATGTCAATCTTGTCATTGACAAGCCCTCATTTGACGTTGCCGAACTTCCCAACTACCTGAACAGAATTGGCAAGGGAATGCCGATCGACATGGAATACGGGCTACTTCTCCCAATGAGTTTCAACCTTGAAATGGGTGAAGCGCGCGTGAACCTGAGAGACTACCCTCTGGATTTGTTGCATATCCCAGCTCTGCGTCCGGGCCAATCCCCAAGGCTGCCCAGTTGGTCTCTGCGGACAAACTTCGTCATCGCCGAAGAATGGCGGGACAATGAATCTGCTAGGCAGGTCGAAGTTGAACTTGTTCCCGCGGCCGAAGGCCCAGATGGCTTACCTCGTGAACCGTACAACATTCCCGTTTGGCGATCTGTCACCCCAGTCAAGACCTACTCTGACCCAGTCATTGAGATCAACACCAGTTTGCCAACCAGCATATCATGGGGTGTTTCATACCAACCAGTCATTCAAGACATGATGAAGATCATCGAAGGCTTCACCAAACCTGAAATTGACCCGTCTGAACGTGTTGGCTTCTGGGACAAGATCCGATTGAGCTTCCATTCCCGAATCAAAGTCCTCTGGAAAGAAGATGGCGACGTTCATCTGCGCCTCAAGGGCTCTCGTGACCCATACGTAGTGACTGGCTTTGGTAGCGGATTTGTCATGTGCTGGCGCAGAGATGTCAAATGGGAAATTCATACCAGTGACAACCCTATGGAGTTCATGAGCGTTACAAGTGGGGAGTACGTGCTCGCTATTCCTGACTACAGCGCAGAAGCAAGATGGGCAAATGAAGCCACCACCGAGGAACTGGAAAACAGTTCGACTTCAAGCGAGCAGAAGAACGCCGCTCACTTCAAAAAGGTTATCATGAAGTTGTCTGGCGATGTCAAGTGGGCAGCGGGATTGGTCTTCGAGCGCGATATCGACAACGACGCCCGGTCCTTCTCTTTCAAGCCTCACCACGAGGTCATTCTGAAAAATCCCAAATTTGTTGACCCAGCTGAGCGCGCCAACTACGATGCTTATCGAGGGTTCCGCAGTGACCACATTCACCTCTCTGTTTCAATCATTGCACCACAGGGCAGAAACTGGTCTGCTGATAGCGTTCAACCATCTTCGAGCTACAACACGGTTCATCTCACACCTCGCTTCTTTACCCATTTCTTCAACTGGTGGTCTCTCTTCTCGGGCGTGATGTCGCTTCCTGTTCGCCAAGGACCCCTCTGGCCAGGTGTCACCAAAACCAGTAAAAAGTTCAACCGGCACTTGGCGACTGTCAAATACAAAATCCTCCTTGCCCCCCTCTTCATCGCCCACATCTACAAACACAAAGACCGCGAAGACTACGCAGAAAATTGCGTCACGGCAACAGGTATCAAAGTTCGCTTGGATTGCTTGAAGCTTGATATCCATCAGCGCCGAGAGCAAATCAAGACACAAGCACGGGGCCGCTCAAAGCAAACTAGAACGAGTGCGATGCGCATCAATCAAGCTCAGATTGATATGCAATCTGCTGACTTCCGCGCTGTCTCTGCCAGCATCGAAGGCACAAGCGCGGAAGACATTGAACGTGCCAAGGACGACATAATCTCTTCCTTCCAGCAACCTGTGCCGTCCGTGGACTTGTCTCGATTCACTATTCCTGATCATAACTTGGACTGGGTTGATATGGATGACTTTGTGGAGCCGGACTGGATCCTTCCACAAGAGTCTAACCCTCGAACCCAAATCCTGCCTCTTGCTTTCACGCCACGCTTTACCTATTTCCGCAACACGGATCATTGTGATGTGGGGCCTGACGAAACAGGCTACAGTAGCTTTGGCGATGAGCCCACTCACGAGTGTGTCATGTCCGAAACGAACGATCCTCGCCGTGTACAGATTGAATTAGTGAAAGACCGCCTTGCGACGGTTGAGGCTCAAATTCGCAATTATGACCGTACCATTGGGGAACAAGAGCTCAAGCTTACGAGAGAGGTTAATCCTGAGGCGGAACTAAAGGCCGAGCACGAGGTCTTCCTTCGACAGTCTGAGTCGCTTACCAGACGGCAAAACTTCTTGACTAATACCCTCAATCGCCTCGAGAAACACGTCAACCGGGACGAGCGAACTGCATACGGCAGTACTCTTGGCAGCAACGTGACACCCAGTGCGTCTATCCGGACAGGCCGAACAGGTCGAGATGCCGACTCCACAACGGACGGCCGATCCTCAGGCCTGGGTGGGATCTATTCTTCGGGCAACGATGAGTACGAGAGTGATTTCAACAACCGTTTCATGATCCACAACGTGCAACTCAAGTGGAATAACTCCCTCCGAAACATCATTCTTCGATACAGCCATCAAGTCAGTCAGCGGCGTGGATTTGTATACTACATGTCCCGCCGAGCCGTCAAGTTCATTCTTGACATCGTGGAAGAGCAAGATAAGAATAAACGCAAGCAACCTAAGATGTCCAAGACACAGACTCACACCTCGAACAATGATGATGAGGACGTTGAGGATCGCATTGAGCAATTGCTTAACGATGCCAAGCGCTATGTCAATGTCGAAGAAAACGACCCACCTGATTCGAACACGCAGTCGCCTTCTTCGTCGGACAACTCAAGCGAGAACATTGCGCCAGAATTCACGCCTCAGAACAGTTACCACTTGCGCCTCATTGCTCCCCAAATTCAACTTCTCAGCGAGAAGAATCGAAAGTCGGTTTTGCTTGTTGCAGCTAAGGGCATGGAGCTCAAGGTTGTTTCTATCATGGACAAAGCCCGCGTTTCAGACGATGTAAGTGGCTTGGTACAACGTCGTTTCTCTCTTGAGATGGACGGTGCCCAGTTCTTCGTCGCTACACAGAAGAACCTGATGGCAAACTTGCAATTCTATGCTGGGAACAAGTACGGCAATGCGCCAGGATCAGCTTGGCCGCCATGGTTGACTTTGGAAGCCATGTTCGATTTTGAACTGAATCCTTTTGGATTCTCTCGCATCATCCAGAAAACTTCAGCCAGCTTACGCTACGACAAATACAACAATCTCCGCCTCAAGTATAATGAGGAAGTGGTCAAGGGTCAAGGGCCGCACCCCGAAGACCAAGAAGATCGCATGGACTCAATCAGTGTTGACTTCCCTCACTTCCGCGCGATATGTGACTCAGCAGAGTACTACTCGATGTACATCATTGTTCTGGATTTGATGCTCTACAGCGAACCGCTCGAGAAGGTTCGCAATGAGCGTCTGGAGAGGATCATGCTCACTTCCGACTTCAGTGATCTACGTGGCGCCCCAGAGATGGTGTTTAAGCTTCAAGCTCGAATTCGCCAATTAGAAGAGATCAAAGAATACTTCCAGATCAATGCGAAATTCCTGGACAAACAAGGATGGGAAGATCGTTTAGCTCTCGAACGCGACTTGTCTCAATGCGAGGATGAATTGTTCTTTATGATGAAGGCCATCACCACCTCCCAAAGACGAACGGAGCCTAGCTCGTCCAGAGCTGATGGTGTCAACGGTGTGCTTCGCTGGAGCATTTCAGCCAGTGAGGTCGTGTGGCATTTGATGAAGGACGCTGATAACCCCTTGATCGAGTTCCAGCTTCGGAATGCATCATACGAAAGAACCGACAACACCGATGGATCTAACCACAACTTGGTCTCGGTTGAGCGACTTTTCGGACTGAACTTGCTTCCAGATGCTATTTATCCCCAGATTATCGCGCCCTATCTCGATGGAGCACGTACTCTGGATGACTTCATGCTACGCATCAAATGGCACATGCTCGAGGCTGTCGCGGGTATCCCTGTGCTGGACAACTTCGAAATCACTTTGTTCCCACTAAAGATTCAACTCGAACGCGAGCTTGGACAGAGAGTCTTTGAATACATCTTCCCTAATGTGGGATCCAACGCGTTTGAGGCCGGCGGCTTCTCGCCCTTCATGATCAAGAACATGAAGCCTCTCGATGAATCAGATGAATCAGACGAGGATGAAGGTCCCATTGGAATGCCGTTGACGCGCTCGACAAGCATCGACGGTGACAGCTCTTCCATGGACAGTTTGGCCATATCGAAGGGCCCTGGATCCATTGAGCTACGACTCCAGCCTACGCTTTCGCTTGCAGATGATGCCAAACCGCGTAATCGCTCATCTAACCTGAAGGGTCTAGCGATGACACCAATTCACCAAGACAACAACAGACTTGGAGTATCGGAGACCGCACGCCAGACTGGTCGTCCTGCTACTACCGGAGGTCTCAGCAAAAAGAAGTCTGCCGACAGTATTCGCATGTTGACCAAGCAGCCGACTGAGAGATCACTCTCTAGCCACAGCGCTGGCGAAGAAAGTCGCAAGAAGTTCGGGATGGGCAAGGGATCAAACAAGGATGCCAAGTCCAAGGAGCCAACTGACGACCTGTCTCAAATGATTTCTCGCGCCTCCAACTACATGACTCTGGCTCACGTCAAGGTGAATGACGTGGTTCTTTGTATGAGCTACAAGGGCAAGGGCGAACACAATCTCGAGGATCTGCACGACTTTGTTTTCCGTCTTCCAGTCCTAGAGTACGGTAACAAAACATGGTCTAACCTGGATCTGGCCCTCCGTCTCAAGAAGGACGTGATCAAGGCCCTTATCTCGCACGCCCCAGCTATCCTCGGCAACAAGTTCTCACATCACCGACCATCCAAGCAACAACAAAAACGGTATCGCGAGCTTGCGTCCTCTTCTCAGCTTCTGCCTAGTGCATCCAGCACGCTGGATCCAAACAAGAGCCAAGCCCAGAGTCTGGCCAGCTATGACTCTAACAGTGATTACTCCGAGTCACGATCACGCAAGTCCATGCAATCAAATGCGTCACCTCTGGCTAGATCAACCTCGTTGAATTCGGAAGCCCATGGCACAAATGGCCTAGATCCCAACATTTACGACTCTCGGTCTGCTAATGAAGTTGATGTGGATTCCCGCTGGGAGGTTCGTAACCCCATCGTCTAATGACATCGCGACCCTTTGCCAACCAGAAAACTAACACGATTCTTTACAGGCATCACGCCGATTCGTCAACCCGCCTCCCCCTGAGAGACCAATGACCTCTGGCAATATCCGCGCCCCGAGTGAAGCTAGCAAGAATGATCATGATGAGAGGTACGCTTTCGAATTCGATCTTGTTCCAGTTACCGCAGACTAACCGGATGCCACAGCCACATCAAAACCATTCGCAGCATCGGCCGAAAGCTCACTTTCCGCAAATAATGATACCACCACCCTTACTTCCCATCCTTCGCCATTCCCACCTTGTCTTATCTCCTCTTGTGCTTTTGAAAAATCCTGCGATCTTTTGTACACCACTACCCCTGTTTTCGACTGGTCTCTTGTCTCCAGATACCCTCTACTCGAAGCGGACCGCACATAGGCGTTTTTCTGTGTTGATCTATTACTTTTGGTCTGTCCATGGCGGGAAGATGTTATGTGTTTTTACCCGGGTCTGTCTGAGGACACTTGCATAGAGGCGATTTGGGAGATTTTGGTTTTCTTTCTTATCCCATATTATTTCACTATTACCATATTCTTTGCTTCACCTCATTGTCTGCTGCTAGAAAGCGGCAATGGTTACTTCAAATGCATCATATCTTGACCATCAGGACTACTTTCCTTACACATGATCTCAAAACGCCGGCTCATGCCATCGACACGCTATGATCCTGATCTGGTTTCCCCGAGGGTCCCCGGGGAGGGTCAGGTATACCATGTATAAGCAACCCCAGGCTCGTTCCAATGGTTCCAAGGTTTACTTGGTGCTTTTCCAACAAGGAATAATGATAGGTGATGTCTTAAGGATGAAATTTTCAATATGCTCCCCAGGCAATGAAAAGAGGGTATCTATATACAGCATAACGACAGCTTGCTCAACACATAAAAACAAAGAAATCCATGCTTCAATCAAAAAGATACTCCTGAAAAAAGTGCAACCAAAACAAGACAATGGTCATTAAAGAGCAGCAACTTCATCAAATCATACTTATTATACGGGTGACTTGTCAGATTCTTTGGTATCAGGGCTGTCCTGGATAGCTCCATCGTGGGCTCCATCGGGTGGGTGAGGAAGCCCGTTAGGAGTGCTGCCAGAGGCATTCTGAGCCATCTCATGTGATTCATTCGAAGGGCCTTCAAGTGGTCCATCGACAACTTTCTCAACACCGGCGCCCTCAGATGATGTCGACGGAGCGCTTTGTTTATCGCGGGTCCAGGGCCAAACGTTAGCCTGAACAGAGGCAAAACGTGTTCGTGCTGTAGGCGCGTCGATGTCATCGACCCAGGGAATACCGCCTTGTCCACGGTTCTCTGCCCACGCCTTCTTTTCACGGCGGAGGTCACTCTGAACCCAAGGGATGGTGATCAACGTCCATACACCAGCCCATGCAAAAGGAAGGGTCCAGCCCAACTGAAGGTTCGGCGTTAGTGATGTTGAAATCCGTCAGATTGATTTCTGCTTACCGTGAATGCAACATTCTCCTGTACCGTGAATACAACGGCAGTGATGGCAGCAGCAAAGATGATAGACCCTCCACTCCAGAAACAATTCATTTCGAAGAGCATACGTCGGAAGTAGGGACTTGAAAGGTATCGTGTCCGGAGTGCATAGCGGTAGATCTGCCCACCACCGCCATCAACTGCGACAACGTCCTCAATCAAGGCGTAGAGAGCGGTCGGCATAACGGAGCCCTTGGGCGTCGATGAGATTCGGAATGGGGCTTTGTAGCCTAGCATACGGAAGATGTCGAGTGAAAGGTAGACGATTCCGAAGTAGAACATGACAGCCGGTAGGACCATAGCCACGAGACGCACTAAAGAAGTAGTCAGTATGCCGTCGGCCATATCAGAACGGCGGAGTCAATCTAACCATATGGTTGTTCAGGGACCGATCCACTGTGGCTCTGTTAGTTTCCGAACGAAGAATTCCGCCTCCACGGTACGAGACCAGACTTACGTGACAAGGATGACGGCGAGAATGAGCCACACAATGGTGAAGTTGATCTGAAAGAAATCCAGCTATAGGAAGCGATTAGCGACCGTCCGCGTTCACTGTCTCTGTTTTATAACCTACCCATGATGACCGGGCGTTCAGGGGTCGGGCGCGCGAGTTTTTTCGGAAGAGGTTGTAGAGGCGGTAGAAGTATTCGAAGACTGATACACCTCCCAGCGATGCGGTGACGACAGAAAAGACTGCGCAATGTGTTAGGATATGGTCTGATGCGGATGCCCATTCGCTAAGCATACCTAAGTTAGGTGATAGATCGGTCAGGTACCAAAGACACCAGTACAAGATCAAGGGCTGGGCCAGAGTGTCGACCACAAAGATGGTCCAGAATATCGCGATCGACTTCTTCCGGGTGTGTAGAGAGTACGGGAGCGGAGGGGGCTCTGAGGGCCCAGTGGCAATTCCTTCGTCCATGGCGTAAGAGATTCACTGGAATGGGGTTGGCCGATAGAATGGTGTTGTTGATTCAGAGGAGTAAGGACATGGTGCGCATTGAATGTGAGCCTGAAGCCGAATCGATGAGAGTGAGAAATCCACAGGGACGTTCAGTCCAGAAAATTTGACCGGAAACGAGTAACCAACGGATACTTCCGTTGGCATACAAACTTGGCGGTGATCGCAGGTACCTGACGTAAGGCGACCGGTGATGTCATTAAAAACAACCGGTCCCTACGGCATCGGCACTGCACATCAGCACAGCCCTCCATCATTCACCTTCGATTTCTTCTCTTTCATTCTTTTTTAGATATTTGCTAACATCGAGCTGCTCAATTCGCACTTCTTGAATATAGGCTTAATGAGACCCTTTGTTATGGTGTACTGATAGAGTACAAGGCTTCAATGGTACGGAGTACAAAAACACTAGTAGTACAAGGGCACAAGTGCATAAGGACGCGTGCATCCCAATGCGCGAAACTGCAGAAAAACAAGTTAAACTAGGCCAAGAGTTCTAGAGTGGGACTTCCGAATGCTATCGGTCCGGACGCCGATCCCGACACAACTTCTATCTTTGACCTGTCCACGGGTGTCACGGGTGTCTCGGGTGTCTACGGCCTACACGGCACATATGCTTTTGTTCTCGAGTTGTACAGGCGAACTCCGAATATACAGAATTCCAAAGTTCCCCAGGCCACCTGGACATCACTGGCATACCTTAGGTACCTAGGTAGGTAGTTTCCTATCAATGGCGCATATCAGCATCATACCAAAACCATCAATGCCACAAGCCAAGTAGTCTATATTAATATTTGTAGAGCACAGCAGATAATTCGTGGGATAAAACTTGATTTACCACAGACCGTATCCCCTTGCGGGCATCCTCTTGGTACTACCGCATGATTTTATTGGTGTCCAAGGTTGATTGACATATGACATTTCTACATACTGGATGATCAGATTTCTCACCTCTAGCTTTGTAGCTCACCAAGAACTGTGTAGTGTGTGATACCGGGATGTGAAAATCAAACCCCAACATAATATATAGCCTGGTATGAGTGCAGAGGAGTGCTCAATAGACATCCACCTGGGCAGCAAAGTCAACTGAGAAGAGGGCAAACGAAGCAAACACATCATGTGACATCTCTCATCAATCCAGGACCGCGAGTTCGAGTCCCTCCACTTCAGAAATTTTTCATCCCTCTTTTTTTTCTCTCCCCTCCCCCACAACTGTCAATTCATCTTCATTCCCATCACTGATGACTTGGGAAATTATGCAGTCATGTCTGGCTTACAGCATCTCATTGATTTCGTATTGAACGAAGTCGCGCTCTGCGGCGATCAAGGTGTGTATAGTCTTTTCACTGAGACCCACTTTCCCTCACCCCGGAGACGCATGTCATACGTCTTGGCACCAGCATCCTTGCAACTAGTTCGTTACAATGCCAGTCGATTCCCCACTGCTATACCTTTCCGGGCTGCCTACAATACGCCTACTCGTGGTGACTGCTGTACCAACATCATGTCCATTAAAGAACCGCGCCATTTATTGCCTTTGAGTGAACAGAATTTCAAGGCTCCAATATATTACTAACACATCCTCAGGAGCACGCATTTCAGAGGTCTTGCAAAAGATCGATGAGTTCTATCAATCTCAGGATCAGAATAGGGAATCCCCGAAACAAAAAGTTGATCATCGTCTCAAAAAGAAGATCTGGACCTGGCTCGCGAACAACCCGGAGGTGTCAGTGGGGGAAAACAACGAATGGAACCACCTGACTCTCGACGAGGCGACAGAGGTCTCATCAGAGAAGTCCCATCACAGAAAGCCTAGCAGAGATGAGGGCGCAGAATCGGAACCTGTTCCGTCCTCAATTCGCATTTTTGTCTCAAGGGAAAGATCATGGCTTGCTGTCACCGGCCATGCCCCAGATGACAGCAAAGTTGTGCCCCTTGAATTTGCTTTGTTGTCTATTATTGCCTCGCGCAAGTCGAAGGGTATTGCCCAGCCAGATCTAGTGAAGCTCAGTGGCCAGGACAAGAGATCTGTCCCTAAACGCACGGATGCCTTACAGCGGAAAGGCTACATCGACAAGCGTCCCATCCAAACGAAGTCCGCACGAACCAGTCTTTGCACTCTACAAAGGTTCTTGAACTCAAAGGAGACGGTAGACCAGCCCCAAGATGAAGGCCAAACAGCAGGGGATGAAGAGAATTCAACTGTTATGATCGATTTCGATAGTTTCAACAACAAGCTATTCGACATCCTCCGAGAACATCAGATCATTGCCCGTGAAGACCTCAAGCGCAAGTTGGGATTCAATGACAAATGGCGATGGAAGGTCTTGTCTCGTGCAGTCCGGAAGTGGGAGCGCATTGGTGTATTGAAGCGTGTCAGGGCGGAATCTCAGTATGAGAAACTGCACCCCTGCATCAAGCTTGAGCGAGAGCCCACATCAACAGACATTGATTTATTCCATGAGTTTGACTTCGAGGTTCTGAGCAAGCACGGCGTGGAGAAGGCCGGAGCTGCGATTCCCGGTGGTCAGGACCAAGAAGGAGAGGACTATGAAGCACCAGCTCAAGATGGGAATGATATTGACACGAGCAAGGAGCAGACCGGGCCCCTAAGGCGAATTGTGCCCACTTGGACTCCAGATCGTAGTCTCAACAATCAGATGTTCGATGTCATCAACGGAACAGGCACCGCAGGCATCACAAATATGGTTAGTCCCCTTGAAATTCAGATGGTGATCCATTCCAACTAACATTTGGGCAAAGAAACTCATGCGGGTTTGCTTTGGCCTCTTTTTCAAGAGGCCTGCGGAAAATTTGGTCCATCGTTTAGTCGATTTCTGGCAAATAGCCCAGCCACTCCATCTGCGACATTTCGCTGTCGTCCGAGATATGGCAATGTCGAAGACAATAATGTTTTACATTCACTATTCAGCGACCAATTTCGCCAACATTGTCGAAGGAGGAAGTGCTTCATGGGAAGCTGTTGAGTTCCCCTCAAACAAAGCCAAGTCACTCAAAGTCAAGTTACCGCCGTGGGGCGCTGCGCCTCAGCTCGACGAATATGGCTTCCCTGCGAATTCTAGCCCAAGCTCTCTGCTCAAAAACCCAAGCTCGACCTTACGTGACGGAATGGCCATTGTCAAGCCAGCTGACTACAAGTTATCATCAAGCGACCCTTTCGTGGTTAAGCTTTCAAACGGCGAATATGGTAAGATTCCATCCCGTCGGAATTTCTTTTTTCGGCTCACTTATGTCCTGTCATGCCTTGTTTCCTTCTTGTAAAGGCTAACATCTCGATACAGTGGTACGGAGACGCCAGGACGAGCTTCCCGCCGGGGCAAAGCCTGTGCACGTCCGCCCAAAACCCACAGGACCAACTGCCACGGGGCGGCCTAGGGGGAGACCCACCCTTGCGATGCTGGCGCAGCGCTCCAAAGAGGCCAAAGGAGCAGGACCAAGCGAAAATGGGATCGAAATACAACCATCTGAACCGAACAAGGTCGAATTGCAAGGCGAGGACGAAGTTGAAGAAATGCCACCACCAAAAAGGGTCAAAAGAAAGCACCCTGACTTCAGAGGAATGTCTCGAAAGGAGAAGCTCGAAGCGCTTGGCATGGATGAGAATTGGACCGAGTACAACGCTCTTCTGATGAATAAACCCACCCCCGGTATCTATGTCACCCCCCACGGCCGAAGAAGACCTGCCGGAAAAGCTCGTGGCCGCCCGAGACAGAGTCGGATCGCAGTTTTCAAATCTCCACAGTTGTCGTCGTTTACTTGGTTTATCAAGGACGAGCAAGATTCAGACAACGAAAACGACATGGACCATGCTACACTAACCCCTGGGCCATCTTATGCACCCAGTAGTGCATTCGCCCCAAAGACTCCCAGTCCAGCAAAGAGAACACACTCAACCCAAAGCCTCAAAGCCCCGTCCTCGTCAGCATCAGACTTCCACCAAGATGGAGTAAAAACAGAAAGACCTTCAAAACGGCCATGTCTTAGCATGACCCCAGCGGAAGGTAGCCAGGAGGATATGGATATCACCATGGATTCCGTTCCTGGAATAACGCCCGCCGTACCGGAGGATGCAAATGGAGCAACATCAACCCGCTCTCCCGACAAGAGCCTTGGCATCCATCACCTTTCAGATGCAGATAAGCCAGCCCAAACGCCGTCAAAGCGTCGTCGGACCCTAGTATCCTGGCTATCCAACTCAACTGATGCATCACCGCATCGCCCGGGTCCAGCGGACTCACAGCAAAAGAAAATCTCGCCAGCGCCTAGTCGCACCAAGAACCAGCCAACTCTCTCCCGACGCATTCCCCGGGGCCTTCGGGGCAGAGATCTCACCGAAGATGAGCAAAAACTTCTAGTAGCCCCAAAGCCTCTAATAGAGAGAGGGGGATCTATCAGTCTTCTCCGGAGGAAAGTCCTCATGGAAATCATGGACCTGGCAGGAGGCGCGTATCCAGCCGGTGCAGTGGTATGGTACCCTTTCGTCACCCTATGGATGAAGAAGGGAAACAAAGAAAAACCGGACATGAAAACGGTCAAAAATGCCTGTAAACAACTCATTGATTCAGGACACCTTCGACAATTGACCTTCAGTGGAAGGGACAACAAGGGCGCCATGGTTACGAAGACTCTGTTGATCAAGCCCGACATGTCACCAGACCACCCAGTGGTTAAGGAGATGCAAAGGAAGTTTTTGGCCATGGACTCCAACGAGCCGCGGCCTGGGTTCTGTGACAATGTCGAAATCGACCATCTTTTGACACGAAGTAGCGGCCGGCCACACGGTGACCCACCGAGACGCCAAAAGTTTACCTTCCCCGTCGAAAGAGGAGTGCATTTCAATTTGCAGCAGAAGCCGGCCTCCATCCGCAATGAAGAAAGGAGAAAAACCGACTCGATCCAGAAGAAGTTCTTGAGAGGTCTTCATATCAAACAACGGATTGAAGAACGGATTGCGGCCCAAATTGCTGCTGCGGAAGAGCAAGAGCAAGATTTGCCTGGAGTCAAACGACTCATGACACTCTCTCGTCCACCGGCTTTAGACACTCATGCTACCGGGCAGACTTCGATCATGCGGCCATACATCAATACCAGAAAGCGTGAGCCTCGCAGGCTTCGGAATCCCATCATCCGTGCGAATCGAATGTCGAAACCGATCTCTACTATTGGACCTTACGCTATGTTGATGAGGCCTCCACAGCACTTTCACCTGGCTTCTGGTACATTTTCTACCGGATCCTGTTCGCTCAAGAAGAAGCCGAGGTACACACAGCCGGTTGTGCACGTTGGAGATCCTGTTAGTGAATTGAACAAGTTGATTGAAGGGGGTAGAGACTTGCCGCATGGTCCAGAGTCGTTTGACCGGAGAGCTGAGCAGATCCTCAAGTGGGAACTTCGATATGGGGGTGTCTTCGACAAAAGTCTCCAAGGTCAGCAATACATTGACCAGACCGTGGAGGGCGATTTTGAACATGTGCCAATCGGCAGTGACATCCGGTTTATGCCCGAGTTACAACCTAACTCGAGGACCTTTACGAGACGTTCTCCCAAGCCTTTCGAGGATCATACCGCAGCACAACGCGATAATCAATTCATTACTGAATCTGATGTTGCCAACACGACAGAGTCGGCGATGTTCGAAGCCCAGAAACGGAAGTCTAAGCAGCGAAGGGCGACACGTTCTAATGTGGATCGACGGTTGGCGAAACTTGATGAAACCCCCAAGGTCACTGCCACACCAGAGAAGGAAGCGCAGTCGACGCCTCGCCAACGTTTCCGCCGAAACAGATTTGTGCGTTCGCTGTCTGACGAGCTCATTCGCAACATCATGGTCGCCATTGTCGCCGTCCGTGTGCTTGCGGGTGGCGCAGATTCGAGGGTGATTGATTGGCAGCTTGTGTCAAAAGCTTTCCCAGACCAAGATCCTGCTTTCATTGACAGCCGGGCGCGTCAAATCCTCAATAAGCATCGTCTGCAGATGACCAAAATGCAACGAGACTTCCAAGAACGCTTTCTCGAGGCTTATGCCAAGAATGAGGTTCCTCAGATTGATTACTTCAATCTAGAGGATTATGACTGGCCCGCCGTTGTCAAGTGGGCAAGCACGGAACTTGACTTTTCTCCATCCGAACGAGTGCCAGATCTTCCAGCTACCCGGGAACAATTCGACAGTGTCTTTGAATTGCGCGAGGAGCCTCTGACAGCAGGAGATGAACTCTTCCAGTCTGTACATGGTGTCACCATCAACAAAAAGCGTAGCTTGATGGCTCAAAATCCCTTCTCTATACCCCTAGAGGATCCGAGCCCCAAATCGAGTCGGCGAAAGGAAGAACTGGCGAAGCTCGAGAATGCAAAGACTTGGGTTCGCGCCAATGTCATCACACCGGAAAAGACATATCGACCCAACGAGGCCAAGGATATTCTCGAACTTTTCGGGGAGTCACTCATTACGAATGCAACACAAATGTTGATCAACGAACGTGTGATCAGTTCGACGAACCGTGGTCGCATTGCGCCAGGTCGCAACTACGATATCTCAGAGAACTTCTTGCAAATACTGAGTCGCAAACGTGGAATCGAAACCACGCAGCTCCGGCAGGCCTCTCATTTCAAGTGCACCGTTCTGGACCCCGAGTTGCAACAGACTGGTACTGCCGACGTCAGTTACAGTGCAGATGATGGCGATATCCTCGCTCTGATCAACCTCTACGCCTCAGGACATATCCAGCTACAACCTCAAGACGCTCCTCGTAACAAGTTCGGTCTTACAGATGGAGGATATCTCACCCGTCAAATGGATAAAAAGCTTCTTCGCTTCCCTGTCAAGATCATTCCCACGAAGAGCTATGTCCCGGGCAATCCCGTCAAAGACAAAGCGGCACTTGCTGTCCTGCCACCCGCTCCTACGAAGTCAGGCCCCGGGCTTCCGCCCATGACGCCACTTTGGTATGACATGAACGGAGAACTCGAATCACATCTTTGGAACATGGCCATTGGCCCCGTCATTGGAGGGTTGGTGATGCGTCCTGGACTCAACGCGCATGTCCTTGCAAGCATGATCAAACATATCATGGGCGCATGGGAAATTACACTTATCCTCCAATGGATGAAAGAAGTGGGTATCGTCAAGCCCACAAGCGAAGGAGAGCCAGAAAGATGCGGATGGAGGTTGCAAGAGTCATGGTGGATGGTTTCAAGCTAACCCGTCGATTCATGATGTATGGATCTTGTGGGATAGGTGATGAATCTGTGGACAACCAGCTCATCCCATAGTTAGTCACTAAAACAACAAAAATACCAATAAAAAGCACATTGTTCGATTCAAGCCTGCGGACTTGGCTAGCTAAGGAGAGGTATCATGATTCAAAAGTAACTCCTGTACCCTAAACTCCAATGGCACCACAAAAAATAATGACAAAAAGTCGCCATGTTCAATGTAACCGATGCTTCATAGGTCGTCGACGTTAGACACCCGTCGCAATACAAGTAGAATAAGAGTCAGGGCAACACCAATGATAGCTCGGTCCAGCCAGACGCTACCAGATGAAGATTCGGCAGAGTTGGTAAAGGTTGGACGGTGAGGCATTGTCTGAGTAGGAGCAACATCCAACAGCTGCGTTTGCCTCGTCTGAGGCGCAACTACAGGCGCAGCAGGCGGGGCCGGACCTGAAGCCGAAGCCGAAGATGAAGATGAAACTTGCGCAGAAGCAACATTTGTCTCGTGTCCGTGGTTTGTAGAATCCTTCAGTGCTTCCGCTGGGGATCCATCTTCCGGAGCAGATGATTGCTGATCTTGGTTCTGAGCCAGAGGTGAAGCTTGTGTCCCAGTCTCAACCTGAGAAGCATGAGCACCTCCAGCCATCTCAACGTCGATTTCGATCCCACGAATCCGACAAGAATCCCAAACCTCTTTCATTCCCTCTTGATTGCTGACCCCGCACTCGCGACAGGTCCAATCGAGCGAAAGTCTCGCGTGCTCCCTACGGACGTCTTCGCTGCCCTCCATCCCACCGACCTGTCCTTTGCTTTCGGACCCGAAGATCTCTGATCGGATGGCCAGTAGCGCTGTGCGCACCCCCCAGGCTGGCTGCCATGTTTCTTCGTGATGGCCTGAGATACTGAGGCAGATCTCGCGGTTGACTTCGAAGCGGCCCGAGGGCGTCAGGAAGCGGAATGACGGCGGGCGGAGGGGGTATGTTGCTGGGAAGGTTATGCGGCCATGATACAGGCCTTGGGAGTAAGGGGAGGAAGGTGGCCCTGCTAGGGTGAAGTGCCAGTCATGGAGATTCGAGTCACTTATTGGTGCTGCAGTGAAGTAAGGGCTGGGATTTTTGTGGAGATCACTGCTCTCTTTTAACAGACGGCGCGTTGAAGGAGATGCCATTGTTGAAGGTGCAGTTGTCGAGGTCGAAACCTTGAAACCCCCCGGGGCCAGGGCTGGAGGATGTGGAGATAAGATAAAGATCTGGACAGTTGGCGATTGGGCCCACACGGGGATGCCCTAGGTATCCATGACAATTCTCTTTCAACTATGGAGTATAAAATATCAGACATGGATACATTTAAAGTATACACGTTTGCCAAAACGCCAATGCTACCTAGGTAGCTATGCTATATCTAATCCCAATCCCTCCATTCATCAGTGTCATGGCGCGAGGCCTGTGGACGAGTCGGATCCAATAACCCATTCCCTTCAACTTCATCTCCAAAATCACTGTCACCTGGCCTCGGCCTTGGAGACCGAGGGGCAAGGGTTTGCATCGAGACAGACGTTGGTGGCCGATCAGGCGTGCGAGCACGATTCGCCGCTCGCACAGGCTGAGCGGCACCCTCCCGCCATGCATGGCTATTGTCCAAGTTGCGCTGATACAGTTCACGGTAGTACTGCTGCTCCTCGGAGGATTCTTGCTCGCGGCGGAGACGCATACGTTCGCGCGCTTCGAGGAAACTCTGACTCGGCTCCCAGCGCCAGCCATCTCCCGTGGTATTGCAGATTGGGAGCGCCCAAAGGACCGGACGATCGCCGAACAGATGAAGCAAGTTCTTTCGCCATCCATGGTCGAACGCACTGGGCGTCTTTTCGTTGTCTTCGTCGTTTTGATACTCGTGGTACCGATCGTACTCGCGCTGTCGCTCCATCTCCGCATATGAGCGAGTCAGAGCCTGCTGAGCCGGTGACAGTTGATTGCTCGTTCCGTCTGGAGGCCCTGATGGCCGTGGTAAAGGAGATAGCCTCTCCTCGCCCTCTTCCGGGCGAGTGACGCCGGGAATCGCATTGGCGTGGGCATCAATGATCTGATTACCAACTCCCTGCAGTCGGCCGGTGAGCGTGTCCTCCGGTTCGCCCCAGTAATTATCTCTGGGTGCCTGTTCGTTGCGCTGTCTGTCCAACGCTTTGCGTAGAGGCGATACATATCGCGTTCTCTCCAGACATTCAATGGTGGTTGTTCCTCGCACAGCCAGACTGATGTGCCAGGCGGTGAATCCGCTCAAAACTAGTCCGATGATGCCACCCAGAATAGCCAGGAGAACCACATTGACAGGGAGGATGGTATCCATGTACTGGGTGTCATTCAATATCTCGGTCCAGACCCAGACGGCTGCGATGCCAAATACAACCCAGCAGAAAATAGAGGTATATATCAGAAAGAGCAAAAATGCCTTATAGTTATGCAGCCCAACACATGTCGCCAGCCAGGGACAGTGGTGATCCATTTTGAGGACGCATCGTTTACATGTCGAGCAATGGTGGGCGCGGTCTGGTTTGGGGCATTGACACTTCTTGCAGTATCGCGATTCACCAGTAGAGCTCACAGTGTAAGAAACAAACTCCGGGTGCTCGGAGGGTGGGAGGGCGCTGTATTCATGACGGTCGGCGCCGCGGCGAGTCGAGAGCGGTGACCCCGGATCGGTGAAGACCGCGACGCTGTAAGAGAAGTTCAGGAGGGAATAGAGTGTAAATGCGACGATAGTACTCGGAATGCCTAACAAGTAAGCTGTTAGCCCAACTGTGCCGTCGCAGGTCAGTTCGGAGGCGCGGGAATCTCCTACATACCGATCCAGGAGCTCCTTGATGGCTTGACGCCGATGCTGATGGCAACATATATAGCCCAAGTTGTGATGCCATAGACAAAGACGAGTGGGAAGCAACTTGCAGCTGCACAGCAGTATCGCTCACAGCGGAGAGCCCAGGCTTTCGGACGCCGTTTCGGCCACGAGGGCGAGGTCGGGACGGACGAGGCCAAGGTGGCCATAGCAAACGAATTATGGCTTGATGAGTTGATTGTGCATCCGGAGGGTTCAGTGGGCTAAATGCATGATCGTGGCAATGCAAATAATTCGGACATATCAAGGTGCCTGAGACTCCGTATCAAATGTACGGATTACGGATTACGGTCACGTAATTTATGCTCCGCCACGGCCCCAGCCACAATCCGCAGGGCTGGGACTTTTCTACTTCCGCATTTAGTCTCGGTTTGCTACGAGTACTCCGTACTAGTAGAGTGTTCGGGATAAATTTCATTGGGTATACACTAGGCTAATGGTAATAGATTCATCGAAGCTTTGCTTGGAAAATGCAACAAAGAGTGCCCATGGTTAATCATATGTTCAGGTGCTCTTGGTAGTTGTGGTGGTCAAGCTGTTCTGATCGCACCAGCCATTGACGGGTAGGCAGCTCAACCGATAGCACCATGAGCAGTTGGTGGAGGGGTATTTATAGAAATCAACGATCAACATGATGAAGCCGATCAGTACTGCAACCAGAGCTCCAGCGCGAACAACCCACCACAACCACCAAAGAGGCTTACGCCCTTTAAAGAAGTAAAGCGGGCCTTTGCTTTCGCCCAGATTCTCAGAGGAGCTGGAGGTGAGACCTCGCTTGCCCTTGAAAAAGTCCATGAAAGAGACGGTCTTTCGGTTGGGCCCACCTTCTTGGCCGCCAGCACCACCGCTCATCGCAACATAGGGCTGGCGTGCTAGTCCAATCCGCTCCCGAAGAGCATTGGGAGACCGCATGATGGTCAAGCCAATGGCAAGGCCCATTATGAAACCACCAATGTGGGAGAAATTGTCCAATCCCGGAAGAAGACCGAGAACAAAGGAAATTCCCACTCCCAGGATCATGATGATCAGCTCGACCCAAGGGGACTCGCGCTGAGGCCAGTCGTATAGCAAGTCAAGTAGGTAGAGCGCAAGAATTCCGAACAGCGCACCAGAGCAGCCGACACTGGGTTCAAGCTGGGAGGCATAGTTTCCACCCAAGACAAATCCAAAAATACCACTGGCCAGGTATGTCACCGCATACCGCCAAGCACCGATCATGCGCTCCATATCGGCACCCATGGTCATCTGGACCAGGAGGTTAAAACCGATATGGACGAATCCGCCGTGCAAGAAGAGGGGGATGATAAACCGGTACCACTGGTTTGGAGCGGGTTGATCGTCTGTTGACCCGTTGGCAATGGGGTTGGGGACTCCACCAAAAGCACATAGCTCCGACAAAGAGCATTCGGGAGTGGTGGTGGTTGTGTTTGGGCACGGCCAACTGATGGTCGCGTTGGCGTTCTGGATTCCCTCCACATTCTTCATGCACGGGTTGTAGCGTGCTCCCATGTAAATTTGAACATATGGCGATGGCCCGATCATCGGATTGAAGGTGGGTTTAGTCTCGATCACGGAGCCTGTCAATTGGGCTAGGGGGTGTTAGTTGGCCGGCAAGAGTTGGGGACATGGGGAGTCCTCGGCTCACCATTCTTGACCAGCTCGACAATCAAAACGATGATTTGGGCTAGTGTTAAGAGGTATGTCACCCAAGCAATCTTCTTGCTGAAGAACCCCTTCTTTTTTCGGCTATCACGCTGGCGGCGATCTTCAAGACCTCCTGGCGATGGGGGATACTGGGTCTGTTGGCGCATCCAATCCGGGTTGTTTCCATATTGTGTGTTGGCCTTCAGCGGGATGTTTTCTGAGTAGTGGTCCCCGTCGCCAGCTCGGCCTGCTGCTTGGTACTGTCCATTGTCTGATGCGAACGATTGTTGACTTTCGCGGTTATGATAAGGGGCTGAGGGATCGTCGGGGTTGTGGCTTGAATAACCGATTCCAGGTAAAGTAGTGGCAGCGTGATTTGTTTGATCCGACTTGCCTGGCACGGCTTGATCGTAGGTCGGGGGTTGTGGGATGTTCGTGTGATAGTAGTCGTTGGCAGCCATGGCGGGCGGCTATAGGAATTTCCAAGAGGGCAATCAGATAAGCGAGACCATGCAGACAGATCTCCAAGGCCCAAGAGATTCAGAGGTTATTAAATCCAAAAAGAGTGTGAAGGATGAAAGAGCGTAGGCAGTCATATTCAAAGTTATTTTTGGGCCGAGAGATCGACAGAAACCCAGCCGCGCGGTCTTGTTCCACTCCGCCCTCCGCGTAATGAGACGGGATACGGGTTTTCAGGATTACGAAGTACATAGTGAATTCATTAGTAGACACTTTGTACGGAGTATGTGTTTTTAACTAGTACACAGCCTGGTCCCTGCCATGACGCCAGACACGCAATCTCAGCCTTATGCCAAGCATCCGGGAATCTCTTCACGGGACTTGCATGGTGTAATTCATATCACATGTCATTATCGATCCAGGAGTTCATCCATGTTCAAGTGGTGCGCAACTTGGGAGGCGTCTTCAATTTCGAAATTAGACTGTGTTCCACCTGCCTCATCTCAAAAGAGAAAAGCACACTGCCGGACTTGAAGATGCGATTTGAATGTCGAGTACACTAGACGGCTTGAGTCGTCCAACATTAAGTCCCAAAGGGGGCGTGTCTGTGACTAGCATCGTAGGCATAGGGATCGGCGAATTGTTCGAAGGGGCTCGCTCGTGCATACATAAGGGATGGTCCTCCCTATCTTATGCGCTGGCGACCAATGACCTGGAGACTCCAATAGGTCCACGTGTAACCTGAGTCTGGGCGTCTCGTGCACCTCAGCCCTACACCCTAGGGTAGGTAAATCCATAAATGGATTTTAGCATGCATGTGTCATCAGCCAGCTGATATAAGAATGCGTCGCGTATAGCCAAGATGGGACATGGAAAAGGGCCCAGGTGAGCAGGCATAGGACGACAGAAACGAAGGTGTTGACCACGAGCTTCTCATTGAATGTTAGGACATATAGTCCATATGTGACCTCATAGCGGTAGTATTCGAGCCGAATTGATTCTATACATTGCCGAAAGATATTGCGACGATGAGATCCCCGTGGGGTGTTCGAAGTGTAATTGGTGATGGAGCCATGTCTCTTGATCAGCTCATCGACTACCGGGATGTGTGGATATTTGGAATCGGAAGTGGGTAAGTTATAATAGCAGGTAGTCTGAGAATGCATCGAGGACATTCCTTAGAGTTGAGGATGAAGTGTAGATGGCTGCTCGGGGAGTAGTTGAGGGAACGAAGACAAGAAGCTCTCTGTACGGAGTATTTCATTCAGATAGAAAACACCGCGGATTTTCAAAGATGACAGGGCTAGTCTATAAAGACTCAGACAGGGAAGCCTTGCAAAATTGGAGGCCCTTTAGCTATACCTCAGCCCTATTTGAATGCTGAACCGGCACCGGAAGGACCGGCAGCCCAAACCGGAAATCTCGGGAATCAGGCACGGCCTTGGGCTTGAAAGATCAAGCTCGGCCCTATACATAGGACCCTTGCAGAGTTTCCCTTACACACCGCTGGCTGTGTTTCCACGAATTGGGGTTCGCCCAGCGGTAGTAGGACTGGGGATCAGGAACAACCTAATTTTCAGAAGCGGACATCAAATTTTGATTTGAACATCAAATGGACTAGATGCAGCCAAGAAGCTCTAGTCAATAATTGCATATCCACATCAAACCTTTCTACTCTTGGTGCTGTGAAAACACGGTCAGGTAACATTCGCTCGCTACTCCATAAATACCTCACTCTCTCGTTCTCGCGCGCACGCTATTGTAGAGGCCAGAACTTCCTTTATCATACAGCCCCAGACTACAGTACAGATATCGTGATCTCATCAACTGATGGGGTTGATCCTATCGAGGTATGGACATTCCGCTGATCGGGCTCGGGTTCATCATTGACGTCACCGCACAATTAAATGCAAGGAGGGTCTTGGCAAAGGCTTGGAACCTTGGAATATTGCAGTCATGACTCATGAACTACCTAGGTACGAAGAGGGGAAGCATACTGCCAGTTGCTCAAATATCAGTATGTACAGTAGTGCGCACTGCTCGGTCACGAAGTCTGTACTTCGGTACTTCGGAGGTTCGGAGGGGCAGACGGCCCGTTTTCGCTGCCGCTGATGTCATCGTGCTGTTTCATCTTCCCCGCTTGCGACATTCCTGTCAACAACCATCATGGACCCTCTAGAGGAAGCTTTGCCGCCGGCTACGGACTATCTCACTTACCTAACTCTTCTGGAGTATCAATTGACCCCTGCTCGTCTTCCGCTATTGCATAAGCTGCTACAAGATGAAAAGCTCACCACGAATATCGGGTGGGACCTGGTCAAGCTTCTCTTACCCATGCTCCCCGCGTCGACCGAGTGCCTACAGGATGTAGCCCGCCTAGGAAACCCGCGAGAGGTGATCTTGCGTGTATCCGAGTCTTTGATGCAACTTCAACCGGAGGATGAGGACGAGGAAGATGACGCTGAAGCCAGCGACGAAGGACTACCTTCGCACATCCTAAAGTTTAACTGCCTTCTCGGCATGCTTTCGGTACTACACAAGCGGATACAGACCAAGGTTCCCAGTCGATTCATGGCAACTTCCTTGCAGGCGGCACTCGAAGCATATACCTCGATGCCAACTAACGAGACCACATTGGCTTTCCTTGAGTTCCTTCGCGAGGTTTCTCCGTCCAAACGACCTGCACCGCCCCCAAGAGTTGCTAGTGAGTCAAGTGTGCTCAGGGTGGCTGCAGAATCTGCACCAGATCCTGAAGCAGAGGTATCGTCGCCGTCCCCCTCTGCCGATAACGAGACTCTTTTGGTCCGAAAATTCATTCAATTCAGTCTATTGGAGTTGTTGAAATCATATCTCCTGAGTTTCTCCGGCCCTACGGATCCAGGGATGTCATGGGCAATCCGTATGCAGGAACACCTGCATCCCGATCTGCGGCTACCCGGCTCCCAGTCTCAAACTGAAGCATACGCATCAACAAAGGAGCTGAAAGAACGCGATATGATCATGGGAAAGCTTGTGGTACGTATATAAAGAGGGAAAATCCCATTAACAGAAAACGGGATCAAAGAGCTGGTAGGCTAATATTCCCATCCAGGCTCTATCAAGAGATGTTGGCCTCGATAGCAATCAACTCCTGGCGATAATCTCAAGCTCGGCAACAGATCAAGTTGCGCAGCTTGATTTTGATGAACCGCCCACAGATCCAAATCAGATTCCACTCGAACGACACGGGTCTCTTCTTTTACTAGCCGCCCGAACTGCAGGTGCAACTCTCTTCGCTTCCGGTCAACCACTGCCCCAACTGGCAGTTTTCCCTGATTTATCTTTGATTTTCAACCACTTCGTTGGTGGATCGACCAATCTCGACGAAATAGCTTTTGGCCAACCTCATGCGTTGCTCGACTCCCTGCTAGCCGTGACCGTCTACACCTTACAGCAACCGACCCGCCCTCCGTCTAATGAGGCCGATTTCAAACAATTTGTTGTCACTTTGACAGCATGCACAGCACGTCAAAGTCACGGCATTGTTCGCCAGATTCCGGCTACTGTTTTCCAGAGTTATCCTTCGCCTGAGACTCGGTTCAAGCTGATTTACAATATCTTGAAGGAAGATCGTCTAGCTTCGGCTCGCGACAGTGCTATCACCTGGCTGAAGCAAGAGCTACTTGCCGGCTCAAGTACATTGTTCCAAGACCCACATTATCTTTGGGCCTTGTTCCCGACTTTGTTCAGCCCGGTCAGCACAGCCAGCTCTTCTGATCTTGTTACTGCCTGGACTCGTCTCACTCAGACCCAAGGCCCACCTCTACACTCAGCCTTGAACCTATACTACCTTCTGCTTTCCTCAACTTCGCTTCGAAGCACGCTCCAGCTCGAGAAGACTGTCAAATTCTTCCGTAGCCATGTTCTGGATCCCCTTCGACGGGTATTCCACGCCTTTGAAGTTGATCTCACCGCCAAGGGTGGTGAAGGTGTCATTGAGGCTGCTGTTGGCGAGGAGATGTGCCAAGCTGGCAATGCCAGGTCTGCGGGGCTGATTGGACTTACCCTGGACCAAATCGAGGAGATTGTAACAGATGTCTTTGGTTCTGATGACGCAGATCTGGCGGAATATTCTGACTCTGACAATGCCCAGGTGGCTGAAATTCGCAAGCGAATGGAAGTTTGGAACTAGATCAAAGGTTTGTGTCTTTGTACAGAGATGAAACAGGGCTGCATGTATCTACAAATGGCTGCTATATCCAGGCTTCTCATACACATGTGTTTCTAGTGATGGCCTTTTCCAATCCAAACGATTCATAACACCAAAAACAACAAATTCGCCTATTCTACACTTGTGGGGCATTTAAATTGCAGCTCATGGGCTAATTTTGATATCTAGATCTGCGAACATTGTTCTGTCTGCACAGCCAATGTTGGATATACATCTTATGGCGGCTTCTTGCCGTGTGCCTACTAAGCCCTATGGCTGGGCCAGGGGTATGTCCTCTTACATCCCGCCTGCTGAGGTGGAAAGTCTAGGCGGAAGGTTCCGGCCATTTACATCGTCGGCTTACATCGTCGACGATGCGATGTCCAGGAAGCGTGGGGCCCCACACGTCTCCTCAACGAACACTTCAAAACAATCGCTTGTCATTTGTTCCCAAAAGCCTTTCATCTTCTGCAAGCCTTCTTTTCATTGTTCTGATCCACTTGTTCCATCTAAAGATGAGTACTACGCCTCACCGTATCGTCTCTGGCGGGCTGGTGAACTCAGTGTACCTATCCCGAGTGCCGATCCTCGTCGGAGCAGACAGCTTCACGGAATGGAAGGTCAGCCTCAAGGCTCTTCTCGATTCTGTCAATCCCAAATATTATCAGCTTCTCAGTGGAGCCTGGGCCATGCCCGAGATTGAACGCGACAGTGCCACCCCAGCCGACATTTCCGAAGACCACGACTGGCACATGTTCAGCCGCCAACTCCTGATAGTCATCCGCCACACCATTCACTATCTGGTCAGAAGTCAAATTGATCAGACCAATGCTCGCACAGCATATCTTTCAATTGAGAGAACCTTCACCTCGACACTTCAAAACTCCGGATACCGAGCTTACGAAAGGTGGATTGGCATTCGGTACGACGGCAGGGACTCCAGTAGCTTCACCCAGCGATGGGAAGCTGCCTGCTACGCACTCCGTCGGAGCAGCGATAGAGGGCTGCTCAAGTGGCGCGTCGTGGTGTTCCAATTCATCACGGCCGTCAGTGGTGTTGTGGAACTCCGGCCCTGGGCCAGGGCAATCCGTGTACGAAACGGGGCCTGCACGGAGGAAGACTACAACCACCTCCGGGAGAGTTTCCTCTCCTACGAGGGCCGCCGCCTCAGCGGGGCGCTGCGCCGCGAGCGTATCCTCGCTCCGAGCCGCTCCCGCGGGAACGCAAGGTATGTCTTACTTCTCAAAACTCTCTCTTTCACTTCGTTTTCCATCAGATGTCTAATGAAAGCTTCTAGGGTCTTCCCCGACCAGTGAATGGGGCCCGCCCGCCCGGTGACGATGACTGTCGGAGATGGGGGAGGGGGTGAATGCCAATAGAAATGCAAACGTTTTGTCATTTCTCACTCTCTTCTGACATTCCTCTTAAGCTCGAGGTAAACCTAATGCTGATATCTGTAGCGCTCTGTAAGTATAGCTCCCATGCCCTAGAGGGTAAGCTATAGCTGTCATGATGGAAATTTGGAGTCATATGTATACCTGTAAAGAAAGCCACGTGAAATCTTCGAAGCTTTTACATGTTTGAGCTCATCTACATATCAGATCATCATATACAGTGATAGGAACTTGGAAAGAGCCAGAGAAAGTCATATCTCTAGGCCTGAGTCAGATCTGGGTCAATCTATAGATGCCCAATTATATGCCCTGGTCTGAGCTATTTCGTCCGAACCCTTTCGTCTGATCAAAAGCCACAGGAAATAATGACATCCAAGAATATAAGGGTTAGTCAGTCTATAATACCGACCCCAGGAGGCTCAAAGGTCTCTATTGACTTTCATTTACCTGGTAGCTCTAGGGTCTATTCAAATAGATTTAATGATTATTTAGATCTGATATCGTCCCTCACTTTTAAAAGCGTGTACATAGGACAGACCTCTAAGAGTACTAGCTGTCTGTCCCTTCTATGGAGAGATAGCCTATTAGGAGAAAATATTTTATAAAATTATGTGATTCATGTCTTGGTATAATCTAACTGTTTTAAGCAGCCTTTAAATTGACCTAGCTTATAGGGAAATAAGGATAGCAAATAGGTATAATGAGTTCCAGACAACCTCCGAAGTGACGGTCTTTCATAACTTGTGCTAAAATTTCCAGATTATCCCATATTCAATCACTACCTCAGTCACTACCTGCAAGATTAATTACTCAATTAATGACATTTCCAAAACAAACCTCCTCAGGTCACTTCACTGGACGTCCATTCCTTAAAGGTTATGTTGACTAGGGCACGTCCGGTCACGGGGACAAACCACTTTACAATGTAGAAGTCTAGATAAAGTGGTAGCTATATCCCTTTTGATCATAAATTGAAACAAGGCCAAATAATAACGTGTAATTATGGTGAAGTGACTCATGACAACCGTGGACCGAGATCAAGCAACAACATTGAAACTTCCTGCAATCCCAGTGGACTGATCCACATTGGGTATTCCCGAGGTCTGGAGGCATTAAGAGATTTGTCGCTTTTACTAATCTAGTAGAGTATTATTTCTTGGAGCAATGTTTCATTCCTGAATGCTACCATGACCAGTGTAAGTAAAAAATATCCTCCTTTCAATCAAAACCATCCACCACCACACAACCAGATGAATCCAAGCCACGGAAAAAAAGAGAACAGTTCAACCATTTTTGAAAAGTGTATTTCGGGGGCCCTCAACCGTAGCAAATGGAATGAGAAATCATTGCCTTTTCATAGAAATGTCACCCGGATCGTCCACGAAGAGTTCAGCAAGGAACACACAGCCTCCATTGTGATGAAATGCTGACGTTTGCCGAAGAAGGAATGAACTGGACAGACAGACTCATGTAGAGCCTTCACAATGAAGCAGATGAAAAGGTCATGTCGAAGAGGGTCGTTGTTTTTGTATTGGTTGAAAGCGTTCTCAAGAAACTGAAGCAAAGATTGGAATTGTCAAGGTCATTGTACATGGTGATCAACGAAACAGATCAAGCCATGATGGTCGATAGAATGATTGTAAAGGGTATGCTCATTGAGTTATTTAGAACTCAGCAGCTGCGAAACTGTTAGCATGCCGAAATTGACCAGATGATGTTCGGACTCACCCTTCATGACGACACAGCCGCCACCAGGAGCCTTCATAACGACGCAGCCACCGCCAGGGGCCTTCATGACAACGCAACCGCCGCCAGGGGCCTTCATGACAACGCAGCCACCACCGGGGGCCTTCATGACAACACAGCCACCACCGGGAGCTATGAAGAGAACGAGTCAGTCAATGTATAGAAGCCGAGGCAAAGATAGAACCCACCCTTCTGGACCTGAGCGCGAGACATTTCGAAGATGTTGATGAGCTTAAAAAAGCGAAAGGTTTGAAAGATTGGAAGTTGGGTTGGAAAGATTGCTTTGTGAGCGGGTGGTAGAAAAGAAAGCTGATGGTAGGATGGGGATGAGATATTTATATCAAGAGCTGCTCATTCTGGAGTTGATCAATGCTAGAGGATTGCCCATTTGCGCTGCGAGTTGAATGCGCATGGCTCCTCGACCAGCTCGGTTGAATGCATTGAGCATTGGCGCAGAATCAATCCACCAAGGTTGGGCTGGGATATCGGCGGAGAATCAGGGGCGTTTGATATTGTTCCCCGTGCCATGAATGTAGATTCGCTGTGGCGGCTTTCTTTGTCGCTTTCTCGCCTGTATAGTGATATATTCAAAACCTCATATTCAAAGTCGACCAAATAAAGTTCGAGTCGCTCGTGGCTGAGCCGGGATTGTCTGCCAAGAGACACGAGGGAGAGTGTTGAGACAGTTGGTATCGTGCGGTGAATGTCAGAACAATATTAAGAGGGAACAAAGGCCTCGGGAGGCTGACCTTTTCTCCGCCGGGGCCCAATCAGCGCATTCATGCGCGCCCTTAATATTGTTCCCGGGAACAATATACTTGAGTCTTGGCAGATATGCGAGTCGGCATCAAAGAGACTGGCAGTTCTAGTATGATCTTACTGTCGGAATATGTGAAAACAAAGACGTCGCTTTAGCAATTTGGCTAAAAAATAACAGTGGCGGAATGGATGTGTGCAAGCCGACAGTTGAAATTCTCCCATTATCCCCTTTAGGTATAGAGTGGCTCAGTTAAGTCGTTCAAGGTCAATCCTTCCTTCGCAATGTCCTCCTCGATCAGGAACATCAAAGGCATCTCGACCAGAGTACCCTTGACCTGGCTCAGCAGTTCTTTGACCTGTTTCGCGCCCTCCGCGCCAGGGGGGAAGTCATCGCGGACAACGTGGCCCCACTGGAATCGCGCGGGGCGCGAGAATCCGTCCTTGTGCTCCTCGGCCTTGTGGAAGTAATACTCGTAGAATTCCTTGTACTCCGACCAGTTACGGACGGTGTCATCAGGGACCGCGTGGAAGACCTTTCGGAAGACCTCGCTATTTGTGTGCGCTCGGGAATTCCAAAGGCTCAGAGCCGTATCGGAGAGCGGATCAGCAACGACCTTGCTCTCGGGACACTCGAAGTCGAACTCATTGGGAACTCCAACGGGCTCGCAGTTGGCATCTGGTCGTTGATAATCTTGGGGTGGCAACAGGCCGAGGTGCTTGCGGAATAGCTGGCGACGAAGCGACGCGGCAAACCGACTAGCGACCCACGGCTTACCATTCATGGTAGACTGAACAGGTGTGAAGTCTTCGATGATCACCGCGATCTCAGAATCGTGGTCACCCAGCTGAGAACGATCATTGAGGTTGGCGGATCCACAAACAACCACGCGGTCATCGGCGATCATAACCTGGAGTTGAGTCAGTAAGTTGTATACCTCTGTTATTTTTCTGTGGTGACATACCTTGGAGTGAACGTAAAGCTCCTCACTGACGAAAGCATCAATCTCAGCATCTGGGTGACCCTCCCATGGCACCTTGCGAATATCCTCTCCGCCGAGCATGTAGCACTCGCTAACACTATCCCAGCGGTTGGAAGAAGAATGGCCACTCTGGGCCTGATGAGCGCCCTGCTGGTATTTCTGGAATGGGGCGGTGGTATCGAATGCACTTCGAGTTTTACTTGGAGCAGGAGCGTAACCACCTGGTCCAGCAGTATTCTGATCGTACTGTCTGCGAGCATCTTCATAGTTGACACCACTCTGCTGCTCGGCCGCAGCCACCATACTTCCATTGTTGATGCGATCGTAGTTGCGGAGGTTGTAGAAACGAATGTACTCCATCGGGTTGAATCCCTCCTTAGCAATCAGCTCCATGATGCTGTGACCTCCACGGTTAATGGAATTATACTGGAACTCCATGATCGCACGGGTGCCCAGAGTCTCATCATCGCGCAAGTCTCCTGCAAAGCAGGGGACAGAAGGAATGACCACGACGATCTTAAACTTCTGGCCTGCACGTGCAGCGCGCAGAATTCGCTCGACGATGGCGGCACCGATCTTGTTCTTGACTGGATGCTGAGAATCGCCTGTGGCGGTGATAAAGAACTGGTTCTCAATATACACAAAGTGCTCACTGTTGCGGATAATGGCGCAATAGGCATCAGCGATGGAGTGCTCCACCTGGGTACCGTTGCTCCATTTAGCGCAACTGCGGACAATCTGGCACGACATATTTCCTCGTCCTTGAGAGGATACAGGCCGCCCGTATGAGGTCAGTTGATCTTGGTATTGATGGATCTGGCCGGCAAGCTGACCACGAAGAGAATTTCCATATTGAGTCAAATTCTCCTTGAAACGGCGTGGTGCCAAAGAACCCCTCTCCCTATCACCCTGGTACTGCTGATGACCTCCATGCTGGAAATCGCTAATTCCACGAGTGCTGGAATGAGAAGTTTCTTGGCCAGGTGGAGGAGGGTAGTATGGCGCCTGGCTCTGGTTCTGCTCGTGCTGCGGGGTTGTGTTCCCAGAAGCTTGGTTTGGCGGCGGGGCATAATAAGGCTTCTGCTCTTGATTCTGGCCCTGGTATGGTTGATAGGAAGAGTTGGCGGTGGTATCCTGCGGTTGGCTTTGCTGCTGAGGAGTATACGGCTGGTAGGAGGTGTTGGCATTGCTTCCTTGTGGCTGCTGCTGCTGCTGAGCTTGGTATGGTTGGTATGCCGTAGTACCAGTATTATCATACTTATGATCCTGGGGGTAAGGCTCGTATTCACTACTTGGCGTGCTTTGCGCAGGAGGCGGCCCAGGCGGTGGAGGTGGGAATGAGTTCCCAGTGTAGGTATACTGGCTAGTCCCCTGACTCGGCGAGTGACTGGGTTGGGAAGAGGACTGATAACTCGGAGGTGGGGGATAACTCGAGGCATTCTCAGACTGATGCGTTGCAGGTGCTGTTTGTTGCTGGGGCTGGTACTGGCTCGAAGCGCCCTGTCCGGGTGGAGGTGGGTAAGTCGGGGCGCTTCCACTTTGGTGGGGTTGGTATGACCCAGTAGAGCTTTGTGACTGCTGGGGCTGCGACTGCGGCGGTTGAGAAGGACTCGAGGTCTGATGTGGTGTAACCGGGTTGCTCGATGCCGGGGTGGCACTAGGCTTTGACTGCCAAGAAGGTGTGGGTGGCTGACTTGGGCTTGACTGCCCCGAGGGGTATAGACTGGGTTGCTGCGCGCCGGGCTGTTGACCGGGCTGTTGACCGGGCTGCTGTTGAGTGGAAGAGCTAGGTCGACCGTACAAAGCCAATCTCGTGTATCTCGACTGGTTGCGGACCTTGTATTTGGCGTCGTAAATGAAGTTCCATCGTTCAACGAAATGGCGACGGAGATCCTCGACCACTGCGCCATGCAGGCTTACAGAGATGTCAGACCATCCCATCCGAGACATGCTCTTCCGGTCCAGCTGGTTCTTCTCCCAATGAACGACATCCTCGAAATCCAGAACACGAGAGTTATTGTAGTCCTGGCCTGGGAACACTGTTTGGTTCACGTCCGATGGGTGCAAATCCGATAGTGCATGTTGGTTTGTATCCCAACGACCGAAGCACATATCTAAACCACCCATGAAGGCAGTCCGACCATCAATCAAGCAAAGTTTCTCGTGGTGGGCCCAGTAGAGAATGACATCCTCGTTCATTCCATACAGTCCTTTCAGCGTGTCCTTTGACATCTTACTCAAGCTAGCAGAGTCCAGGGACAAGTTCTGGAAAGACGACGCGAATGAAGCGGCAAGCTCTTGTCGGTCCGGTAGATGGTCAGGGTGTCGGAACACGGCGATATTGGGGTGCAAGTCTTCCAATGCATGTTTGGTGTGGGAAGATGATACTGCAACGAGTTAGTATTTTGTTGCTGTCCCTTGGGGTGATGAACATACGAGTAAGCGCCTGCGTAACTTCTTTGTAAACAATGACATTAACCCGCACGCCCCGCTGAGCCGCAGCTTGCAGCATGCGATCCAACCGGTATTGTTCGTTCTTCGCCGGAGGTCTTCTCAAGTAGAGCTCAGGAGATAGCCACCCTATGCAGCATGTTAGTTTGGGCAAATTTTCCCATTCTGGGGATTTCACTCACAGTCCAAGATCCAGATGGATTCTCGGGCGCTTTCCAAAGCCCGCGAGACCGCCCAGAAGTAGCTGCACCCGTCCACATACCACTTGACATCGTTGTGTTCGCGTGGGGGAGCAAAGCTTCCGAAGCGATTCTCTGCGCTAGGCTTGACATGGCCATATTCGGCATACGCCTTCGGGTCGATCGTGGTCCCAATCTTCGTGGCAAACTCCGAGCCGTATTCAGTCACTGTGCCTTGAAGCTTGCCCAAAAACCCAGCGAGTTTGTCTTCCTTCTTGGGTTTGCCAGGCTTGCCCTGGTAGTTGGTGTTTCCCTGCTGCCCGCTGGCACTTTGGGGTTGTTGATTCTGGCCATACTGGGGGGGCTCGGCTTGAGTCGGGTAGTTTTGCTAGTAGCAGTGAGCGTCAGCGAAAACATCCCCAGGTTTCTGGGGGTCTGTGAAGCTTACACCGTGATAACCAGTCGGGTTATATGTCTGGTTGGCCTGGCCTGACTGTGAAGAGTGACTCTTGTATGTATCGCGGAGCTTCTTGAAGGTGTCGCCTAGGCCGCGGGAGCCGTCTCCGGACCCACGTTCGGCACCTTGGTAGTAGCCACCATAGGCCAGATCATCTTGGGGCATGTTGACCACAGTTGGTAGAATAGCGAATGTACAGTGCAAAAGGAGAAATTCGAAGGCTCAAGAGCGTCCAGAAAACTAGGGTGCCTGCAGAGCGGGGGGTCTATTTAAAACCGCGCCCCGCTGCCCAGCCACGATGGAAACGTGGCGGTGTATAAGCTGATGATTTCCATTTGTACATAATTGCCCATGTATACATCGGTGGCTGTGCCTTTCAGCTAGCCTGGAGTTGCTCGCTGGCCCTTCGATGTCTGATTTTGCATCTACTTGCCAGGATCATCTTGGATAACGGCTGGCATCCACTGTTTTTTCGGCGGGCGACTTGATATATATTTTGGACTTAATTTATGCATATCGCGAGGGGGAAATACTTACACGTTCAAGCATCAGCCTATCCAGCTACCTCAGTGATATATAGGTATACGAGCCACCCTGTTGCATCTTCATACTGAATGCACGTCATCGGATCTACAATGTCGGGGGTCGGGGGTACATATCGGGCACGGCATTCCAGATCCACGTTTAGTATGCAGCCCTACAGGTCAACGAGAACGGCACAAGCGCCCAAAGACCACGCCCTGTGGCCTCTCCTATTCAATACTTAACTACGGAGTACTAACCTTAGAATAAAGCAAGCCAATATGGAAAAAGTCCCAATTTAAGAAAAAGCCCCAGAAGGTGCCCGTGGGGAAATTGGCGCCATAATCTACAGGCATGGATGTCACATGACCACTGGTCCCAATTGGGCAACTCGGATTCCTCCAGGGCTCCCAAGGCCCGGGGATTCTTGGACCTTCAACTGTATAATTCGAAGGTTTCAAGCTCTACTACATATGCGATAGGTGGCTTGAAGGTTTGCTGAAAGTTCCATCTCAAGATGTGCTCTCGAGGTCAAGACTGGCCGACCGTGTACTTCAAGGTTGGAGACCTGAACTCAACATTGGGAGCAGAGTGCAGAGTCCATTCATACTCCTTCCAAGGTTGATACCTAGGTATATTCTTGATTCAAGGTTTTAGAGACTTCAAAGGAACCTTGGAGGTGACTTACATTCGAAACACGTCGCAGCCCAGGTGCGCGTCGATGCCAAGGCCTTGGCGCCCGGGTACCACCGAGGCAGCCAGCTTGAGTCCTACCTCATCATTCAGAGCTACTCAGTGCATTTGATCATGTCTACGGCTCGAGTACAGCCAAGGCGAATTGGGCGTCCTCGAAAGCCACACGACGATGTGATATCTGTGGGTTATATTCCCCCAAGAGTGATAGCCGAGACTTAACCCCGTACAGAGGCGACGCGCTCAAGTACGCGAAGCGCAGCAATCATACCGGTCTCGCCAGCAGTCTCAGCTTTCTTCCTTGAAAGCTCGCGTAAAGCAGCTGGAGGATGCATTCAATCATTTGGGCGAGGCTGTGCATGCATTTGATTGCCAGGTGATTCAGAACGGGTCTCAGTGGCCCCAGCCTCGACTCTTTCGAGCCGTTGAAATGCTGTGCGATGATATAGCATCGCAGTTCGAGTACGCGGATATTCATATCCAAAGACCCTCCAAAGTCCAAAACAAAAAACAAGATCGGCCTATAAACGAGGTGATTCAAATACAGTCCATCACATCGTCAGCGATCAGGGCTGGAGCCAGCCACCCGTCTCAATTTTGGTCCTTGTTCATGAGGTCGTCCTCTATGATGATACCGTCGAGTACTACCCAAGGAACTGCCGTAGAGACTGGAATCATTCCATTCTCACCGGTACCGACCTTTGAAGCTAATATCATTCCATATGCTACCACACCGTTCACCCAGCGACTCTTTCGAGCATGTGCAGAAAGTGGACTTCGTCTCCTTTCTAATACGACATTCACGGATGAAGATATCAGTCGATGCTTTGGTTTACTTCTACAAAAAATGCCTCGGGCAAATATCCGGGAGTATTTCACACGAGTTGTCAGTTTGGAACCGTGTAACCCGATTATCGATACGCGATTCCCGTTCATCAGCCTGGGTGGAGCAGGAACTCACTTTCTCTCGCCTTCGAGTAGTATCTCGGAGGTTCTGTCTGTGCTACAAAGAACAAATGGCATCTGTTCAATTACTTCCGATGAGCAGTGGTTCGACGTGCATGATGTTGAGAGATATCTATCCAACCAAGGTATCACCGTGGGCGAATTCCCATCTCCACCATTATTAGGTTTGCATGGTGGACATGAGGTCTCTTCGGGCTTGGAGGCTACACAAAGAACATTGCCTAGTGACACTATGACTATGGTGATCAGCGAGTATCGATTAGTTCAGAGTACTTCTCCCTGCTGATTCTTCCTCTGACGCGATCACAGCTAACGAAACTAGAACTGAGCCAGCTCCCTGTGGACTTAGGGTGCGCGGCTGGTTTCCGCAGATCAGACGTCGAGAGAGTTGTTTATGAAAACTTGAGATGGATCGCCAAAGTGGACCCGTAGTGAAAGGCAAGATGTCAATATTTGTTGCTATTCTGTCCGAGCACGATATTCGGTCTTTGTTATACATAGATTGGATGGCTGGTCATTGAGATGATCTCATTATCTGGCGTATCATTTTGAGGTCTATCTCATTGAAGCCTGATTGCCCGAGCAACCATTTACCTGAACGTGAATCAAGCATTCGGTAAACTAGGCCGATGCTGAAGGATGTTGACCAAACGAGGTGTGACTGAGGATATCTTCTCTCCAATACCACACAGCTGCTGCAGTTGCGCCTGGTCCGATCAATATGCAGCCAAGGACAAGACCAAACAACCCGGCCTTCCAGGAGACATTCGAGATACCCACGCGATACATGTCCCAGATGCTTGCCAAGCACCACAGCATTGTTGCAAGAGCAACCAGCAAGAAATCACTTTGGAAAAATATGAATATCCCGTCCGCCAGATTGGACTTTTCCCCAAAGGAATTCAGCGGGACGAGAGCACGAATGATGAAGTCAGACCCTGAGACTACCCAGCTGAGCATCAAAGCGAAATGGAAGCATGCTGAGATGCCACCCACCGCTGCGTATGCAGTTCGCAGGTATGGCAGATCATCGCGAACAATACTTCCAACTTGACTACCAGGTTTGACTGGCGCGGGCCGGTTGAACCATGCGATGGCGCGAGACACAACCTCAGTCAAGATGGCCACATAAATCGGCGCTGGCTGCCACAGTGCGATGAAAACCTGACGCGTTGCCAAAGTGTCTTGCAGGGGGAAAAACATCATGATCGTGGGCAACACGAAGCCAAGCACCAGAGCAGGAAGCAATGCCTGAGCCATGGAGACAGGAACTGTCCGGCTTTTTGGTGTGAAATATCCGACCGATGATGAATGGAAGAGACTCGTTGCGAAATAGAGAGGCGCGATTAGCGCTATCCCGCGGAGCTGGTATAACACACCCCAAAGAGCCGGACTGGCGAGAAGCGTCCATCTGTTTCTGGGTCGATAACCCTCAACAGTGAGTATTGCGATGATTGGGAGTATGCAGGCTAGGAAGTAAAGACTCTGGAGTGCCTGCCCAGGATTTGAGATGCCCGCAACGGCTGGCAAGAACACAGTCACGAGCGATTGCAAAATTCGGTCAATCGGTCGGAGACCAGTGTATACCTGACGCAGAGGCACTTCGACCCCCCCAGGGAGTGGAATCGATTTAGCGATTATGGCTTCGCGGACCATCGTCCACGTTCCATTGACCTTTCCGGCTGTCCACAGTTGTCGATTTGCCGCCCAAGCCAAGAAGCCGAATGAAATGTACAACAGCACACCAATGATGCCACGAGAGAACGGGACTCGGAACCGCTCGTCAAAGTATGCAACATCTCGTGGCTTGTGCGGCATTGGAAGCATATTCAACGACACGCCTGGAGAATAAGTATGGATCCACCGAGCCATAAGTATACTCTTTGGAACATATGGAAGCACAAAGTTGGCAAGGAACTTTAGCAGAGGCGTTTCCATACAATCCAAGCGCTGCCGTGTGTGGGAGGCCTTGATCAAACCAGAAACTCGTTCTTCACGATGGTCTTGCACACTCTGGAAAATCTTGGAGATTTCTTCGGTCGACAGTGAGCCTGTTTTGCAGCCTTTCAGGGCTGCTACGAGGTGGTTGGTCAAGGAAGCAGATGTTTCAATGGCGTTGTTTCCACCCTGACCCGTCAAAGGCTCAAACTATGACGCAAAAGCAACATTCCGTCAGTCTTTCTTTCGTCACACTTCTCAGCGGGAGTCGTACCTTGTGACTGGCATCCCCAATGGTCATGATTCTCTGAAAATGCCACCTCCTGTACACATACTCCGGTAGTGTGGTGTAGACCGATGCAATCTTGCTTTTGTAGAGATCCGAAAACCGCAGCGTGGGAGTGAGCTGATCGTCCCAATGTTCCTTAGCCAGGGCCTCTTCTTCCTCTTTCGAGAACCGCGGGATATCCTCGCCGTAGAAGGTCTTTCCCATGTTATGGACGAGGAACCAGTAGGTGCGCTTGCCGGGCCCGCTGGGGATAAGGTATGAGAAATGCTCATTCACCACTGAAGTCAGCGTACCCTTCTCGGCACCTTTCTCGCCTTCTGAGATTCCGAATATGCAAGCGTAGGTTGCGGGAAGTGCTAAAACAGTTAGTTTAGATGATTTAGTCCTAGTGTTTATGACTTACCGGACTTTTCCGAGGGATCAATCCACTTAGGATCTAGTCTCTGAGCCTCCTTCCACATCTCTTGACGCACTGTCGAATGAATACCATCTGCTCCAACGACAATACTGCCTGTGAACTTTTGGCCAGTCGAGGTGTGCACAGTGACACTGGAACCACTGTTTTCTATGGTGTGGACGCGTTGAGACATGAGGACTCTGGATTTATCTTCGATCTTGTTGTAGAGGATTGCTATCAACATACGACGGTCGAGGAATACAGCAGGATATCCGTGACTAACCATGAAGTCAGTAAGTTAGTTTCTCGCTCAGACTTGAATGTGGATTCGCGGGGACAAACCGTTCGGTAATGTCTTCATCATAGTCTTCGAGAGACCAAATGAGCTTGCCTCGCGAATCACGATAATAAACCTTATCAACGGGATACTCCGCTGCATCGACAACGGGCTGGCAACAGTCAATTTGATCAAGGATGCGAAGTCCATTGGATAAGACACCAATGCTGGCCCCGACCTGAGGTGCAATACTCTTGTAGCTTTCCAAGACAACGAAGTCAATGCCATTTCTTTCTAGCATCAACGCCAGAGAGAGTCCGGCAATGCTGCCACCCACAATGATGACCTTGAACGACTTAGACTCCATGGTGCTGTAGAAGCTCAATCACCGGAGGAATTCAAGTCGGATGGAGAGGCGGAGTTCGATTTATACTGTCCATTCCTAGACTGGTTTTCGCCCCCCCCCCCCCCCCCCCCCCCCCCCCCCCCCCCCCCCCCCCCCCCCCCCCCCCCCACCCCCCCCCCCCGCGTCCGGGCGCACCCACCGACA